AACAGGACCGGATGAGATTTAGATTTTTGTCCTGTCCTGCCGCCCGCCAGGATCAAGGTGAGCAACAGGACAAGGAAGGGCAGGAGAAAATATTATGTCCTGTGCACGTCTCTGATTACAACATCACTTACACCTACAATCCATTTTTGTTAAACTTCTCTCGTCAATTTGATTCTTTTTGCATAAGAACCTTACGTATTCCGATTGAATTTGTAAAAAAAAACTCCAGTGACACTCTTTGCACGTACGCCTTCATCGTGTACACGAATCAGAAACATCCTTTTTAACGAAACCCATCTTCACTTAAATACATCGGATGACGATCTAGTCGTAGTCTAGATATCGGGTATTGCAACATTTATTTTTCGTCTAGGTTCAAGGTACTACAACATATAACACACTTTTTACAACTACTGGTGTTCCTGTTTACATAACATCGACATCAACGTCAACAACAGCGACGACATCGACTTCAGCAACAACTACAACAACAACATCAGCTACTACAAGTAACTGATAAACAAAACAATTCCTAATAAATTCACACCGAATATAATTTTTTGTTTAGCTACGACAGGAACGACTACAACAACACAATATATTTCAAATGCTGTGGTTATCTATCCAAAAGATATGGAACTTGCATGTGTACAACCTGTAGCTATTTCAGCAGTTATTATTACTAGTGTTATGATTCCGATTCATTTTCTTGCAATGATAAATCTGTTTGTTAAAATGAACAGTCTTTATCACAAGAACATTTTAGGCACACGACGTGCCTATCGTAAACATTTAAAACGAGTCTATACACCTGTAAAAAGCAGTGTTTAGCCATCGTGTGAAAAAAACATGTGTCTGTTATATTTTTGTTTTTGGGCGGCGAATACTTTTGTTTTTATTTTCCTTTTTCTGATTCGCAGTAGTTTTAAAGAAAAACTAAGCTAAAGAGTTACGAAAGAAATAAACTATCTACTTAAATGTATTGTCTTTGATATAAATATGTGTGGGATTGGAACCGATACTAAGAAAAACTTTGATCCCGCATATATCGGCTTTGAGAAAGGTCATGTCTTGTAATTGCTGCGTACTGTGATTGTATTTATTTAGATGTGTTCAATTACATTCAGTAAACCTTTACAAAATCTTCGATAATATTCTTTTTATCGAAGAGCAATATTAAGTTTGATTAATTATATTGATCATAAATGATAAATTTTAACATTGTCATTAACGATATATTACGCTTGAAGAAGTCTAGATATTGGCAGAGATGTTTCATATCTTATAGACAGCGTACAATTTATTGAGATAAACTATTTGAGAAAGAGTTGTCTCGTGTTTTTTTAAATGAATAGCTTCACGCAGACGTTAATGTGTAAGTCTATTGTAATGCACAGTATGTCTGAATGTTATCGATGAAGAGGCAACTACTCACAGATTCTAGTTTAGAAAAATCATCATGACATTTTTTACCATATTTTATGAATCTGTATCGCACGACTTCTTTTGCAGTCAGTATAGGAAATTTTAAAATGAATATAATTATCTAGTTGCTAGTTTACCAATTCCGTTAGCGCACTTAATTAAATCCTCATAGAATGCCTTATTGAGTTCGTCAGGATTGCATTGATAATTTACCTATTCGAAAGTTTTAAAACCTGCTTCTTTAAATACATGTTCATGAGTGCAGGGTGAGAGATAATAGGTTGTAAATGTGCATGTCGGTTCATTTTTTTCTGTTGTACAAAGCAACGAATACTTCTGTGCTATCCTGTATTGGCCCATCATGCAACAGAATGTTAACATGCCTAAAAAACGCCGTATTTTTGTTTGTCGAATGAATCTTTACCGCCAATGGCATTTAATGTCACACCGATAAATTGTTTGTTGTCACCAAGCTTTGCATAGATTGTACGTGCCATTTCAACAAGATTTTTTCATGTGCGGGCAAAATTGAGTAAATAGGAAGCGGCGGCTAAATCCTTAGGCTTTTCGCGTCAGCAACAATATGGTAAATATTTTTGGGTCTTCATTTTCAACTTCGAGAGCGAGCTTGATCATTTCTGAACTGATATCAACACCAAGAATATAATTATAATTTAACGCTTGCAATCGTCGTGTATGATGTCCTTGACCATATACTAAATCGAGCACATGTTTTCCTGTTGATAATGCATTTTCATCTAGAAATTATTTGAGAAGGCAATTATAAACTGTATAATATTTTGCAGGTTCGAGATAATTGGTTTGATGTCCTGCTATTTTTTTTTGTCGCAATACTACCATATTAAGATAGTTTAGTAGTCATCGTGTGCTGTCAATTGAATAGCCTTACACGATGATAGATTCTAACGATGCAAATCGGGAGAAAAAATATTTGGTATTGGTCAGCCGTACCTCAGTTGTCAAGAAATATTTTTTGTTGGAAACAAGATTAAGACAGTTTATTGGGCAATATTATATATTTTATGTCGGTAATTGAGTAGTTTTATGCCTTTTGTCCAGAGATGTTCGAATAAGAAGTTCTTGAATCGTTTAGATGAATAGAAAATAAAATTTCGAAAATAATTTTCAGATTAGCAGCTGTCAATGTTCTCGAACTTTAGATAAAGTTACTCGTCCCAATGGAAAGAGTGACACTCTCCGAAAGATCGTTTTTTTAAAATTCGACTTCTGGAATCGAACATCTCTGGTATGTTACTTACATACCAAGAAAAAAAAAGAATACCAGTAAATGATGACAAGACGATGTTCATTCAGTTTACATACTGTTCCCATATGAAAGCTTTTCCAATTAAATTTCTGATTCTTCAGTTGAAATATTTACATCGTTTTTTGGTATCCGTAATACCGATAATCTCTAAAAGCGTTTAAATCTAACAAAATCAATAACTCATTTGTTACCATAAAAACTGGCAATTATAATTAATCCGACATGACACAGGCTACGTATTTTCTGGTCATAAAATAGGCGTAGCTTATTTTATCGAAATTAATATCGCTAATATTTAAAAATGTGGTTAATAAATTATTGAAAACAATGATTATTGTGTCAATACCTGTTTTTTCAAATCCAATCGGATCAAAGACGTCGAATACATACCGATATTTTATCTAACAGTCAATAATCTTTTGCGAATAAAATTAAAATAAACGCAATTCTAAAATCCTCATTATCATTACAAATACAACACTTATTCGTCACCGATTCCTTGTATGACACATTTAAATGCGATACGACTTTGTTCCATTGAATAGCAATTCGACTCGGTTCTTCCTCTAGCAGTTTATCTAATTTTTTTCTTCTACTTGAACTTTCCTATTTTATTTTTTCCTACACTTTTAACTTTCCGATGGTGCTTATAAATTGTAATACAGATTCTTGATGGGTGTTTTATTATCTAAATAAATAACACGAAACTTGTCGACAAGCTTAAAATTTGCATTTATTATTTAATTAACAATTTATCAGACGCATCACCTACAATTTGAAACTATTGAGATGAATTCAATTATTGAAAATCAAGAGTTGAGACTAGCAGATTCAGTTTGTCTTTTTGTTCAACAATAGATCGATCTGTTTTCGATTATAAAGTAGTGTACACAAGGATACAAAACAACACGATGCGTCTTATTTATTTAATGGAGAAACGAAATGTAGCGCTTTCCTTCTTTCTACATGCATGTACTCAAATGTAGGTACGCAGAAAACCTTTTCAACACGCTGATTTGAATGGTTATTGCGACTTTTCCGTATTTCTTTGCTTTTCTTGAGCAATCACATGGTGTTCTCTTTCTCGCGGCTGCTTTATTTCTACTGTGCATATTGCTTTTCTTGAATTTCGTAATCATCATATTTGTGTGTGAAAGAGTAGACGCCCGCTTCTAACATCGATCGCGACATGCCTCTTTTTTCTTTCATCGTCAACATTTTATTTTTTCTTATTTCACATTTTACATACATAGGTGGAATAATTAAAGAAAATTAATGTTGATCACTGAGCCATAAGCAGCGCCGGAATCTTCGTTCATATGAAATCGAATACGTAGTGCCACGCACGTATTTTGAATGAAACTTTCCATTCGTTTCGGCAAACAATTGAAGGAATTAGTTTCAACTAAATTACTTGAGAACTCGTGATTGAACGATATATCAATATAAATTTTCCACTGAGACATTAATATAAGAAATAAAAATTTTGGCGGCGAATGCTTCAGCATGCAGATAGACGATTTATTCGGGGAGTTTTTTTTCAAAAAAGCAAGACTATCCAATGGACAAAAGTGTTGAGTAATCATGGGTACATAAGTAAAAAAACTGTAACAATCCAACTCTCTAACAATTATATTTTTGCAGCTTTGACCAGAATAAAAGGTAATCTACTTGAGCTTCTACTCCGCTGATAATCCTTCCAATATTCGTTAAACATCAAGTCATTTTGAAATAGAATATGAATAAATTCGACTAGTAAAAACGTCAAAGATTGAACGACAAACACTATGGAAACATCGACAGAGTAACTTTAAACGAGTATGATTGTTACCTTTTTGTTTCAAAACGCGTAGAGCTTTAATTTTAATCATTTCGGTTGACTGTTAACTAGACCAGCTGTGGTATTGTTTGGAATATAGCTCCTGCATTATGAGATGGTGTCGTAGAGAATGAGATAATTTAGTAGTTATCAACGACGAACATTCAATTTATTTGCATACTATATTAAAACAGAGAGAAAATGAATGGTTATTCTTTCTTTCTTTCTTTATTGAAGTAAAATTTTTCTTTTCTTGATTTTTTTCTGGAAAAGTAACGCGAGTTAACTAATATTTCTAGAGCTGGAAAATAGGTCATTTTCAAAGTCATTGTTAGAAGTCTAAAACGTCATCACATGCTAATCTACTGAAATTTCGTCGCTTTAGTATAATCTTCAAATTGAATTATTATTGGTTTCGCAAAGAATTTTAATTTTGTCATTAAGAAACAATGGATTCCCTAGTAATTTTAACTGACAATGGCGTCCATTGCTAATTTAGTAGTGAAGAGAATTGGTCCAAAACATTTCTTTCTATGTTACAATCGCTACCTGCTTTTTTTATTCTGTTCTCATGTTTTTTCTTGTTCTGTGCAATGTTTATTCTTCTCACAATCAGTTCGAAACATTAAAGTACACTGACACAACTACATATAATTTAACCTTCAACATACAACTAAAATAAACATTCTTTGGCTGAAGTATAATCAAATGAGAGAGAAAATATACTTTTTCATCTTTATGTTTTTCAATGAGAACCTGAATGGAAAATTTCGACTGTCTTTTTTTATAGAAAAATAGTTTAAACCATGGGCTGTAACTCATCATTACCGCCTACTACTGTTGCTCAGCCACTTCATCAAGCAAAGGGAGAAAAACAGCGGAAACCACAGCCGGAAACGGTCACAAAAAGTGATCCTACGACACCCGCTGACCAGACTGCTAAGAAACTGCCGGCAGAACCCGTAGGTAGTATAAAAAAATTCTACTTTTCACAAAATTTCAGCAGTATACTTTTCAGACCTCTACTCTTTTAACTGAAAAAAGTAAGTATTCCTGACTCACTGGTACCTCTCAGGAAGTTATGTTTTATTCACATTTGCACTGTCGTTAAATTTTCCACATTGAACTTGCCGACAGATCTGCTCTAACTTGGTCTTTATTTTAGCAGCAGCTCCGATGAATACCAATAAAAAACACATAATGTTATCGTATCAGCATGCGAATCAAGAGCTTGTATTAAAAGTCTACAAATTTTTACAGAAACATCGAGTTGCAGTGTGGATGGACATTAAAGGTGGAATGGAGGAGCATCTTCTCGATAGGTAAACAATTGCCAAAGATGTATATTGATCTTAGTCAATAACAGTTGTTCTGCTTTATTTTGTATTTCCTACTAGCATGGCTGCGGCAGTGCAAAATTCAGCAGCTGTTGTCTGTTTTCTTACTCAAAAATATCAGGATTCACAAAATTGTAAAGACGAATTCAAGTATGCACGAAAGAAAGATAAACCAATTATTCCTTGTTTAATAACTCTTGGCTGGAAACCAGATGGCTGGCTTGACATTGGCATTAGCGACTTACTATACATAGATTTTAAGAAGACAACAGAGGAGAATTTTGAGCAAAAATGCGAAGAATTACTTGAAAAGATTAAACAAGTGGTGAAATTAGATGATATCTTTATCAGTACGTACCTTGAGGATAGAGTTCACTCATTTTCTCGAGCCATGATGTTGAAACAGAAGTATCTGTTCAGAATGCTATTATTGTAGTGCTTGACAAAACTATTCTTATTTGTTGCTTGATAATTCGTATTCAAGTTCTCACTGATAGTTCGAGCACGAAGTTTTACAACAGACATTACCATCCTATTGGTTGACATATCAGTAAAATGCCTATATATCTGGATGGAACGTCTGCGATCATTTATTCTTTTAAGGTTTTTTTATACCTCACTCGGTTCTATGTTATGCATACATTGAAGAGATGGTCCTTTGTAACATAGGATGATATAAATAGTGAAACCTGAATATACATTCGTACGCACATAAGTGGATATTTCAGGATTTACATCCTATTATTTTAGTTACGTTTGAGCCAAATCGAGAAAAATTATTTACAAATAGGATTGGAAGTGAACTGTCTAGAAAACATGATATTTTACAGTGAATTATGAAGAATACCTGTCGAACAATCTAGTGAGAAAACGTCATCAAGTGAACTGCAATAAAAATTATCCTTCTAAATGTTCTGAGCTATAGATACGAAAATTTCGGTAGACGAACAGTTATTTACTTTTACATTGGGCATACTGTTGCCGCCAAAATAGAATACTATAACTCGTCGAATAGCTTTCACTGAGCAACAAAGTAAAAGTGCCAAGATTTTCCTAGGAAAACATGTGCTACCTCCTATAAAAGATCCGGTTGGATAATTCAAACTCTTTATTTAGAACAACTAAATGAAATAGTCTAGAGAGTCTAGCAATTTACTCCAAATAGTATATAGTGCTCAGTTGGTCTCTATTCATTTTCATACATACGTCTCATATAGAACTTCATACCATATTAGCAAACATTTCACTTAAAAAAATGCGCCTGTCATATTAAAATAATCCTTGATTATTCGTTATCAGAGTAAGGTAACGGTTCGTGTTTTATTTAATTTTCAAGAAAATTGTTTTCACTCTTTTTTTGAAGTCAAAATCATGAATATTGGGTATTCAAAAGTACTAAAGAGTAAGGATTTCAATTTTGTTTTGGTATTTGTCTACTACATTGCCATTCTTCAAGTATCAGAAACTGTACCTAGTCACTCTTAGTCAGTAGCCACCCAGGGCGAGAAACCAGACGCCAAGATCTTACAAGAATCGTACGTGTGATCTGATAAGATCAGACGGAAAATCGTCGTTTCTGATTTCTTACACTAAGTCGTATCAGAAGATTCTTGAAAGGTTCTGTTATCTATAGAAACTTCACTGTGACATTTTAATTAAACTAATATCTCCTTAAATGATCACGCCAAATTTGTATTGAAAATAAATTGCATGTTCGATCTTTAAAGAAAATATAGTATGATCTGATGCAAGGTTTCAGAGACGATGATTTTTGTCTGATGCGTATCAGATTTACAAGATCTTACGTCAGGTTTTTCGACCTGGGCTCATAAAAACTCACCCAGTACTGTTTGGATCTAATCGACCGTTTATATTTTTCAGATAGTATTAGAAATGGAGCTACCATTTGTCTGAAAGTCTGATGGAAGTCAGAAAAACGCAGAAATTTAATAAAGGTTTTTTGCACTGTCAAGTTTTTAGATGCTTTGCCTTTAGAGCATAGACAATTCGACTGCTTGAAAATGTTCGATCATTTCTCGCTATGGTACAAACGTCATGTTATATATTCATAAAAATCGCGTTTTCCTAATTAAGTCATAATGAAAGCAGGCATAGTTGTTTTTCCTTATTGAAAATGATTGATTTCTTCAATAGTAATGTAATTACAAAAAAAACGAAGTATTGTTAAGAAATACGTACCGCTAAGAAATTATAAAAATACTGAAAGAATGTGCATGTTCTACTTTTCTAAATATATAACGATGTAAAGAAGATCAGGAACACATGTTTCTCGTTAGAGTACTCTCTAACAATTTTCTTCTATTCAGTGAAATTTAATCTGAATTCGATATACAAGATAGGTTGAAGTTATTCAGACACACTGCTATGTAAATCGAACAGAATACATTTTCTGCATCCGAACCCACTCACACTCGCACATACAAATTCATCATCTTTTGTTGATTTCTAGCTGAGGATGGAATACCCGCTGGTTTTGAAGAAGATGGTGTTGATGCAGAACTGCAAGAAGAACTGAACTATGAAGGCTTCAATGTTGATTGTACTTCAAAAATGGTACCAAACATTCACGAAGGACCGGAAATAAAGATTGTTAATATTGATCAGACGCAAATCAATAAACATACGTGCGAAGGAGATTCGGTAGTGCGTCTCTTGTTAACAGGCAAAGGTAAAGATCGAAATATTCAAGCAAATCAAGATAGTTTTAGACATGATGGTGAATTTCTCAATTATTTCTTCATACCCAAATTAGTATTCCACAATAAAAGTAAACAACCGATATCAATCATTGAGTTATCAGGCGAATATGAAGATTCTCATGGAAATTGGTGTGAATGTCACGACATAAAACTTTCTCCGGCATTATCAGAGAACGATGAAAATTACAATTGGTTGCCCAATACAACACTGAACTTGGAACCGTTAAAGCTAACAACATTTGCTGTACGTGTCGATGTAAAAGTCAAAGGAACGCCAGGATCATCGAATAAACATAGAATGCGAGCGCACAAAAGTTTACCACAACCATTCAAGATTCGCCTCACGCTGCAAGACACAGAGGGCAAAACAGCTAGTCTTATTGTAGAGCAAGCCAATGAACAATTCGTTTTACCAACTAAAGAAATAGCAATGAAAACTTTTGACTTTGAAGATGTTGTTGCATTTGTTTATGCAGATGATTGTGACGGGGATGAGCGGTATTGGGTAGTTATTTATTATGAAGATAAGTCAAAACTTCGATTTAGCTTCGGCTACGGTTTAAATGGCTATGAAACAAAATATTTAGATACATGGCTCATTAAAGATTTCTGCAATCAAGCGAAAAAGACTGCTGCAACTGAAATAGTACTGGATGAATGGAATCATGATTGGAGGACAATAACAGCATTATTCGATAAAGAGACATTCATTCTCTTTGGATTTCGTATCGAGTTAAAGACAGACACGTCGAAAACGAGAGAAACAGTTTTACTGCCATTAGACAAACTTAGAGAAAGGCTTGCTATTGAGAAACTAGAGCCCGACGATGATCGAATCGTAAACACATACACTTCTATTTCTTAAAGTTAACTTCAACTTAACGACAAGCGAACATGCAAACGCAAATCGCTCCAATTATTTCAACTTTTGTTTGTAAGCAATCAGCTGATTTCACTAATGAATAAATCAAATGAAATAATAAAAAATATACAACTTTATCTATTGACACCCTTCTTGTTTTAATTAATAATAGCTCATTATCCATTTTAAAAAAATCGAAACATCTGTGATTACCATCAATGTTTTTTAGATAGAAATCTATTATAATGGTACGGTTATGAGTCATATTTACTAAGACTCAAAATTATTTTTTATTACAGAATAATTAATTATGATCGATTTTTTTATCAAAAAAAGAACAATCACTTCTAGCCAAAATTTCTCGACTTCTTATAAATCGATAGTTCTGCACGGACTGTGTCAACCTGATACGTATTCTCTATTCATCAAGTTAAATCTACTATTAGCTTGTAGTCGATTGAAATCAACATTATTGACGATTAGCAATTTTCTTAAGATTTGCACAGGATCTCTTTCTTCTCTGATTTTTCTCTGATCATCTGGATTGTTCGTGTTTATAAATCTGCTACAGAATCAAAGTTACCAAGATCTATTAAATCTGAAACGACTCTATAAATTGCTTCACATTTATATGGTGCAATTACAATAAATATCGATTAAATCCTAAATTAATTCCCAAGATTACTTAACTATAAATTGTATTTTAGTTGGTTACTCCCCAATAAAATCTATTAAAGGGAATAAACCCGTTGAATTTAATTATAACAGTCCCTTACTTCGATAATTCGCAATGTAACACTTGCTACCTATATTACTCTTGCTTTATCTTCAGTATAGCATATGTAATGAAAACTATTCGATATATAGAATGGGAAAAAACAATTTATGATTGATATCCTTCTTTGTATGAACAATACTCGTTGATGATTCATTTGAATTAGTTCAGCTGGAACCAGACAGCATAGGATCAACGTGTCTATTATAAATTAAAATTTGATTGCACATAGTAATAGGACTCATCGTATGTGCTTCTGAAACAAATTTTGTTAATCTTGAATAATATCGACCAAGCTGGCGCTTTTATTTCATTTCTACATTCCTGCATTGATCTTTGGTATTGTAATAGGGATAAGTATTCAAGATTTGCTACAGTAGCTGAAACGAATAAAAGACGCAAGCAAGATACGTGTGTGTTTACCTACCAATGCCATTCTTTTTCTCTTGAACCTTAGACCATGAAAAAATAGTATATTGATGGTACTAAAGGATATTATATTATTGTCTTTTACTGAAACAAATGTAACATTGCCATCAGTTAGATCACGAGCTTACAATAAATAATAGTTCTACAATGGATAAAATACCTAAAAACTATGTGTTAAATACAAAAATAGATGCAAATTAAGGAATCATTATAAAGCTCGTTCGTGCAATTCCTCTTATATTCAACTGTGAAATTTGATGCAATTGTTGTTGATAATCAAAAGGATGTTGTTTTTCATCTATACATGTTAGGATGGATTTCTTTGTCCTCAAATTGCGAAATATGATTAAAAAAGCGAGTGCTGCAGTATATAGAATACAAATATCGACCCATTACGCTCCTCCGTTTCGTAAATCGTTACTAATGTTAACTAATAGTCGTCACAAACCTTTTCACATCCTAATTGAGAACAGCGAAAGACCCAAGAATACAGTCAATAGCATCAAATGAAATATGCTTGATCCTATATTAATAAAAACAAAGACGGATGTACGAAATCAATATGACTGAAAAGCAGACACTATCTCCAAACATCCTTTTCTAACTTTTTGCTAATTTTGAAAGAAAAGTTTTAGCTGTACAATTTTTGATCTGCCGTCCTTTTTTAGCCATGAAGATTCATTCAAGGCTTTAAAATATATTTTTATTGAAAGACGTGTTCGATGGAATGAATCATTTGATTTCGCATGAGAATTTTCCTCGTGTCTTTAAATCATCATTTAATGAAGCGAAGTAAGCAATTGGACAACACTAAATACGTAAAATAGACGAAGGATGTAGTAAATATTTGATGATTATGAATCCATAGTAATATATAGTAGGAAATCGGCCAGTAAATTAACTATGCACTTCTTTAAATATTTTATTGAAAACATATATGTATAAATATATTTATTATTCAATTTAGTTTTAACTTAGTCGATTTCTAGAAAGCAATAGTTGAGATTTACAAATTGAATCTATCTTTTTTCCACGAGATCATAAGTCCGTCTGTTTTTCTATTTCATATACATCATCAATCTATGAATCCACAACAATATTCTTGGTCAATTGATGATACAATGTTTGTTCCGATTCGTCCTTCTCTTTACCGATCCTATTTGCCTCTATCAAATAATCATAATCGCTAATTTTGTCTTTTTTAGCTTCCAATTGTTCCATCTGGTCCATGAAAACTTGCGTATGTTCGGCAATAAAATCCGCGTAACGATTAGATAAATAATTCAACCAATATTCTTTGTCCAATACAAAGTCAATCAAAAAGTTTTTACCTCGTTCAATTTTTTCCCTTTGAATTTGCGCAACAGCTTTTGCTACATCATCATGGTTAGCTGGAGCCATATCGGGATAAAGCATAAAGCATATTTTTTCAGTGCCCAATGGCATTTCCAAAGTATTTGCTGGAGATATGTAGAAAAACAAGGCCGTTTCAAGTGCACTAATCTCTTCATCTTCTGCAGCCGTTCCATTCTCGTACGGATGACTTTGTGAGTGTGATAAAGAAAATTCTTGTAGACGATAGAAATTAAAGATCCTCTCAACTTCCCGAAGAACTGCTTCATCAGATAATTCCGATGCGATCATCCTTTCCTCAGTATTTTTTATTTCCATTTCGTATAAAGCGAATAGAATGCCATCATGACACGTTGCAATGACATTCTGCGCTTTCTTATAACACTCTGTACGTAGATTTGGATATTTTACCATTGCATCCAACAATAAACCGATACGTTTTTTAAATGCTTCACGATATTTTTCAGCTTCCGGTAGCCTTAGCATTTCTTCGTAACGTGCCAGCCATATCTCAAAATAGCCCGATCCACCTTCATTCTGAAACCTTTCTTCCCATGGTGCTCTGAATTCTATGGAAAAATCGCCAAACGACGCTAGTGGAATTTGGTCTTTCAACGCGAGATTTTTGATATTGTGAATATTTTCAGGAAATTTTAGAATACGATTATGACTCAACATCACCGTCTTGATATTTGGTAAGTGCACTAATTCTTTTGATACCTTTCGAAGCTGATTACATTCTGCATTGAAAAATTCTAGCTTTTGAAACTCTTTGAAACTATCAGGCACCTCGGTCAAAACGTTACTGGAAAAATTTAATAATTTTAAGCCAGTCAAATTAAACAACGTCTGTGGTATTTCTGAAAATCTGTTGTTGGCTAGAGACAAATATCGTAAATGGTCCATTCTTCCAAAGCTATCAGGAAGTGTGCTAAGAGAAAGAAAGGATAAGTCCAGAGTATTGGAACGCTGCTTGAAACAATCTTTGATTCTTTTCTTTGCTTCCACATCTTGTACGTCATCTGCAGGATCTTGCCAGGCTTCTAAAGATTGTGTTAATTCTGGCATTGTCATAGGTTTCGGAGGCGATGGTCTTAAATATTGAGCTGACGCGAAACGCATACTACTGGCTCCTACTTGGCTGCGACGTTGCGGTACTGCAGACGGACTTTGAAGTCGTATACTATTGGAGGTACGTTGCAGTGCATTGGTTTGGTTTCGGCGTTGAGTTGCTGCCAAAGAAGTACCACGAATTGCAAGAGAATCCATTACTTTTATAGAATATGAAAAATGAAATAGAATAATAATTTTTCCAGGTCATTCAAGTTTATAAATATGCAATTTGAAAATTGAACTCAACTTTCATCTCTTACACTATAGGTAAATAATTATAAATGTTGTGAGTTTCTATCTCTTGAAAAGGTCAGCAATCAACGTCTGCGCAGTCAGCTCAGCATCTTTCCTTTGACTGGCCAAAACTTATAAAGCAAGAACGTAAAAAAAGAAAAGAAGAGAAGAAAACGATTTCTAGGAACGATTATATTTGACTTGCAAATTTATCTACGCTCTCATTTAAACTTTAATCTTTGTATTTCTGTTTTGATAACGTAAAAATTCAATAAATTATTGCAATAAATTCAACAAAGGATATATGTTTATGCTCGATTTCGGCGAACAAGTAGGGATGGCACTTTAACCGTAAAGTTTAAAGGTGTTTAAAATCGCCTTTGAATGCTTCTTTTTAATACTTTTTACTGTATTGACGTATCTAGTCATGCTTGTGAGACTCTCTGCAACAGATAAAACGCCGAAACGAAGCATTTAACCATGACTTTAAACAAGTTTAAGCTCTACACTTTACGGTCAATTTAAAGTTAAAGTGCGACCCCTACGAACAAGCTCGATCAGTCGCCGCGGAAACCACCTTAAATATGGTAATTACGACTAACAGAGTATTAGCAATGAAGAACAGTATTTCTGAAGAGGCTCTGCAATCTTGTCAATCGTGCGTCAACTTGGAAGTAAAATGAACAAGGCAACTAATATTGAAAATGTTAAACATTTGAAAACGTCTATGTGACAAAATAAATGAATCGATTAAATAACGAATACTATGCATAAGCTATATTCTATTGAGTAAAGCTATGTAGATTTTCAAGTTTTATTTTGTATCGATTTTAGTCGGTTCAAATAGTCATAACATATCCATTGTGTGGGAATCAACTAGTATTTTATTCCATTTTCTCTGACAACTTATTCACTTACTTATGTCGAATGATTTAACCAAGATTCTTAATGAAAATTTTATGATTATGACAATGCAGATTAAAAGGACACTGTGCACGTGATGTGTTTTTCTTTTACATATTTCATGACTATTTATATAAGTAGACAGCGGAAGAAACCAACTGCTGATCTTTTTGCTATCAGTCTTTCGCTATAGTTTTTTATTGCTCTTACCTTTGAATACACATTAGCTACTAGTGCCTTTGAAGTGGCTGCACTTATCAGAAGTCAAATATTTAGAATGATCAGCAAATGAATGCGGGTGACGCAAGCAAAACAATACGTTACAGAAGTATAGAGAACTTGATTTCCAAGAATATTCATAAAACGATAACGATATTTATTACATGTCATGAGTTTTTTTCTTTAGAACTGTGTGATAACATACTTCAAAATATTTGTATTTTATTTTCAGTATCTTTTCTAGAGATCTGTAATAGATATATCTTTGATGTACAGCGTACATAATAGCACTTATTAGACCTACATTCATGCCGAATCTCACGAGTTGAGTTGCATTAGAACTCGGTCATTTTCGGGTTTAATCATTCACATTGTTTTCGCAACTGCAATCCATTGAGCATGCAAGAATAGCGATCCTTCGTCACGGCATTTGTATTGACGATGGGCACTTATTGCGCTACTCAGAGTATCTTTGAGTTTGTTAAGCTTGGTTTTTTCTTTCGCGTAAGAAAAATTCTTTAAGAAAGAACTCTGCACTTTTCGTTTTACTAACGATCATCGGGTGTGAAGAGTGAATGTACGCTCACACCCAATAGCCAAAACTTCTCAGTTTTTTTCAACGATCATATTCAATTTCGTTTACACTTCATACGTCTGTCCTACAATATTTTTCTGTGAAAAATCCTTTACACGTACACCCTCAATATTTAATCCATTGTGCAGCCCTTGGGTGTAGGTGTGGATTTGGGTGGAATTGAGCAGAATACCGTCACCCTTACACACCAAGAATGTCCTTCGCGTGCTATCAGGTTTATCAAAAAGATATGAAGAGCGCATGTGCACAACCAGTAACCAAGGCTATGATTCTCTGTTTCATATTGTTGAGATGACTCATCTTTTTGTAAAAATGAATATTCTATTTTATTCATGCAGAAAATATCTGTCAGCTTGAAGAGCTTAAAAATTCTTCCAAATGGATCGATTAAATGTGATTCACAGACATTCACTTGCGTTTTATTATTATTTTTTTCCACTAATCCCATTCTATTATTGACGATGCATTTATTTGCATTGATTACTGTTGTTATCAAAATAAAAGTTTTCGCCGATAGTGCAAATACTGTAGGCATTCACAATAGGTCTAAGAACTTGTAAAAAATGAATAATAATCATTTTCCTAAAATATTCTATGCATTTGCATATTTGTTTCGGGTGAATATGTGTGTGCATGTGCGTGTATTATTCTTTTTCATCGGCAAAATTTTTAAGAGAGACAGATACTAAAAAAAACGATAGAAAACTGACTATTCATGTGTATTGTCTTTGAGAAGGCCAAGTCTTTTAATTGCTGCATATTGCGATGGTATTTCCATAAGGGCATTTAAAGCAAAATCAGCATCGGTATTAGTTGAGACTTGAACAATACTGTTATAGTTAACAAATTGAAAATTATCAAAGTTTCGCGTAGGCAATGAATCATCGAATTCTTTCATCATATCCCACGGTCCATCGCCGACGCCGACCATAACAATTGATAACGGATAATTACTTGCCTCAACAACAGCTTCTTTTGTTTGTCGTTCATTTGTTACTTGACCATCAGCAACAATAACAACAATATGATACTAAAGGATATTTAAAAAGAAAATCCATTGATATTCGAAAGCATTTCATGAAAGTTATACTTGTCCTGTTTTCTTCACTATTCGAATAGCTTCTTTAATTAATGGTGCAAAATTAGTTGGCCCAGACATGCGTACTCTAGGCGTAATTTTATTATATGCATCTAGTACACCACGAAAACCTCTACAATAGCTACCATCAGGCTGTTGAATAAGAAAACACAAATGTTAATGATAATCTACAGTAAGAATAATAAACATACACGTAGAGGAAATATTTTTCGATCAAGTGTTGTTCGATCACCAAAGCCAAACGCTGGTATTAAACTATCGGAGTCAAATTTTTCTAATGTACGTCCAACGATAGTTATAACCTAATAAATAAGAAATCGAAGAAATAATTGTTTTCTTTTCTATTATTTATTAAGTCTAGCATACACTTTGATACGGATTAAGTAGACCTTCTTCTATATGATGTAATGAATGGCCATTAAAAGAATGTTTGCCTGTTTCTAAATTACTTATTGTATAATCAATGCCAAAGATAAGTTGCGAACGAACTAAACCAACATCTTTGACAGCTTGATTTATTTCTTCGATTGTTGAAAAATCATCTCTAATTGCATTCTCATGAGGTGTACAAAATTTTCCTAAACATTGTTTTTTTGTCAACTCATTTTTTTTCTTTTTCTAAAAACCTACGATATATCACCGGATGGCCGGCTTCATTTTTTATTGCTGGCAGCTCGCTAGCTAGCTTTGTTGAATCTTTACTGATATAATACGGTTTTTCTTGTATTATCGGAGGTATTTGAACATAATCATCAATGCCATCAATATCAGCTTCTTGATTTTTACGTTGGCGTAAAAATGTCGATGATATATGGGCACTGTCATTATCATCTTTAATAAGAAAAGATAACGATTTGCATTGGTATTCTTTATTTTAGACCGAAAGAAAAAAAAAAGAAAAGAATACTTGTTACCTAATGTATTTGTGTATGCTGGACTAGTTGTTGTTGAAGAAGGCGACGGAGTTAAAGTTTGATTTGAATTTGATGGAGTTAATGTAATTGGATTTTCTTCAACTATTGTTGGCAATGCTGGCACAGCTGACAAACGATATTCAGATTGGTCACGTGTAGAAATATTTTCATTGATAGCTGCTGCAGTTTGCTCGTCTTTTTCCGTATCGTCATCGGATTTATTTTGACGTCGTCGATAAACAATATATAATATAAGAAGAAGTAAAGAAATAGAAATCCATATTGACAGTGAACTGTGACGTGGTTCGGTAGCTGTTACTGTTGATGCTGGTTGAAGAAGAGGTTCCTTCTATTCAATAAGAACAATGATTCGTCTATTGATTTTGAAAATGAAACAAACCTGTAGATCTGACTTATAACGCAAACATCGACCCTTATTAATATTCGGTGTTGCCATCGAGATAGAAAACGACTGATTCTATAAAGAATATAATAAATAGAATGATGATGATTTTTTTCTTCTTCTTCTTCTTCTTCTTCTTGTCTAATGATGTCATTCGATGCTTTTAGGATGTTTTCTTCATATATGCCTTCTATGTTTATTTGTCATTAAAAACTATTCAGTCGAACAAAAACAAGCAACATTTTTCCTTTCACTAAAAACAAATCAGGTCCGACAACTATTTTTAAAATGCTTGCCTTCTTATTTAGTTATTGTTTATTTAAAAGCAACAAATCGACAGGTTTCATATTGTATGATCGACATCATTGCAGATAAACCGAGAGAAAAAAGACATCACGAAGAGTGCAAATGGGAATATGCTCTTTTTCTTTTGTATGCATTTTTGTTCTTCTCATCGTGTTTTATGAGTTTTCCTTCTCCTCTATGTACAGTGCGGTTTATTTTTATATGCTAGCGTTTGCTTTTTTTTGTAGGCGTTCTATCGTCTCTTGCAGATGTTCGATGGGGGTAACATGTTGTCTTATTTTTTATCCTCTAATTTATCACTTAGAGTGACGTTTCTATCTAATCTTCTGGTACTACTGCTGTAAAGAAAACGGCAACTTGGCTTTTTTTGTTCTTTCTCTCCAATACATACGTTTATATGTATACAGAAGACAATGAAGTGGATGTTTTTGCAAATGTTACAGAATATCGGATCACAGAGTAATAATAATGAGAACAAAAAGCACAGATGATTAACGCGTTTATATTTGATTCTTATCTTTCAAAAAGAAAAAAAATAACAGCAGACAGTTGTCTGTATATGGATGATTTCTTTTCTATACGGTAATATGCACTCTGCTGTCTGCGATCAATCTAGCGATTGTCTAATGTATCAATGAATGAATCAAAGACAGTATATCGCATCATCTGTTTCAGATCTATGCCATTGATAGACGACAAGAAAAAAATCGATAGAAAGTCTAACTGTTTTCTTATTATTATTTTTTTGTGTATTCTTTTAATAAACTTTATAATAGCAAATTAAAAATAAACACATGAGAAAATTTCTTAATGATATTTTTCTATTGGCACATAGGAAAATCTATTTCTATCCCAATCGACGTCAACAAAATCCGATAACATTAACATTCAATGTTTCGAAAGAAACGCTAACAGATCTCATTATATATGGTACAATGATTCCGACTAAGCCAAGTAAACAGTCCCTAGACACACACACACATATATATATATATATATATATATGATTCTTCCTATCTATGGAATTTAATAGTTTATACATTTACCTTGTTTAGTTTTCTGTTCGATGGTAGCTGTTCGTGTTGCAAAAAAGAGTCAGAGAGACCTTGTATCTTTATATAGTAGTTCTCGCCATGTGCATGCTTCAATTGTGATGTCTTGGACAATGATAGCAGACGTTGTTGTTTTGTTGACAACTGCCTAATACATTGCCGAGAGTTGACATATGATGAATAATGACTCAGAATATCTGAAGATGAATAGTATATTGTCGACAAAGGTTTTTCGTATGGATGATTCAAGTATGTCTTCATTAATTGATTTAAAATCGACAGAGTAGAAAATACAGGGACAAATATATAATTACAGATATAAATGTCCTTGTTGACTAATTTATACTATCTTATGTCATTTTACTTCGGTTTTTATGTTCTCGTTGTACTTTGCTATCGCTTGTCCATAGTCAAACAGTGACGAGAATATCAAACCAATTAATAATATCGACTTTCTACTTAAGTAATAATATATTAAGATAGCCAATATCTTCTACTGCTTCTTCTTCTTAAGCGCCACTGGCTCGTATGCCGTTAATGTGGTACTCTGATATTCGTTTTTATCCATTGAGTGGATATCTCTTGAGATATTTTAAGATCTATAGAAAGGCAGACTGACAGAAACAAACAAACACGAACATTGCTACTTAGTAGTTTTTGTGAATAATAGTTAAGAAGAAAACGGCGTATTTACTATCAAAAGCACACGTGAAAAATAGATTAAAATATACAAGCAATAAACTGTGTCTGATGTTAACTGAATTAGGCTATCGATTTATTTGCGTAGGGCATCTAGTTTGATATTCTTACTATTTTTAGTTTATCTGGATCATGAGAAAAAACAAAAACAATGTTGACATGCTCGAAAAAACAACAGATAACATGCTAGAAGAATGCCATTTACCCATTAACTATCAAAGCATCTTGATTTCTGTGATCTTTTGAGCTGAATAGTACATTGCTGAGATATTCATTAGATTCGACTGAATATCTTTTCTTTTATATGACATTTGCATACAACTGCCAATTATTTTAAACTTGCCAACATTGAAATTCAACCCAGTTAAATTTCAACTATTTCATACGTATCAGAAAAACTTTTACACTTTTCTTTTCTTATCATTACTCCTATATATTCATCAGAAATTCATTCGAACACGATTGGCTTATGATATATTTGTTCGAAAACTTTCTCGTCAACTTACATATAATTATTCAAATTGTAAACTCTCATTTATGGATATAATACTATATAGTTCATTATTACGATCATAGTTTTCTACGGGTGATAAAGATAAGTGTGATTTCAGTTTAAAGTATTCCTGTGTCTCATCAGGAAATAAGTAGATTTCAACAAGAGATTTAGAAAGATTATCATATTCAATCGATAAATCTTCAAATTTGAAATACTACCTATTAGTTTGATCGATTTCTTACTGGAACGAAATCCACTTGTATTCATCATATTTGACCAATGCAAGACATGGTCATATATGACGCGAAACGATTATTTATGAACACATACAGAATATACATTCGTTATGGATCATCGTCAACCGGTTGTCTTCATGGCATATATACTATGCTCAGCATTAGTAATTGCATAGGATAGCGTATTATGTCAGACGAATTACTGTATTACTGATGTTATATTTACACGAGGCATGCGACTTTAAACAGTACCATGTGTATGTCTTCTTATTTCTCAATATGATTGCTGTAGACATATGTCATTATTATTTCCTTGAAACAAAATAAAAGATTATAAAGCGTGAAAATAAATCAATACTATCTCGAACAGATTTTGTCGGGAATAACTTTCCTTACGCAATCAAATATTTGAATTATTAGTCGTAGCAGCTGAGAAAATATAATAATTACGGCATATTTTGAAAAGCATCTGCTTTCAATCTTGCGTTGTTTCATTGTATTCACAACTATTAGTTAGTGTTAAGTAGAGACATCTATTCCCGTTGTTTTTTATTGATAGATATTCTACGAAATGGGGTAAAAAAGGAAGAAGAAGAAGAAGAAGAGTTCCATCGTTTATATTATATTCAAATTCATATCAGCGGTTCTAACAGCAGGTATCAGCCTTTGTAACAAAGTATCCATGATACTTGCTCTATCGATTTGATACTCAGTTCTACACTTTGCTCATAAAAACAGTATCGAGCAGATATCTGCTGAAGAAAATTTACACTTTGCTTTTTATTCTATGGAAACTTCGAACTCCTCAATTTTTTTATTAATAGAGATATATTTCATGCGCCGACATCTTCAGACATATCGTGTCATGCGTTAAAATATTTATCTATGCATATCCAATTGTTGCTATTACTGCTATTGTTGTTTTTACGAATCGTAATAACAACAATGACAGTCTAAACGGAGCGATCTATACCTTGGATACTTTATGATACTTTGTTTTAGATTTCTATTAGAAACGCTGATTCAAATACTTGTTGCTTTCGAATCAAATAAGTGTCTTAACCCTACCACAATGCCAGCTGTACCAGCAGGTTATTCAACTCTAGGCCAAGGAAATAAACCAACTTGTTTTCAACGTGTTAAAATTGGTTTCACTATGGGTTTTACAGTGGGCATGGTCACTGGAATTGTTTTTGGTGGTTTTACTGCCATACGGTATGTTATTGAAAACATTGTTTGTTCTTATGAAAATACAATGTGCTGTGTATTTTAAGATATGGTTTACGTGGTCGTGAGCTTATTTCAACTGTTGGTAAATCAGTTGTTTCAGCAGGTGGAACTTTCGGTACATTTATGGCCATTGGTAGTGCTATTCGTTGTTGAGAGACAAAATATACGATCTTTCTTTTTTTTTCTCTTTCAACTCGCCATTGATGTTTTCCTAAAAAACAAAATAAAAAAACTAAACATGATTAGACTCCACACTTTTTTCATATTTTAGAATAATGTCTGAATCCTATATTCTTCATGATGTTATGCGCAAAGTTAAAGCAGATGGACTATTTGATTCAATTCGCCGTGATTTAATATCAGATATTGAACAAAAGGTTTACTTTTATTAAATTAAACAATAAAAAAATTGTATGTCATTATTCGTTTTATTTTAGTCATCATATTTAGATTTAAAATCTCAAATCGAATCTTTAATGTCATCATATCTCGCCGAACATAAATGGAGTTCATCATTGAAAAAATCTGATATACGCGAAAGAGCACGCCGTCATATAGAAACGTAAGTATTTTCTTTCTAGAAGTAAAAACTATTATTTATTGTTGACGATATACAAAAGATTGATCATAATAGAATACTGACTAGTAAGATAAGATTGTCGCTTTCAGAACAGCGTTGGATGTCGCTCGAAAGTCTGTTGATATTTACGTTACCAAGAGAACATATAGATACAATTAGCTATAGAGAATCATTATTATTCAATAATTTTTACTTTCTATTTCTATTGAAGATCAAATTTAATCAAAGATGCATTACCATCGCTTGTTAATCAATGTATGCAAACATGCCAACAACAACTAGTCCAACCACGTCTATCATCGTTTGTATCTGATCATATTGAGCATGTTTATAATTCCATAGGTAAATATTTTTGTCATGAAATTTTTTTTAAAATAAATTTTACTTCCAGGCGGAGCTCATATTTTTCGTCCATCAACATCATATACACAATCAACTACAATTTCACAAGAACCTTCCAATCAAGAAAAACCATCACAATCAATTAGTCCAGAAAACGTTCCTAAGAAATCAAATCCAATTCCTAAACCATCAAATCCAATTGTCAAGAAAGTGTCATCGTCATCATCCGTGCCAAATAAACCTACTAGACCATTGCTAAATCCAACAAATTCTGTTAGAGAAGAAAAAAAACCTCGTGCTGTATCACCATTACATTCGCCAAATGAATTAATCGATATTTCTCCATCGCCACCATCGATTGATAATGAACCTACAATCGTATCGTTAAGTCCATCGCCTCCGCCTCCTGTTGTTCGTATTGCATCACCGTTAACTGTTTCAAAAACTAAAGAAACTCCTCGCAAAAAGAAACACTCACAAGAACGGAATGGTGAGAGTTCAACGAACAATATCAAAAAGAAAAAGATTAAAACTGATGATAAATCACCTTCGGATGGCAAATGTATTATCATTTTGTTTCCAAAAAATAATTAATAGATTTTCTTTTATTTAATATTCTAGCGGATGATATTATATCAATACCGACACCTAAGGAAAAGGGTACTCGAAAACTGCGAGCTCGTCGACCGAATCCAAAATATTCAGCAGAACAATTTGAAACAGGGTACAAGAAAACATGGTATTTTTCAAAACCAATTTATTTTGTAGTTTTAGTGATATTGAAATCATAGAACCATCATCGCCGCCACCACTGTCCTCACCATCTGTAAGTTGATTAATTATATTATAAGAATTACCTTGAGAAGGAGCTGTAATCTTCTCCATGGATAATAGCGTATCAAAGTAAACACTATTTCATATGAATTTCTCCTCATTGAATGTAGTGAATAGTTGTGATAATTACGATTATACGTTGAACAAGTTTTAATATCTTTTGTTGTTTCGATATATAGGCGATGTCTAAACCAAAGAGAAATCGTTCATTAAAATCATCAACGAGTTTTGAACAAGAACAACTCGATACACCATCATCTCCTTGTACAACTTCAGCACTTAATGAAACAGCAACATCGGTAGGTGACATATCACCTGAATATGAAACATTAGTTCCTTCACCTGTAATGGAACAACAACCACCAGCGCCACAAGAACAATCTGAAAGTAATAGTCTATCTTACTTTTTGTTTTCATGAACTAATTTTTGATTATTTTTAGAAATTGATGAACGATCCAGAACACCATCACCAACAATAGTAAATAAGAAAAAATCAGCATCGCCAAGACGTCTTCGTCCAAGAAAACAAAATGAACGTTCTTCAACGGCCGACAATCAAAATGAGACGTTCGTGTGAAATTTTTATCTATATTATGATTTTATCTGTTTTTTTTTCTTGCTATTATTAAGAACTACTACTACTACTACTGATGTTTCAACACGTACATCTACTGTAAGTTCATTTTCTTTTCTTATTAATCTTTTTCATTCTATTGTTTTTATGATTAGAAAACTCGTGAAAGTAGCCGTCAAAAGACAGAACAAACAAGTCAACAATCTAGTCATGATGATACTGATGTTCAACCAGCAACAAAAAAAACTCGACTCGCATCATCGTCATCAGCAACTAGTGATGTTAGTTCTAAAGATGCACCAAATCGATCGATTTCAGTACCAGAAAATCTTAACACAGCAACAGATGAAACACAACCTACACGTGTATCACCATCACCATTGGGTGCTCCTGTTTCGAAATCATTTATTTGGAAGCCTAAAATATCTAAATAATCATTTTGTAAATAAATATTTGTATAGATAAAGTTCCAGAAACCAACATGTAATTACACTGGATGATATCTATGGAGATGGTTTTTCACCAGAGAAGATTTCTCTGATGATGAAAATGGAATATTTGCCTATCAATCTCTCATATCATTATCAAAAGTCCGCTTGAAAGAGTCTGGCCTCAATGAGACCAACACCGCCGAGAACAGACACTATCCTATGATTTTAGCCGAAAAGGCCCAGAGGCGATAGTTGTTAATAGTATTATCAAATCGGAGCGACCGTCGTTTCCTTACACATTTTCTAAGGGAACAATGGCACAAAATAAGTACATCTATAGAAACGAAAAAAAAAACGTTGTAAGCCATGTGCGAACGACTCGATATGTTTATTACAAATGTTTGCGAAGAATTAATTATTTGTACCAGCCGTACAGGGTCGCAATGGCGATGAGTATGTACTTAATGAAAAAGTAGCTGGTGCCAAGAGCGACTTCGTCTGTCGATCAAAATGCACTTGATATCATCAATTACTATTTATATCTTTTCCAAAGCAGACAAACTATTTAAAGAAATATTTATTTAAGCAATTTTGCAGCAAGAAAATCGGCAATGAGAAAATATGAAAATGATGAAATACATTTTATAACTAGAAATTCCATCAAGTCAGTCATTCTAGACAATAATAAAATAACGTTAGTTCGTAGACACGAATGAGCCTGTGTCCGATACATTTTTATCGTCATAGCAAGCATGAAACTCCTCGCTGTCATTAATAATTCATTAGAACATTTTTACGTCAATTGTTTCCTGCTTGATTTATTAAACACAAAAAAAAATGTCGATCATAAGATAATGAATGGAAAATGTTACATAGGAAAATTAGCGTATAGAACAAATAAGAAAGATGTTTTGGATAAAAAGCATCAGTATATGTGTGAATGATGATCTTGATAAAAAAAAAACATTTTTGTGAGAATGTTGCTCTGGTAGGCGATAGATATTTTTCACTACCCACACGGTTTCGTCATTGCAATGCAGGATTCGAACAAGAATGATTCAATACCTCGTGTAGTTATTTATTCAGAAACAGAAAGTTGTGCACACGACAGAACTTTTCTCTCTCATTCTTACACGTGTTATATTCATTGTTTATTTTCTCTCCGCAAACGATGTGTTTACAGACGCTGTGTATCGTATTTACCATGCACGAGCAGATGGTTTTGGGGTCTGAGCGAATTAAACAAGAGATAAAAGCTGCGTAGCGGGTCAAAAAGTAGTTGCGATGACAAAATTGAGCGGATTGAGGAACGTTTCTTCCTATCTACCAGAACAACAGATTCACAAGTACTATGAAATAAGCTCATTGGAACAAAAAAACAAATGTTTATTGCTCATAAAATTACACCGTAGTATTGTAAATTCTATTTTTTGCATAATCTATTACTGAGAGTTTTGTGTTTATTTTGGATATCCAGGAATGCTCAATGATTACAACTGTATAATAACCAGCAAGCATAAAAGCAGTAAAACATAGGCAAGAGATATTGTATATCTATGTATATAGTCACTCACACATATATATTCTGACCATGAGAAGAAAACCAGTACAGATGAAACGACCGATGAAGATGCAAGTTCACAAAAATAACATTTTTAATATCACGATGGAAAGAAAAACTAATGGGAGAAATGTTATCTTATAGCAAAAGAATATCTACAGAATTATTTTAAAAAAATGTAGGAAGAGATATTTTATTTGCTTGTCGGCTTATAAAAACATGTTGTAACAAATTTGTGTCTGTAACGTGTTGTTGTACTTAATACCATAACACCGTCCTAGAAATAAGCGAAACTATAGCTTTGACTTTTTTTCAATATCGACTGCATTAAAACGTACACGAATGGATAATGCATAAAGATGTTTTAACATAACATGATTTGGCTCTGGCAATAGAGCTGGTTCATACTAGAAAGTGAAAAAAGTTGTTTTAGTTTTTAAATACAGAGAAAAAAAATCAACGAAATATATACATGAGCTGCTGTATCTTTATTAAGAATAATATTCAGTAGATGTGGTGGTAGAAATGGTGGTTTATCTGTTTGTGAAAATTCTTTTTGAGTTGTTGGTGGCCAGGTTTGTTCATAAGAGCCTGGTGGAGAACGGGCCATATCTGTGTCAGTGGCTATAATTATATGAAAAATGACAAAGAAAATCTATTCGGTTCTGTTTTACTACACTGCTGTTTAACTAAATTCGCACTTTGACTACTGGATAGAATTGAATCTGATGTAAGTGCTTCCATAACTTCGAAATCGCTTTTTTTAACTGTTACTATATTATTACGGCCATTGCGATCATCATCTTTCGATGGCTAAAAGAGAGAAACGCTTTCAAATGAAACAAAAACAATACGATGTTTGTTTTTTGTATCTTACCTCGTTTATATCATATTCCCAACGGCCATCAATTTGAAATTTATACTCATGTTCACCTTCAGGTAATTCCAAAATAGCAACAAAATCATTATCACTAAAGATTCGAAGAGAATAGAATTCGTTTTCTTGAAAGTGACTACAACCTTTTGACCATTGTTATCATTTCTTTCCAATTAGTAAATGAACCGGTGAGTAATGCTTCTTTATCTTTCGGTAATGCTGGATATTTGAATACAACAGGAATAGTTTTTTTTTCATTGTGCATTTCTGAATGAACAGCTTGTTGTGAATGATGTTGATGCACTTGACGTTGATTACGAATACGTATTGGTAAACTTGAATCATGCCGTGGTACCATCTGAATATGATTTATAAAGATTAAAGAAAACCAATTAGTTTGTATTCGAAAAGAGAGATTTTATTTACTTTGTCATCAGGTGTTGATACATGACTGCTTACGCTAGAATCCTGATGATCGAGAGTAACATAACGACCATCTTCACCATCGCGTTCATATCTTGTATATGTATCACTACGAGTACGACCCGTTGTTTGTTGATTACCCATGAACTAAAGTAAATCAATGAAAATGAAAATGATTTGTATACGTATTTAACATACGAATTGTTTATGTTGCTATATTCGCGAACGAAGAAAATATTTCTAAAATAATAAACAAAAGTTTTTTTTTTCTTCAACAATAAGAAAAAAAAGGTTTGCTTTGTTTTTTTTCGTAATACATTGGCGTGGCGTGTGTGTGTATATGAATATGTATAAGTATATATAATACAAAAAGAAAAAGAAAGAACGAAAGAAAAGAAACAAACGAAAACACTCGTACGTCGTGCTCACATTCATTTTCTATACATGCAAACAAAAATTGCATATAGAATAATCACTATGAATCCTTGTTCAATGAAAAATAGTTAGTACAAAACAACGAGTAGAGTATAAATCTGTCATACATATATTTATATATATATATACAACACACAGAGGGAGCGAAAAAAGAGGAACCAACCAACAAACTGTACATAAACACAAGACAAAGAAGAAGGCTCAACCGCAAAATGTGCAAGTAAACCCTCCGAGTATTTTAATTAATGTTGGCAATTGTATTGATTCATCAATGGTTGTATCATTAATATAAAAATTACACAATGAACAACGTTTTGCACGATCCTGAATAAATATAGGTAGAAATGTTTTATTGCAACGTTGAAAATCATGTCCATTTGGACATGTGATATCATAAAATGTTCTTATATGTAATGCTAATCCACATAATGGACAATGAAGATATTTTTGATCACATGTTGGTAAATATTGACTATTAATTTGTGTTTGCGTTATTGGTCCGTTTGATAATGTTATTGGTGTTGTTGTCATATTTGGATTTGCCATCGCAAGTAATGAACTAAATTGTGTTGCTAAATTTATATTTGTACTACCATTTGGATTTGTTACATTAGCTGATACTTGTAATTGTTGTGTGGAATATTGTAATAGTAATTCACACCAATAGAGAATGGATTTTTCAATTGGTGTTAGTTGTATTTGTTGGTCACTTTGAACATAATCATAGAGTTTTTTAATTAAATCTATTGATATCATTTGAGCGAATACATCAGCTAAAAATAACATATAGGGAGCTTGTCTTAAACCATTACCAAGGCCGCTATTGTGATACGATAATAAAAGACGACATAACGAATGAACTTTTTTCAAGAGGCTAACACTCGCTTGGTCAGCACAATCAGCAACAGACATGATTAAATCAGTTAGTGCATTAGATTTATCTGAGTAAAGTAAAACACGTAATGCAGCAAGAACATCATTTAAACGAAATGATGGTAATGGATTTGAAAGAAAAAATGTTATGGTTGATGGAACATCTTTTAATGAATAAACTGATAATGTTAAAATTGCTTCACTACGTTTCATTGTTAGTACAGTGCAATGAGTAGGTGTGATACCAGCGGCTTGACATTCGCTACCTGAAATAGAAAATTAATTAGCATATTAAAATGTTGATCTACAAAGTCGAAATCTTTAGTGGCAAACATATTTCACTTGTGCCCTTTCGTAAGTAATAGAAATAACGATAGTAGTAGTGAATGACCTTTACTTGAATTTATTATATTGGTTTACGATCATTTTACAGAATACTAAGAGAAAAAAATGAGCCGGAAATTGCTTTTTATGATCCAATCAAAATTTCAACAAAGCGGATGTGCCTATGTCACGGTAATACTGTTGTAAAGCTATTTGTTGCCCGTGAAGGATTCAAACATTTTTATATTGTTCGTTTGACTTCTTAAAGTTGTTTTCAAAAGAGACAACATTGGTATTTGATGAAAATTCCCTTCCGGCTCATTGTTCTCCTAATATTCTGTAAAATGAGTAGATCACAAGAGGAACATGCGAATGGCATAGATGATTTGTTTTTAAACATAAAGGATATTAACAAACATCGACCTGAAAATTTGAGAAAAGACTATCGAACAAGAAAAAAGATTGTTACTGCATAGAAAGTGACTGAATTATTAAATAACAATTATTCTAAACGAAGCACAAAACTTGGTAGAAAAGACTAATATATGTGTGCAGCTTTCATATGGACGTGATTCTCATTACACTAATGCGAAATCTGTGAAGTAGAAAATCTCTGACAGAGTATAGCTGTTTACCAAGAACGATCGGTCCACAAGGAAACGATCTGTCTTACTTATTTCTTTATTGCCAACAGATTTTTACTGTTATTATCTTTTTGTTTTGCATGTTCGTATTCCGTTTTTTTCACTTTAACACATCATTGTTATTCCAAACATTAAATTAGTTTGCAAATATAAGCGCCGTATTCACATGTACTATAGCTGCAACAACGCAAGTCTCTATGCATTTTTAGCGTTTAAAAATATGGATATTAACTATTTACATATTTTTTTTCTAGTACAAAAACAAAGAAAAAAAGTCGTTCTCTGCATAATATTACTAAAACGAGAGAAATCTTCTAAATGATGATTCATTTTTTAGTGGAAACTCTCTGCATAATAAAGCATCAAACGAGCTAAGAATATTCTAAAAAGAATTCATGTCATTAACATTAGCAGAAAAGCTGGTGCAATGTGTTTATGTTAAAATAGAAACAAAATGAAACTATTATTGTTAAATCCTGTATTTGTAAAAAGCTTAAAAGTAAGAATTCAAGAAAAGATTTTTTCTCAAGAGGACTGTTACAGTATTCTTATCAATGAGAAAATTCCTTGATTATTAATTTCGTGTAATAACTTTTTCTGTTGGTGACAAAATAATTGTCCTCGATTCCTATGGTAACGTACCCATTGATTGTTGGCTTCCTTCACACACATCCGTCCCCCTCTCACTAAGGACGAACAGACATACTCAATAATCATTGGCTTTTGGCCTCACAATGCTATGATAGAATTTACCTGCTGGTAATAATTGACAAAATTGTTCAAATCTAGTTGTATGTTGTGCTGGCAGATGATGATGAAGATGTGGATCGTTAAATGTTTGTGTTACTTGTCGATGTATGAAACCATCGCGACATATTAGATATAAATCTTGTGTATCCGATAAAAAATGTGTTAGTACACTTGAATTTAAAGCATATTCATTAACTGTTTTAATAGTAAATTGTGAACACGATGTATTATAACCTGTTGATGTTATATTCAATGTAGCGATAACAATTGAATCCATTTGAGCAAAAAATAATCTATGTTCATTATATTGTTGATATAAAGCAATATGATGTATACGTGAACCATTTGAAACAAGATGTGGCGATTCTTGTTTTGTATATGCCAGTAGTGGTGTTAGTTCATTACCAGTTAACGATATAGAAATAAGAGATACATGTCCATGTGATGAACCAAGTGCTAATATACCGGCTGTATCTGATAATGAAAGCCATGCCATAGCTGATATAGAATTATGTGGTGGTTTGTAGGATGTTTCTACTTTTGAATTGTATAAACCGTTTGGCATTGATGGTGAAAGGCCTGATTTTTTTGTTCCATTTGCTGTTGGTTCAGTAGCATTAGGTTCGAGTAGAGCAGCGTATGTGAGTGTAAGATTATTAGTTGGTTGTTGTTCAGATAATTGCCATATAACAACATGACCTGATTCAAGGCCACAGAAAAGAAGAACGAAACGCGATGGAGAATCACGTCGAAGAACATTCGACCAACCCAAACATGTTGGTACTAAAAAGAAATCGTTATACTTTGTATTTTTACATATTATTCTTTTTGATATTACCTAAAAGAGCTTCTTCATCACGTGATAATCCTCCGCCAGTTGTTCCATTACTAGTGGCTGTTTTTCGTGATGTTGTTGCATTGCCACCATTTCGTTCATCTAATTGAGCTCTCCATCGTTTCGAAACATTGAATAAAACGACAGGTGATTCTTGATTTGCATCACATATAACAAGTTGGCCTGTGGATGACGCAACAGCTAATAAACGAGCACCATCTGGTCGCAGTGAATCCGGACAGAATAACGCTAAGGGTGTATATGTGTAATATTTTAAATCATCTTGTTCAAGATGTTGATCAAGTTGAAACCACGAAACAGTAAATAATTGAACTTTACGTGATGAATGACCACTAAAAGTTAGTAGAGTAAAACCAGTTGATGAGGCTATTGCAAAACGAGACCAATCTGAACATGAAATAGCGCCATCTTTGAGCGAATCTGACGTTTGAAAATGCTGTTCTTCAAGCAACGAACAGTCAAAACCACTCATTATGTTTGATATTCTTGTTCACAACTAAATACAATGGAAACAAATAAAAAGCAGATGAAATTATATTTACACGAGGTCATTTTAGATCTTAACTGAAACATCTGATTAATTAATAGATTGATCGGAAAGTACCTGATTATAGTAATAATTACAATATTCAACAACATGATAAATAACTCGGATTTTTTTTTCGTTTTTTCTTTTTCTCTTTTCTTGTTCGGCTGTTGAAGGAACGAATAGATCAGAACGCAAAAAGAATGAATGAGCGACAGTAGGCGGCGTCACAGAGAGAGAGAAACAATGGCGTGGTCGGATAAAAGGACGCGTGAGACGCTATACAGAACACAAATCATTCCCATTGTTTGTTGATAAGTACCTTGACAATGTCATAAGAAAACAAAAATTTAATAAATATCATTATTTTATAAATTTTTATTGCTCTTGCTCATGCAAATTATAATTTTTTTAATGATAGAAGAAAAATTCCCTGCTGTATATAGATGTCACTTGTGTATTGGCTACCTTTGAAAGATAATAACAATAGCGCGTTTGACATCATTGAAATCTTCAATACTCAATTTTTCGATCCTATTATGGCCGTGATTAGCTGTTTATGACACGATAAAATACGGTCGTAATACGATGCATGTCAATTTGCGGCGATTTACTATTGGAAACTGTAAGAACCGATAGGAAATGTTGGCGTTTTCGGTCGTGCACGATCGCTTCTGGTTGCCATAATGCTCGATATTGGATATGTTGAAGATTTTTTATATTCTCCCTTATTTTGGATTTTATTGGATCTAACTGGAAAGTCTTCTGGTTAATGTACAATTTATAAATATGCATAGTGAGTGAATCAAACGTTCGGAATGTTTTCTATTAGTGACAGTTAGCATTATCATCTTCAACAGTAACAAAAAAGAGTGCAAATGTTACTCTCTCTTTCTTTCTCTTCCTATTATTTTCTTAACGCATAATTAAAAAATTCTTTCTAATCGTGCTCTATCTTGTGATCATTCAGAAACTTCAAATTTGTTTTGATGCTCATATTCAATGGTATGCCACGAAAAACCTAGTAGCAATATTTATTTAAAATTATCAGACACAAATGATCATTTAATCAGTTGTAAAAAAAAGAATAATAAAGGGAAAATTGGATTGAGTTAATGTCAAAACCAAGATCAATCAATTCATTACTGCCCAGGGCGAACAGTCAGATAGCTGGATCCAATCGGTTCATGTTGGATTCTAAGTAAATCCGGAGTGTGAACTCACTCACGGATCTCTAGTGTTGGAATCCGATCGATTCTTCCAGGAATTAGTCAAAACCCGATAGGGCTTTTTTTTAGGAAACTCGTTGGAATCCGACCCCTGAAATTCCTATTGAATTCAGTTGTTGGATTTGGTCCGATTTTCACTGGATTCCCACACTAGAGATCCGTTAGTAGTTCCTCAACTCGGAATCCCATAAGACGTTGTTGGCTCGTCGGATTTTATGAGATTCGATCGGATTGATTCACCTGAGCTATGTTGTTTTGGTTGAATTTCACTTTCTTCATTTTCTGCAGGAATCGTAGTGGTGAATGAAGTAGCAGGCAGATCAACAATATTTGAAACAATTTGGTATGCTATGTTTGACGAAGAGTTCGACTAGATAATGGCTAGATTACACAAAAAAGAGAAGAAACAAGAAATTGTTTAATTGATCAAGTGCTAATGCATCCGATTTACTGAACGTATCCTCATTAAGATCCGGACTCCGAAATATATCTTCCTCGTAGCGGAGACCGTAATTGTGAACAGCTTTTGATAAAGTTTGATATAAATTAATAGATGATTTCTATGAAGAGAAGAGAAACTTATCGGTCACAACTTCAAGGAAAAAATTTGACGAGAAAGAGACCGTCTTCATCAAATCACTCTTTCTTTCCTCACGTATTCATTTAGATTTGTTCATTCCAGATGAATGAATCAAATACAGAATCCGATCGAACTACTGTCGGATCTGATCAGATCCGATTGTCGGAATAATGCTACATGCGTTTTAGTACAAATCTTATTGGCGCGAAATTCTTCTTCAATACCTGTACATTTCATGTGACGAGAAGATTACCATGCTTTTACTCTTCTATGGTGAGAGTATTCCAAAAGTTTTTCTTCCCAGTTCGAAGTTTAAGGAGTTCATAATCGGTGATAAACGGCAGTACACATTCGGTTTATCTACATGTACGATCGTTTATCATCGTATTGTATACCAAGAAATACGATCATATATGGAGATCGTAAACAGCCGTCGTTGTTCGTCTTTGGCACCTAGTCGAAGTGAGTGATGCGATTGTTCTAATTAATTGACAGTCTGACGTTTATTAGATGATAAACAAAAGTAAATCGATCGCTAGTGAAAATTGAGTATTCTGCCACTTGGAATGGTTAGTGAGCAAACAACTAATATTCACTGTTCTCATATTCAAATCGTTGATTTAACTACCTGCAATAACCATTGTGTGCTTCATTTTGATTGATCAGAAAATCGAAACAAAACGAGCCCCTAATCGACTCTCCCCCAACGATTCCCCGTAAAATAAAGAAATCCCTGGGGAGTCCCTGTCGTGAGTCCCCGGGGACTTTTTATTTGGGGGACTCCCCGGGGATTTCTCTGGGGAGAATTGATGAAATCTTTTAAAATAAAAAAAAAACTTTTTAATTTTTTTAATTTTTAAAAAATTAAGAAGAATTTATTAGTAATTAGATATTTCATCGATTTTGACCAGATAACTCCCCGGGGAGTCCCCAGGGAGTCCCCGCAAAAGAACGAAATCCCTGGTGACTCCCTGGGGATTCTTCTAGGGAGAGTTGACTAGGGGCTAAATACTTCCCACCCTGACACACTTGAATGATGTAGAGTTTTGGTTTGTCAATGAAAGGACTATACCAAATACGTCTAGATCAAAATTTTCATCATCATATGAGAATTGTGCAAATACAACTATAAATTGTAATCTCATGAAAACGCATACCGGCTTCATCCACAAACTGTTTATAAGCATTCTTCGCTGTTGTCAAGTATAAATAAAACACAATCTAGAATTCTGTAGCCTCATGTGCTGTCATATATATTCTTCAAAAACAGCACATGACAGTGCAAAGTCTAGGTTCGCAGAGGCATATTCTCTCCGTTACAAAGTGTATTTGTATTCACAGATCTCTGCCTTACTTGATTTCATCTTGACCGTAAATGCACATAGTTCAATTAGAAATTTTTAGAAGTTCATATAATATAGACGTACACATTAATAGGTTTAATCATTGGCAACAAAAAGAAAGAAAAAGTTGCATTATTTTAAGGTCAAGAATTGATTTTCATATTCAAAAGCAAAACTTATATGCATGAAAAATTCGCATGAGTAAAATAGATTTGAGTAACATATCATTCTAGTCCATCTTAAATCCGTCCATAAATTTGAATTGTTCAAGAAAAATAGACATCGGTGTGTTTCGTGAACGAATACGATTGAGCTGATTTGAGATTTTACTTGCTAAGTTACGATTTCGTAAGATCGCGTGACAAATAATACCTATACGATTCATAATAGAACCTTACAAATATTTCTATAGAAAGAAAAGTTCTACGAACCTAGTACGGGCAATAGAATGCCAAAAAGTATAATAAGCAAAAAATTCAAAAAGCTTATATTGTAAAAGACGATGGCAACTGTAATGATATTAAAAAGAGCGAAAGTAATTTTTGTAGATTTGGATGAAGATGAATTGCCATGGTTAATCGACGATAAGTTCCGATTGAACTGAAATCTAGTGGGAAATAATGACTTGCTGCTTCTTCGTACGTAGACAATCAGTATTAACCCAAAATGAATTAGAAAATCGACAGGAAACATGATTCTATATTAAATATTTGAAGTTTTCTTGGAAAATAAAAAAAGCATAACTTACGCAATAATTATCAAACATACGATGACGAATGCGAAGTAATTAGTTTGATAGTAAATTAAATTGCCGTAAAGCCTATTCTTTAATCGATCATCGTCGAAAAATTTTGGTATATTCCATGTTGCATCGAAAAGAAAGTCATTAAGCGGTCGAATTGGAGCCGTTTGCATTTCTTTTGTTAGCCACTGCTTATTTCTGTCACGAACTATTGTTTTGTTTTTTGGCACTGAAAAAACGGTTGTACTCAACTCAATTAAATAAAATCCTGAAAACTTCCGAGCGATCTTCTACAACGATTTCCGTGTCTTGAGTTTTTTCTTTGGAAAAGTGAAAGTTCTCTTAGTCATTTACCTTGGATGGGTTCACGATTATACGTTTTCACTTCAATTTGTTTGACAGGTCTTAATTTTTGTTCTGACACGTGAGGAACTTGATCATTGATACGATTGAATAGTCGACAACCGATACGTTGAGCCGTACTAAATCGTTGAAGCGTTTGTAGATATTCCATATTTAGACGTAAAATCAATGACCGTTGTTTCTCCTAAACACGTTTCGAATAGAATGGTCAGTATCTTTTAGCTACTATATCGTTTATGTGGAGGTAACTGGACATTCGTTGCAGACAATTCGTCGCATAGATAATTCGTCGTATAGACAATGCGTCGCATTGACAATTCGTCGCGTAGTTAATTGAATGTGACACAATTAATGTAGAGGTGGAGAGAGAAATTTATTCATAGGGAAGTCTAGTGAAAATCATATTTTAGTTAAATTTACCTTTGAAATCTCTACTGTGATATCGAAAAATCATTTTCGCAAAAAGCTTTTCGTTCTAAATTATAATTGTAACCTTCATTAACAATTAGAATATTTATTTTTTGCTTGGTGAGGATAACAGAGTTATAATTTTATACATTAATTGAAACGCGGTTTTAGTTAAGCCAATTAACAGTGAGAAATGGCACAGTTATAATTAATTACAGCATATTCGCGACGAATAATCTGACAGCAAAATGCCCGTACAACGAATTGTTCATGCGACAAATTATATGGCGACGAATTGTCTGCGACGAATTCACGTAGCACCAAATTACGTAGTTTGTAAAATTAGCGGCTGTGTTCACGCTATCATTTAGATTCAACAATTAGTTTTTGATAAAATGTTTTGAAACTTGGTCAGTATTCATTGACTTACACAGCCGGTTTCGCTTAAACCGGATAAATTTTTGATCTGTTTCAATGCATCGGCAGTTTTTAACATTAGATTATCGGACTCAATCAAAACAGTTTCACTAGAAGAGATCCGTAGAGAAACTTAGTTATGGTTTAATAATAAAATAAGAAGCACGTATACATACAGATGACGTATTACAAAGTTCCACTCCGAGTTTTGGTTTACTGTTAGTTTTTCTATTTTAGCAGCTTAAATTTCAAAAACAATACAAATGAATATGCGAGAACATTATTGACTACAAGATATAAAACGCGCAAGCATACCATTTTGGCGAATTTGTTCCAATTGAGAAATAACAATTTTTTCTAGCCGTATGAGTTCATTTACTCCCATTATTAATTTATCAAAAGAAAAATGAATAAAATAGTGTCCGCCTTAATTTTGCTGGTCAGTTGAATTCTTAATAAATTATAACACGATGCACTCAAAAAGCGTAAACAAAAAAGATAACTGCTTGCTATCTTAGAATGACAGGGAACAATATCGGCCACGTTGCATTCGTAATCTTTGGTTTCTCCCTGCATTTGACACGTAAAATAACTCATGAATTATTCTCAGTCATATGTGTGAGAAGCAAACGTTACCGTATAATTGATAGACGATTCCATTTGATAGTACCGATAAGGTGGTCTAAGTCTCTGTGGCAAAAAAAACACTATGTTCCAAAAATCTCGTTGAACCATTAAAGAATCGATGAGATGCGGATGCGCAATACTTAATTACCAGCAAAATTTCGATATATTTACCGTTGGTGTTTTAAACAAAAAATTATTTATTCCATTTTGCTAATACTCTCTTCTTGTTTTACCCAGGACGAGCTTTACGACGTCCGTATACGGTGAAATACGGGCCGTATACGACCGTGTATGTTCGACCTGGGTAGTCTATCTATGTGGTTCTATATCTATATGATGTTTTCATGTAAACCAGAGGTCGCTGTAATACGAAGATGAAACCAACCATAGTTAACAAGAAATTCTAGGCGGAGTTCGATTAATCATAAAATTTAAGACAAAGAAAAGTCTAGAAAAAATTATTACAACATTTCATGGAAAATTTCTGTATCTTTCAACAATTGCATTCTTTCTGTCGTTGAATTAACTTACTCATTGAGACATTCAACTTAGTCAATGGCGGCTTATATTTTTTTTCTTTTTCATCATGTTTGTTCCTGTCCTTCTTTTTTGCCTTTCATGGTCACTTAACTTGTTGTTCATAGAATGTCTACGTGGCTAAAAATGCCACAGATTATTCTGAATCATTTTAATGAATATAAATATGAAAAACTTTCTCATTTTTTCTCTAGAATTTTTTCATCTTTTTTCACATTTCCCATTCTACTCAATAAATATAAGCAATAAAAAAAACATTCGAAAACAAGTATCAAAATGGGAAATGTATTTGCTAATCTGTTTAAAAATCTCTTCGGCAAGAAGGAAATGCGTATTTTAATGGTTGGTCTTGATGCTGCAGGTTAGTGATAACGATACTCAAGAAAACATATCGAACATTTTTGTTTGTGTCATTCTGACTAGGTAAAACAACAATATTGTATAAACTCAAACTAGGTGAAATTGTTACGACCATTCCAACAATCGGTAAAAAAATAATTTTTCTAAGAATTCAATTCAATTAAAGTTGAAATTTTTTAGGTTTCAATGTTGAAACTGTTGAGTATAAAAATATTAGTTTTACAGTATGGGATGTTGGTGGTCAAGTAAGCTCGTTTAAAAATTAACTGATTGACAATATCATTAATCATTGTTTTTCCCTAGGATAAAATTCGTCCACTTTGGAGACATTACTTTCAAAACACTCAAGGTATGTTTAAAATCTGCCAAACTTAAAATTTTTATTGTTTATATTTGTTTTTTAGGTTTGATTTTCGTTGTCGATAGTAATGATCGAGAACGTGTTGGTGAAGCTCGTGATGAACTTCAACGTATGCTTGCTGAAGATGAATTAAGAGATGCTGTTCTTTTGATATTTGCTAATAAACAGGTATGAAAATTATCTATTTAGAAGATTTTAATTTTAATTTCCATTGTTTAGGATTTACCAAATGCAATGAATGCAGCAGAAATAACGGATAAATTAGGTCTTCATTCACTGCGTAATCGTAATTGGTATATCCAAGCTACATGTGCAACAAGTGGTGATGGTCTTTATGAAGGTCTCGATTGGCTTTCAAATCAACTCAAAAATGCCAAGTGAACATTGATATAACAACAATCCATTTAATATCTTTAACATTGTCTCTTCTACTGTTCTTCTTTTTTTGTCTTTTGCAAATATATATATATTTCAACATGATATATAAGTCTATTTCTTTGCTTTTTTTATCGAAAAACAAAACAATGGAAACGGTTCGATTCTTACGTTTTATTTATTCTATTGGTCTCTTTTATTTTAAGGTGTTCTCAGCAAAGTTCCCATTTATCTAATGATCACTTCAAGTGTCCGTTGTTTCATTCTATATTCTATCAGTTTTTTGTTCCTATTCTCCTCTCTCTCTCTCTTTTTTTTTGTGTTTGTTTGTTTGTTGTTATTTGGAAATTTTTGTTCACTTGGATTCTGGTAAGGGAAGAGAAAATGATGGTACACCATTGTTTGAACAAGAAAATAAAACATACATGAAATATTTACACTAATAAAGATTAAGTAAAAATACCAATGTTTTTTAATTTATAGGGCAAAATTGAATTGGTTTCGTTTTTACATTAGACTAAAAGAGAATATCTTACTGATTTTCTCTGCGTGTTTTACAAATAATAGTATATCAATACATAGTTATAATAAGTAGAAACGTTGTAGCTAATAAATGGGAGTTTAGTGTTGAAAACTACATGTAATACGAGTCTTTTATGATAAAGAAATTTGGTAGCTAATACGATAAATTGATACCAATCTCTTGGCCATAATGAATGACTGTAATTGGTTTTGATCATATAGTAACTTTATTTTAAAATAAAATATACTATAAAATGACGCGTGAAAAACACAATAATTTGCAATAAGTATCTTACTTTTGATAGATGCAAATTATCTTTTCAAAGGGGGCAATTGTGTTCTGCTCCTAATTTGTAATGGTTTGAATATAATCGGTACACGACGTATATATCCAATAGGACATCATTAATGATAACTTTATATACTAGTCATTTATAATATGTTAAGTGTGAAAAAACAGTTACAATAGGATTCTCGTGCAATAAAAATGATATTTTGCAATGTCTTGAAAATTTGTTTCATGAAACTTACATTAGGCCATCTTGAAAGTAAAAACTATACTGGATGTGAGTGTGTGATCTAATGAAGTATCTCACTTTCTGAAAGTTTAATTTGCAATAGGTCGCGAAATAGTTTTGAGTACTAGCTACAAAATGTTAAGTCTTCCTCTGTCATTTTCGAAAACTGTCGAAAGCTCTGTTAATATGTACGGTGAACTTGTTACATATAGACTTACGTGAAGCAAAGAAATCGCGTGGTTATCAATATTTATCGTTACGAGCAAATAATGCATATACATAACCTAGAGATATAGCAGCATATCTTTTATTTGATTAAAATCAAAATATCTTTTAGTTCCATCTACTAGAGGTAAACATTATGATAAATACGGAAATAGTTCTTTGACAAATTACTTATGGAATTCGTCACCAAAAATATCTCGAAAGAGAAATATAACTGTTCAAAATCTTTCTATGATTGTAAATGTCAAAGCATTATAATCGTACTATGATGCTCTTTTCCATTATTTTTAGGATATTCTTGAAAAGCAAGATATTCATGTACAATTGATATTTTTCGATGTACACAACATTTTTTCTTGAAGATTATTTTCTTTTATACAGTTACAGATAGAGTGTGATTGTTTAAATAGAATTGATTTCGATTAAATAAATATATTTTAGTACAAACGAGACAAAGGTTCGTTTAACCAAACTATATAGTTAGAAATATCTGCTTGTTTTTCCTATGCGAAGACTTGTTTTTTGTATAAATGACTACAAAAATATAGAATAAAGTATGTTATATTATAATATTTAAGAAAAAAACTGAATGCCTTTCGCACATCAGAAAACGCGTCCTAACTACGGCCACATTTTTTTTCCACGATTTACGTAGACGGACTCATCCAAATATCTTGGACGTTTCCTCGTGTGCTACGGGCCTGCCGAAAGATGGCGAGATCGGCCCGGGCATCTGTTCAAATTAAGTAAATATCTATTTGAAGTTAAATACATAAGAAATTGCGCAATAACATATTCGTCTTCGTCCGCCGATTTGTTCACGGTTCTTTTACTTCGTAGAGATATAGAAATACATATATCTTTTGTCGTTCTTTTATTCTCTTTTATTTTTATTTTATTCGATCAAATACAACGTTCGAATTTTTATGTATTAATAACAAAAGAAAAAACACACGCGCTGTTCTTCTTATTATTGTTTTTTTTCTCTACATGAGACCGGAGTCCATTCGATAACAAAAGAAAACGATCGAAAATTTAGCATTGGTGCTTTTTCTATGTTTTTGTGTAATAATTAATAATTTTTATTGGCCACGCCAACGGTTAATTTCTTTTGGGCAATGGCAAGATGGTCACTGTATTCTTGAAATGGTGTTTTAGTGAATACAGTTTCTTTCCATAAATCAGGTGTTAAATATGAATAAGTTGATGCCATAGCGGCGTATGTTGCTTTAGCTAAAACGCACAGTAACAAAATATAGAAAAATATTTAAAAAAAGACTCATAAGTAATATACCGAAGTTGCCAAGTGTAGCGGTACATCCTTTGGCTGCTGTCCAGCAATCTTGAATACCAGCCATTTGAAGAAGTTTCTTTGGTACTGGAGCGCATACAAGACTTGTTCCACGAGGTGCTGGAATCAAACGTACAAGTACACTACCACAAGAGCCTGTTACCTATAATGAATAGAAAGCATTATAGTGAATCATATAATTTAGAAAATTATACTTTGCATGGAACTGTATGTGGCAAACCAATTTTGTTACCCCAATAACCTCGTCGTACAGGGATAACGGAGAGCTTGGCGAGAATAATAGCACCACGAATAGCAGTTGCTACTTCTTTTGAACATTTAACACCAAGACCAATATGTCCTTTGCCATCACCAACGACAACAATAGCCTTGAAACGAGTACGTTGACCAGCTCGAGTTTGTTTCTGTACGGGCATAATTTTGAGTACTTCATCTTTAAGATCTGGTAATAGGCGATCGATAATATCGGCTTCCTAAATCATAAATTCATATAGAAACAATGAAAACAAGCGAAAAAACAATGAACAAACTTTGATGGGTAATGAAAATAGATAGATTTCTTCGAGTGTACGAATTTTGCCATCATTAACTAAGCGACCTAGTTTGGTGACTGGTACCCATGCTTTTGTTGTATCATCTTTTGGACGTTGACCACGACGACCACGGCCACGACCACGACCTAGCAAACGAATGGCATAAGTAAATTATGTTTTGTAAATTTTTTTCAACATACTGTCGCCACGGCCTCCTTCACCACGACCGCGACCTATAAAAAGACAAGAAAATTTTTAAACAAAAAAAGAATTTTTTTAAAATTTTCTACAACTTACCTCCTTCACCACGTCCACGGCCACCTTCACCGCCTCGTCCTACAAGAAAAATTCTAGCTTTACATAATGACTAATCTTTGTCATGCAATTTTTACCGCCTCGTGTGCCAAAGCCACCTCGGGTTCCGCCACGTTCTGCCATATTTGATCTTTTCTTTTTATATAATTATCTGAAAATAGAATTTACTTTAGTAATAATATTTAAACGACTAGCATTTTAATGCAATCGATTAAAACTGTCACGTATTGAATGAATGCCATTCATATCTAAAAGTAAAAAGAAAAGAAATTTAAAATGTTGTCAACGTTGAACAAATCTTGTTTTTAGAAACAAAATTAGAAAAGCAAACAAGAGCAGAACGATGACAAATTTTATATTTCTATTCCTGCTGTGTCTTGTATGAACATAACAAAACATTAGTCAATGTTCACAAATGCCAACAGGTTATTGGTAATTACTTTAGCTTTATTTAGATTTTCCTGTTAAATTTTCAGTTTTCACTATCTATGACTGTTCCTCTTTTGTTTTTCCTGCATCCGGTTATGTGTGTTCAAGAAGTAAAATGTTGACACAAAATATTATCGACAGGAGTATTGTTTCTTGAGAGAAATATATTTTTGCCTATTTGTTTGACAAGGTAAAAATTCTGTTGTTTTTAGATATAATTTTACATGTGAAAAAAGAATGAAAGAAGAACGAGATTCTTTTTCATTTCATCTTAATGGTATACATGTCTGACAAGTTTGTTTCTTAGCAACAGAACAAACACACAAACAGCGCTTTTCTTACAACATCTCCAACACAAAGTCATACATACTATAATCGATTCACCAAAAAGCTTATTATATTAGAATAAAAACAATGCTATACATGCCAGCAACCACATTAGCGACACCATTAGTCCTGCAAGAAACTAAAACAGTGCCATTTTTACCGCAGTATTATATGGTACCAACAACAACAACAACAACAACAACAATGATTCCGACAGCATCATTTCTTAATACAACATTTGCTTATCCAACTTACGGCATATTGACTAAAACAATTGAAAAACCTCCAACTGTTGAAGGTATATGTATTGAAATCAGTTGATAGAACATTAACATCAGAGTTCATTTTTTTAGTTAAACAACCTCCTCAACAGATTATACACCATTATCCATCATCATGCTCTACAAATCATTATAGTGATTGTTGCGACTTATGCTGTCCATGGAAAGATCAATCGCCTAATTCTTCTAATCAACGATCACGGTCGCGATCACAATCACAATCACGATCTCGATCTCGATCACATTCTCCGCCGACATGTGACCAAGAACGTTATTCTCGTTGTGATCAATACGATGGATCGAAATGTAATCCTAATGTTGAAACTGTCGATGAAAAAATCGCACGTATTCGACGTGAACTACATTTAAATTCAGCATCTAGACATGACAAATCAACAGAAACCATCGATTATTATCATCGACGACCATCACCACCACCACCAATAACTCTAGAACAACGTATACCCTACAAACAACATTACGATGCACCAAAGCCACGTCGACGCAGTACATCATCAAACAGGTTAAGATTAATTTCAATTACTAAGAAATTTTGTTTGATGCTTTAATTTCCACATAGAGCATCATCGTTACCACGTGAACCATGGCGTTCATCAAATCAAAATGATTATGCATGGCGAGATGCTCATATGCCTGCTTATCGTGCAGCTACATTAAATCGTTCACAAACATCACTTAATGAATCTCACCAATCGCATGAAACAGCCCATCAACGTAGCCATTTAAATGCAGAACATCGATCGACAACTAATTGTAATAATAATTATGTCTACCGGCCAAAGTCTGAAGTTGAAACTCGTAAATATTACATACAAACAACAGGTAAAAATCCTGATCATGAAGTCTGTCAAGCCTTACATCCTAAAACAGCGACATATTATTCTACTGGATCCTGCTATGATACACAATCACATACTAAAACTCATTCATTCTATTCGGAGGTTCCAAAAACAACATATGCACCGAAACTAGTTGATTTAACACCATCTCATAATTCATATACAAGCAATGATCAATGTATACATATTGTACCAAAAAATGGTAGTACATTAGATCCACCCTACTTAAAAATTTATAACGCACCTGTTACATATCTTCATTAACGATCTACTACGTATTATTAAACTTTGCTTGAATTAATTTTTTTCTTTGCTCTTCTTTCGTCTTATACATATTTATAGTTTTTAAATTTCAGAATATCCCAACAGAAATCCTTAAATTTATTATCGCACTAGGAACTGCTCTTACTTTCTCTAATAATAAAATGCCTGGGAGTCTTTTTATGAAAATCTATTCAACACAATACTATGGGCACTAGTGTTTTATCTAGCGGGAGGCCAAGGGACATTTTGCCCGCCCGAGAAAAATGAAATAAATAATTAACTTTTATATAAATTACAAAATACAGATCTTTCGAACGCATCAGTATGATAGGCTCGATATTACTCATGATAGTTAGCCCCTTAAAAAACTTTTACCCGCCCTTCCGGAGTGAAAAATCTAGATAAAGCACTGATGGGTACTGATATTAACCTACGAATGAAGTCGTTGAAATTATCGACTATCTCGTCGCCGCCAGCTTCATCCTATTTCAGCAGCAAGAGGGACGTCCTCTGAGACTAATTAAAAATTTAGATTACATGTCACCGATACGGAGTCTTGTAATCGTTTTTTCCATGGAACCAGTAAGAAGTTAGAGAGTGCGTAAACAAACTTTCCTTATTCCACTGAATATCACTGTTAAAACCTGACTTATTTAAAAATGTGAAAACTTTTCTACTCTTACTGATGACTTCAATTTCTGATCGAAATCCTTTCCAAGACTTTAGTTAACTAACTTAATACTACTAGAAACAAAAACTTACCAAAAAAAAAACGAAATCTTCGGTTGAACGTAATAATAATCTGAAATGAAAAAATGAAAAAAAATTATTTATGTAATGTATTTTTCTCATTAATTTGTTCTTATTTCATAATTATACGTCAAAATTGAAGAATGAAATATAGTTAATATTTATAGAAAAATGAACTTTGTCATAAAACATTAGCCAACAATAAGCGACTAAACGTATACATATAAATATTTACACACATACAAATGAACGCATGCGAAGTAGATCGAGAGAAAAAAGGAACTGTTTTAGTATTCTGTAAAAAGAAAACGATTATTGCAGAAAAAGCACACTTACACAAATCATTAACAGTAAATGATCTTAAAGATTTGGCGAGTAGACAACAAAGCGAGTGTATAAATACAATAAAAAGACGAGGACATTGTCGAACAAGGAATGTGACAGTATTTTTGTAAAAGAAAATCTTGAGCAAATATGAAAGCTAGTACTAAGAAATTATAAGTAGAGATTTTCGAGGTGAATGAGTAAATTCTACGCTAGCTGAACGTCGCAATGAAATAAGTGGAACTGATGACTGTTGTTGAGATGAGATTTGATGAGAATTTGGCATTAATTGTACTGGATTTGATTGGTTTTTCGATGTGGTTAATGGTTGTTGTAGACGATTGTTAACTAATGATAACGCTTCAAGTTTAATTGCTTTTTCTTTGGTTAATAATTCATCAGGAAATGATATTTTATTTTCTTTAGCTAACTGTCTTAAATCAAAATAATATTTTGCATAAATCGATGAGCCAACATTAACGTTAAATTGAAGTAATTGTATATATTCACGTTCTAACTCATTCCTATGAATAAGAAATTTTCGACTAGGATCGATTGTTTTTTCCCTTCTATTCTACTTACATTTCACTGACAGTTATATCTCGAAGTATTTGACAAAAGTCAACATTCCATACTGCTTGATCATCCCATACTTTTGATGCTAACATAATGGCACCTATAAACAAACATAAGATTTGTTCTTCTTTATTAGACTTTTGCGAAATGAAATAAATCGAAACTAACCAAGTACCAGTCGTTTCCAATTCGATGGACATAAATCAAGTTCGCCGTAGCTTAAAACACGTTCGAGATAAACCTAAAATAAAATATATACTCAATCATTGGTATACAATAATCGACTACACATTATGAACATCCAACACAAAGAGTCAACATTTCAATCACAAATAGATTTGGTTATCAACAGAATATTTTCTTTGCGAAACATTACACTCCGAAAGCGTCTATTGCGACTCGTTTTTGTGTACTTAAAAGAAAAAGAGTACACTATAGAATCGGTCAGTGTGTCCGCCAGTCCGTTTATTCGATAACTCTTCACAATTACATTCGATTGAGCTGAAATTTTGTGCACAGAATTGTCTCATCAATATCTAGGTCGAGTTCGAAGATGAGAAGGATCCGTCAAGAAATGGCGGAGTTATCGAAAAAATTGTCATTTTTGATCAGACCATCTCTGAGAAGGGGTACAGGGATTTTTCAAAGAAAACTTTTTTTTCTCAGAATTATCCACAACATATATGAATCGACTCAGTTTTTAACGCTGATTCTAAATCTGATATTAGTTTTGAACTAAATCGTAGCTTTCTAACGAAACATCGCCTGAAAAACGTCTCAAAATGCACAAAAACTGCATTCAAAAATCAAATTGCCTAGTTTCTCATGATAATTTTCGTGTTCAGACATTCTAGAATGACTCATATGTCCCATGCACTTTTTGCAGTACACATAACTCTCGGACGAAATCCGAAGTTTCCACATTTATTTTTTACTATAATCAGAAAGTAAAGCTTCAATAATGAAAATCTAATCATTTCAATATTAACTGCGCGTTTCTATCTTGCATTCGTCTCTATCAAGTTCTCACATTTACAAATCGAAACGTCATTATTAGAAACAACTTTGGAACGCATAAACTATCTCGCTGAATATTTCCGAAAATCTTCTAAACACTATAGATAAGAACATTTTCCAAAAACATAAGAGTACTATATTCGTAACTGAGGAACTCTTCACGAGCTTCTCTAGATGATCCCAACATTGAAATCTCCTAGAAGTTTTATCTAAATAGAATATCATGCAGCTAGCGGGTAAGAAAATTACCAGTGTGACAATTGCACATTCTGCAGTTAATTGTGCCGCTGTAAAAAGAATTCTCATAAATCGATAAATTGTTTTTTGTTCAGTCATTTGCTGGTCGTAATCATCAGGCACTGGATCTTTCTATAAGAAACAAAATAATACTATTTTCTTTTTTTTTTTTAAAAATAAACTTACAGTTAAGGGATGGAGTTTTTCATCGAATATACTCATTGTTTTATTTGACTTACGATGTACTATATGTGAATGTATAGCAATACTAACGCACTTTATCATTGCTTTCCAATTCGGCTGTGACACAGTGGAATCGTCAACATAAATAGTTGAACAAGAATTCGAATGTTTTTGTAAAATATTTGCGATATCTCGTTGATTATTTGTTCGGCTCGATGTAATTGATGCTGATGAATTCAACGGTGGACGATGCAATCGTTCGTTTGGTACGCGTATAACATTATCATTCGGAGTTTTTAATGCTGGCTGTTGCTGTGGGGGTTCTTTTGGTTGATCTATAGAAAAAGTAAAAATAATACTGTTTTCTTATGCTTTGTGATTGATGAACTTACGAAGCATCGACGCGAAATATGTTGATGTTGTTGGATTATCAGACGGCGCAAGTTCAACTTCAGTTTCTACAAAAACAAAAATAAAAGTTTTCTTAATACAATGAGAAAAAGCTGAAGATAAAATGTAGCTAATCGAAAGATTCTATCGACATATTAAACTCATCGGTTCACTTTTACTATCGAATCTAAGTCATTCGACTTTACTAAAACTCAAATCTAACGCGCTACGGTATTTTTCGCACTATAGCACTTTCACGAGCATAACATTCATGATGGTTACACCTCCCGCAAGTTCCTATTACATAAACAAATTTATCTATAACATGGTAAAGGTCCGGCTACGTTTTTCTTTTACGTTAAACGCTGTTATCTATTTTCATATGATGTAACTTGAAATTCGTTGCCCCAGACGAAAAAAATCCTTAGTGTAAACGCGTTTCAAGCATTTTATGTATAATTTAAACGTACGATTTCCATATATTTCTGAAACATGAATTTTATTATCATAAGATACTGGCGAATTATCTGCGTCATTATATGGATAATTTGTGTCATTGTTACCACTACGTGTTGGCCCATAATCATTGCTCCTAGAAAGAAGGAAAAGATTTTTCATTTTGGAATAATGGAATATTTCATTCTGTATACTTGTATTTCTTCGCTGTTTTGCAGCAACAAGGACAGCAAAGACTGGCGACGACACCCATCGATAAGCATTTTATATGATATCGAAATGCCCAGAGGCCATAGTTTGAATTTCTTGCTTTTTTTCTGAAATAATAAGAGTAAATATGTCCACTGGATGCTAGTATGACTCAGATACTGATGGTGGATTGTTGAAGAAGAGACGAACCTCTCAGGGAAAAAAAAATCATTTTCTCTAAAATAAAATTATTTTATTAAAATATTTTTCTAGAAAGGAAAATTCAAACTATATTGTAATTATTGTATTTCAATTGAGTATAGATGTCGCTTGTTAAAACTAAGGTGAACTAATATTTAATTAATTATTTTTCTTGAAAGAAAAATATATTTAATTGATTTTCTTTTATATTGGAAAATAAATTATTGTTTCCAATATGATTGATGGATTATCTAGGATCGAACTCTAATCAATATGACCTTGAGGAGTAATAAAAAAACGAGAAAAATGTCTGCACGTTTTGATTTGCATAGGGAATCAGATCAGATCCAGTTTTCTTTCATTCCTCTACCTATCATAGTGTATGTGTGTGTTTTTTCTGACGTTGTTGCTATTATCAAAGCTTTATTTTTCTGCTTTTGTTAATAAAAAAAACAACTATTTCTAGAGATTTAAACAAAAGTCAATCATGCACTTAACACTTGTTGTTCTCCTTGTATTGAGTAAGTAGAACAAGATTTTGAAGAGTAAATTTTTATAATTATTTTATTTTTATGGATTAGTTCCATCAATAACAACTTTGAAATGTTATATATGTAATTCGAATGAAGATCCTAAATGTACAAGTACAAATGCAGATGATTTAGCAGCATTTGCAAGGGATTGTACCGTTCCTGTTGAACCATACTGTCGTACAATAACTCAAACAGGTAATACAAAAATAGTGACAAGAAGAAGATCATATTTCATTGTTATTTATATTATAGTTAATACAGATAAAAGTATTGTCCGCACATGTGGTTCAAGAGTAACATCAAAAAGTTGTTATAAAACTGCTGGACTCAATAGTGTAAGATTGTTTCTATTAATTTCGACATGATATTTAATTTCATTTATCAAAAAATACATTAGGCCAATGTTTGTTCGTGTAATTCCGATCTTTGCAATAGTGCACCAAAGTTCAATCAACCGCAACAAATAATGACGATTCTTTCGTCAATTATTGTTATGGCAACAGCGCTCATTATGCTCCGTTAAGAATGAAACAAGCGATTTTTCTACTATTTCGGTATTCATCCTAAGTCAATTGTGTATCCCTTATCTTAGTTTTATTTGAAAAACATCTAATAATCAAAAAAAATTTTTTTGTGCGCTGTAGTCAATTTTCAATGATTTATTTTCGTTCTTTTTTCTTGTCTTCCCGTTTTTTTTTACCAAACTGACATTTTTGTGTCTATGTGGTAGTTGTTGTGTGATGCTTTCTATTTTCGTGTTTGTATCATCGTTTATCCCAATAGTATAGAAAAGATTAAAAAAGAACGCACATATATATTGGTTTATAGCTTTATAGAACATCAAAAATAAAATAAATATTATACGAAAATTAATTTTTCTAAAATTATTCAATCAATAAAAACAATCGAGAATATCTCATAGCATTGAGAGACTGACCGAATATAATACAAGCTGCTTGAGCAAGTTTCTTTTTATAAAGAACATTTTCAAACTAAGTTTTTTATGATGCAAAAAAATGTAATTTTACAAGTACTTTTGTTTTTATTACATTTGTATAAAAAAGAAAGCAATAGAATAAATTCTAGTGCCAAATTAAGTTATAAGAAAAGTTCTAGTATATTCGATTTCAAGGTTATTGAAATTTTCAAGTAATGACAAACGAAGAAATATCAAAAGATTTAAAATCACATGAAGTCTAAAGGATCTTGATAATAAAATCATTGGTAAACGTATTACCGTTTACAATAGCTTGTTTGCTATCGATAAAAGCTTATCGGTAGTCTCTTATTTCAAATGAAAAAACAATTTGTTTTTTTAATTTTATTTATTAAGTTTGATCGATAGGTAAATTATATGTACTTGTATTAAATTATCATGACCTTTCAAGCGCTCTGCGTATATATTGAAAATATTTCAAAAGAAATTAACGAGTACATATTCAACTATGTGTGCGACGTATGAGTAAATGCAAAAAATTTTTCATAAGAAGCCGCAATAGAATACGATGAGATAAGAAGCAGTAATGCATAGTAATAAATTTTGCGATAATAAATATATACGAAAGTCTATTGACAAAGAGAGTCAATCTGACAAGCGAACGATAATTCATAGTAGAAATAGAATACGATGATCTTCTATGATAGAACGAAGATCAAATATCATAACTGGTTTGTATGACTCATGAGAATTTAACCATTGGATAATAAATTAACTATCAATTCAAAATTTTCAAACGGCAAAATCTTCAATTTATTGTGAACTGGAGATTTTGTTTATACGGATATAAATTATAGACACACATCAAATGACACTAATTTAATTATTATCTTGTCAATAGAATAGAATAACTACTATTGAAAACTATTCATTTATTAATAGAACACATATTTCAATCCTATTAATCTGATACTAAACAAGAAGAAATTTATCAACAGTAACAATCATGTCTTTTGTTTTATGATGGGAAGAAAACAAAGTCTAGCGGCTGTACACATGCAAAAAACAAAAAGCCTGAGTTAAAAACAAACAAACATGAATAGGAATGCATTCTCATCAGTGTGTAACACTTTTTTTTTGAAAATTTTATATGCATACAGTGCATACAAAAAGGATTAAACAAGATTTTATTTTCTCTAATCTAAACACTTGAAGAAATCTTTTCGAGTAGAAAAAAAATTATTTTCAACATTATGACTATCAGATACTCAACGATAGATTTTCTATTATTTAGAACGTTTAAATAAATTTTGTGTATACCAAATGGATTTATACAGGATTAAATTGGAATTTTCAGTATCAAAATCATTCGAGTACATGCTCGTTCTACAGATGCTGTTTGATTTTCAGAATAAACCATTGAGGAATTCGTTTTGTCAACGGTAGGAACAAGATATGGGTAAGGATTGCAGAGAAAATCAAACGGAAATATATCTCATTGAGGATCTCTTTAATGCAACTGAGTAGAACTTTGATAATGTCGACTATCGCTAGCCGCATAAAGAATAAGGCACTATTGAATGTAGCGATGAGATTATTATTTACCTAGAGCATCATCTAGAAATTTATAAAACTTTAAATTCGCTAAAAAACTCTATCTTTAGAAATCTGATCATAACTGTAGTTTTTTTCTGTTGAAAATAATTTTTTACTATTCGAATTTTTTAAGAAGACACATAATCTCACATTTAATAAATCATGTTGAATCATTTTAGTACCTACTGAGTATACAATTGCACATATATGTATATATGAAAGACCAATATTTAGTTTTTGATTCTCTCAAGATTCAGTTTTCACTGTAGAATAGGGATGAAAATCATGACGTCGTTGTTGTTGTTGTTGTTGTTGATGATGACGTATTTTTCCTCCATTGGTTATCGTTGGTGAATTTGTACGATACATGTGTGTACTAGCATGAACTTTCAAATTTCCTTTTGTTGTAAATGCTCGACCGCAGATCTAATAGAATAAATCAAGGAAAAAATCATAGATTCTAAACAACCTTAAACTTCAAATCTTACTTCACATTTATAGGGTTTTTCTCCTGTATGTGTTCGATTATGAATTTGTAAAGCTGAAGCTGATGAAAAACATTTTGAACAAATACTACAAACATGTTGTGAAATCGATGATGAACGTTTTATGGGATTGGCTTCATCAACATTAATTTCGGTATCGTTTTTCTCGTCGCATGTTAATGAATTTACACTTTTAGTTTTTTGATTAAATGCTGCAGCTGCAGCTAGAAATGGGAAAAATTGTGGATTAAATAATGAAAACGATGAGATATTAACAAGTGGTTGATCTTCATCTTCATTGTTCTATAAAGAAAAAATTCATTTATAATACTAGGACGTAAAAAAACGTGAACCTGTGATTCATCATTGGAATCAGTCGTTGTTATATTTTCATCGGTTACTGAATTATTATCATTTAAACGATGAATATTCATATGTGTTTTAAGATTTCCTTTTGTTGAAAATGCTCGTGCACATATTCGACATCGAAATGGACGTTCGCCTGTATGCGTACGATAATGCATTTTAAGCGCACTTTGACATGATAATATACGTTTACAAACTACGCATTCATTTGAATCATTTTTATTGCTCGTTCGTTCAAGTTTTTCAATCATATCTTTAAGCTAAATATGTAAGTAGTTAATTTTAGAATTAAAAACAAAATCCCAAACTTTAGACATATGAGGATTTTCTGGTTCGCCTTCATGAGATTCCATTTGAAATTCAATTAACGAGCCTGTTTGTTCTTCATCGGATTTTATTGATGTTGACGATAAATCAAGTGGCGAATCATAATTATCATCTTCATCCGATGGTGATATTGGTGTTACTTCAAACAAAAACAGAAGATTTTAATTTACGAACGGAGAGTTGTGAATTCTATTTTACCGTCTTGTTGTTGCTGTTGTTGATAGGTTTTCAATTGTTGTTGAAATTGTTTAATCATAAGTTTTTGTGAGCGCTGTTGTTCTTGAATAGCTGCTAATTGTAGTTGAAGTTGATTTAATTCTGAATTAAGATTATTTGACATTCTAAAATAAAGAAAGTAAAAATCGTGATCGACGCGTAATGATTGATTATTTGATAAGAGAAAAAACAACAGCTGATCTCTGCGTTTTTGTTCTTTCTATATCATTGTGTCAATCCAATAGACCTATTGTCTTCTATTTTTCTTAGTAAATTAAAGTTCATCTTAGTGAAGGAAATATCGACTTAATATTTTCCTAGAGATTGCGAAATTTTTTTCTGATGAAGAAATTTAAGAGACAACTACATAAGTAACTTCTATTCCAGTTCATGTAAAATTATAGTAAAAAAAAGAGAAGTAAAACTGCATTCTTTTCGTATTTTTTTTAAATTTTTGGAAGATGAAATATTGATATTATTCATAATGTTGTAATTATTTCATTTATTCTATATTTCAATCAAATACTTACATATGCATTCTGATCTGAGCAAATGTTTGTCCCGCACTTCTATAACGTTGTATATATATATAGTACCCAAATCTATCTTATTCCTAATGCATAAATTATATTCAATAAAAACATTGTTGACTCTTTTCTCTCTTTTTTGTTTCTTTTATCAATCTTCTCTATCTATGCACATATTATTTTGATTGCGCATTATAGTCTCTAGAATAAGCATACAAATGGATGCATACAAAGAAACAATAATATCGATTCTCTGTCTCAAACAACTCGAACAAGTTTGTTTTCAATTAAAATATCAATACATATAAATGGACTTTTTTTTCGATAGAGAGAGAGAGAGAGAATAATAAGAAGAAATAGATAAAAGAAAACAAGAAAGAAGATTAATCAACATATGCAATATCTGTATATAGTTATTATACTCAGAACTTTTTGATTAGAATAATGAGAAAATTATTTACTGTCATATATATGTCTATTTTAAGCAAGTAACTATGAGCGTATTCTCTCTTCTCGTATATAGATATAGACATTTATGATTATGATATTACAATGAGATCGACAAAAAATGTTGCATAGAGTGAATGAGAAGAAAAAAAGAAGAAGGAAGATATAAAATATATATATATATATATATACATAATTCTGCATCATAATAATGCAAGAAGGATTGATATTGAAAAGAGAATAAACTCATAAAAAAAGTATAAATCAATCAAGATATGAGAGATTATCAATTTATTCTTATTTATTTAAAAATAAAATACTTCTTTTATTACATAAATGAAAATTTTGAAAACGTACCATAGAGATTTCAATTTTATCTTACCTTGTTACGTGTAATAAAACTTATAGAGAGAAAAACAATGATATCTTCCTAGACTTATATCAATATATTATATTAATACAATTATCAACCATGTAGTTATTGCTTTTTTAGCCAAAACGACTGCCCACGCGAGCTATAATCCAGAAGTATATGTTGCATGCACAAAACGCTAATAATGTTGATATAAGGCTTTATGAATTGATATATACAGATGCACGTAGAAAAGAAATTATATCTATATTTTGCCATGATATCTACTATTAATATCTATATAAATGTCATCACTAACTTACTTTATTCATGAAATAAAATCTATTGAACGATTTGCTTTTCTTTAATCTTTACGAACATAGAAATGTTAAGTAGTTGCATTTTAATGTATATATAAAATAAAAAGGAGGAGGCTCATCATCATCATCATCATCATCATCATGATCAAATACAAAAATGAGGGATAAACGAAATAAAATGTTCAGTAGCTTTATCAAAAAGATTAACATACTTGTGCACATTGTTTGAAAAGAGAATAAAAAAATTTTTGCTTGTTAAAAATGCACGCATTCATTTCATATGTTAAGAAGGCTTTAAAAAGACCATCATATAGACAATCATCAACATTTATAATTATATTCTTAGAACGTATTTACGAAAAAGAAGAACGTCAAATCTATTGATACTCAATATTAATTTGCAGTGAAATATTGGTAATAGACAATTCTTTTTTTTTAGCACATAGTTACACATGAATATGAATAAATGCAAAACGAAATTTGACAATCTATGTATTCAATCATATGATCCCTTGCTTTTTTATTTTGCTTTACATTGTTATGTATTGACATTCGTCTTTATTCAGCTTATTTATCTGCAGTTTTGCGACAAACGATAGAAAGCAAAAGAAGAAATTTGGCAACGTCTTTCGTATTGCACAAAAATCTGCGATACGTATCATGCAATCGTGTAAATAAAAACGCGTGAAATATTTTTTTTTCAAAACTCATTGACTCTATGTAAAATATTAGAAAAAGAGAGAAGCACAAACAGAAAGAAAAAGAAATTAAAGTGTTCTCGAATACAATAGTTCTCTTTTTTCTGCCATTGTCGTTTTCCATTCTGTTCCACTTGTTACCTACTGTTACTACTCATGACGGCAACAAAAAATGACATTCAACGATTGATTGAATGTTGTATTTGCTGTGATTATCTTACCGATGTACGTGAAACTCCTTGTTGTCATCAATTATTTTGTTATTCATGTATACAATCGTGGCTTAAAAAACCAACAAAAAATTGTCCACGCTGTCGATCAACAACATTGACAGAACAGAGCCTATTAAAAAATATTGTCTTACAACGGTTTGTTGACAATCTTCAATTCGATTGTCCGAACGCACTACAAGGTTGTTCATTGAAAATTTCAAGATGCGACTTAGTGAAACATAAACGCTTGTGTCTTTATTCGCCTGAAAAACTTGCTAATAAACAGCGACTAAAACTAGACGAATCACGATCTTTATTATTGCGCTTTAAAGAAGGCAAAACGTTTATTACCGATAAAGTTTTATTTGATTTAGCAAAATTATTCTACGATGAACATGATTGTAATAGCGCACGAGAATGTTTGCAAATGATTAAAGATCAAGATAATTCACAAGAGCTAATTATACTTCAAGCAAAAATCGAACAAGACACAAATCACTATGATAAAGCTTTAGAATTATATTCGAAAGCTTATACCTTAGTTAAATCTAATTCACAACGTATTGAACTACTTTCTGCTAAAGGACACTTACTATCGAAAAAAGGTCAATACGAACAAGCTAAAGATGCGTTTTCGCAAGCGTTAGATTTATTGCCATCAGATGATGATTCACATATGAAAGCTGAAATTCTTAATGCTCTTGGACTAATCGCTAAAAAATGTTCAGATGTAAGTAGAAAACAACAACAACAAACGAAAAAATGTAATTTTCTGATTTCTACTTGGATGTCAAGTATGATCAAGCAATATCAACTTACGATGAAGCGCTTAGGATTGTTGATCATAATTCAAAATTATGGTCAGATATTATTTCTAATCTTGCTGGTAGATATTTTCTTCCAACTTGTATTTATTGAATAGTAACATTTACTGTTTTTTAAAATCAATAGATATTCATCGTAAGAAAGGTAATTATAATGAAGCACGAGAACTTTACTTGAAATCTCTCAAACAAGCTGAAGCACTCTATGGACCAAATCATCCGTCGATAGCTGATATTATGAACAATCTTGGTATATTATATAAAAAAGAAGGCAAATATACAGAAGCATTAGATTATCTTAAGCAAGCATTAAAATTTTCAAAACACCATTATGGACAACAACACCCAACGATTGGAATATATCTTACTAATGTTGGCGATATTTATCGAAAAGTAAAAACAAAATCTTACCGGAAGAGTATTCAAACTTAGATTTTGTCTATAAATCATTTACTAGAATCTTCGTAAAGGGCTGCCTTTTTTCAGTCAAATTAAAAGTTTTACCTAAAAATTTCGAACCAACGAAATCTCAATGTTGATCTGAAAAATTCTAGATAAATCATCGGTCAGATATGAACACTCTTAACATGTGCATGAATATTATAACATTCCCGTCGGAAAAAAAGAAACGTCTCTGTAAGCTGACATTGAGTAGATGATTCATCTAGAAATGCTAAAGGTTTACGTAGCGTAGGTAAAATTTTAGTACGAAAAATTACCTGGAAAATTTTATGTTTTGTTTTTAGCAAGGCGACTTCAAAACAGCTGAAGCAACATATAAAGAAGCTTTAACTTGTTTAGAACAAGCCTATGGAAAAAATCATATAGAAGTAGCCGAAGTGCTTAACTCAATGGGTTTAGTGTTAAAGAAACGAGCTGATTATGATGGCGCCGAACAACATTATAAACGTGCAATTGAAATAGTCTACGATACGTTTGGTCACGATCAAGAACATTATAAATTAGGTATTTATAATAATAATTTAGCTGATCTCGATCGTAAACGAAATAAATTCGATGATGCATTACGACTTTATCAACGTGCATTAACTTCGATTGAAAAAACACTTGGTCCACAACATTCGGAAGCGGCAGACATTTTACATAACATTGGCCAAGTTCAACATCAACTAGGTTTATTATTATTTAAATTTTGCACTTCATTGTTTTTCTTTCTATTAGGCAATTATAAAGAAGCTATTGATTATATAAATCGTGCACTAATGATTATCAAACGAGAATTTGATGATAAACATTATAAATATGGCATGTATCTTAATTCTCTTGGTCTTGCCTATGCAATGATGAATGATTATAAAATAGCTTATATACATTTAAAGCAAGCGTTACAGATACTTTTAAACACATTAGGTTCGGATCATATTGAAGTATGCGATGTTTACTCGAGTTTAGGTGATATTTGTATGAAATTCGTCGTTGAAATTGATCAACAAAAGCAAAAACGTCAAGGTGAACAACAAGCAAAACTAGACGAAGCAAAAGCCTATTATTTAGATGCACAACGAATTGTACAAGCAACATTCGGCAATGAACATACCAAAGCGATACAATTTTCATCACTTTTATTTATTGTTAATAATTATAGTTCATTATCTAAAATTGAAATCAATTAATCTGCTGATATTTCTTCATGGACTTCTTCTTTTTTTACTCTGTGTTGCGTTAATCATAATCTCAAACTCATATTAAATAATACTTTTCAGTAAAAAAACTTGCACATGTGTTCTTGCAACAGGCCATGATAGACATCTAAGCAATAAGTTCCGTCACTCATCGAAATGGCATTGTTTATATACAATGACAGACTGTATATCAATAATGTTGTGTTTCTAAAGTATAAATTACGTCCGTCTGACGTTTCTGAAGGACTAAATAGAAGAAGAAATGTATCTGAAAATAGATTGAATATAAAAGAAAAACTATCACCGTATTTTACACCAGCAGCGACATCTTACATCAAAGGGTAGATTTTTAGTTTATGATCATTAGCTTAGTATATGATATGGGATCACGATTGAAGATTGTGTTTTAGGAACATTGATTTAATATTGATGTATTAAAAGCTATGGTCGCTTGATTTTCAAGCCATTAAAAGAAAGTTTTATTTTGTTATTTGGAATATTCTATTCTTTATTATAATTATTTCATTATCTATGAGAAACATCAATTGATACTATTATGATAAAGCGAATAAAATGTTACATCATAGGAACGAATTGAAATTAAAATTCGAATTGACTATTTGACTCCTGCAAAATAAACACCTATAATTAATCATAATGAGAAACTGGAGACACACATTCGAATCCAAGTCTTGATTTCAAACTCTGTATAACTTAACTCGTATTTCATTAATTATTAAGTAAATTTTCTGATGTTATCACAAATATTTGAATGTACACAAGTTACCAGAAGGTGGCCTACTTCCGCTACTTCACGAAAATCAATTTTTTTCCCAAGTAATGATTGTTAGGTTCGTTTTTTGTTTTATAACGAACATGTTCATGGAGTGAAGTTAAAAGTAAAATTCACTGTGTAAAAGTTGCCTTAGACGAGATATGCATCGTTCCATTCGTCAGCTGAGCTTTCTTGTTTTTTTGCATTTTCATCTATACTTTTTTATTCTCTGTCATATGTTGAATTTCATTTAAAAGAAAAAGTCATATTGTTTTTAATCTTCAATCAATTATTAGTAGAAACTCAATACTAGAATTATTAATGCAAACACAAAACATTTTTTTCTGGCAATTTATTTTACTTTCAATTAAAACAATTTGTATTTCAGCGAGAGCAATAGAAAAAAAAACTAGACAACGAAATTCTCTACGGCATGAATTAATTTTAGCAGTAGAAACAAAATCAATAATTTAATAAATAAGTTTTATTTTTTAAAAGAAGAAAAAAGAAATTAGGCGAAATAGGCACATTAAAAATAAAATCTCGCTTTTTATTTCTTATAATTATCAATGGTTTTTAATCATTAAAGCAATTGAAGTCATTCCAATGACAATTAATAATGACGAAAATAATTGTTGAGTACCGGAACATCTCGCTACTGTGAGTCCTGCAGGAGCATCCTTTGGCGGGCAGAATCTATGAAATTTGTCGATGCAGAGTTCGACTGTGCATGTTCGATTAGTACATTCAAATACATCGTAAGAATCGATTAGTGTAGTTCTACAGCCAGGTAATGCACAACAATAACATGAACAACGTTGGGCGAATGTTAATTGTATACCCAAAAGGAAAACAAGGAGTATAGTTAAGACACGCATGGTATCAGTACGTCAAATGGCAATAAATGATCGAAGTCGATAACTGAAAAGGGATATATATGCTTTCATTTTTTTAGCTTACTACTCTTTTTTTCTTGGTAATTTGATTCCGTTTCATATTCTCCAAAACTATTTTGGCCATTTTTCAATGAAAATAAATAACATGTTTTCGAATAGTGGCAACGGCAGCAGTGACTTTGACGATTCATTATATATGGGACTTGAGTTTTCATCAGTTAGCAAATATGAAAATTAATATTGTTGTTGAATCACATAATGATTTTTATGTTTTGATATTTAAATTTTTTCTCTTTTGTCAATCATTTTAGTTAATCAGATACTCCAAAATGTATATTTACAGAGGATATTTCATGTACACAGGTGAAAATATTTAATTATCAATGAGTCAAGTAAAGAAAAAGATTAGTCTCCTATGTATCCTAGCAAAGATTAAAATTTTCATTGGCATCATTTTTCCTTCGATCGATTTATTTATCATAGGAATAATCATTTGATTTCGAAGTTCAATCGCGATAGAATTTGGCAAAAATTATAAACGTAATTAGAAGTGGAAACAAAGTTAAACCATGAAAAATGGTATAAGCATGAGCGCAAACAGGATCACCTAAACCATCTGAACCAATCATGGGACAGCGTGTTCCATTAAACATAAAGCAAGCACTAAGGTCGCATGTTGTTGAATTACAAATTTCGCCAACATTTATTGCGACGACAAATGCTGGATTGCATGAAGTTGAATTACAGCAATTACAATGGCATAATTTTTTCGTTTGAACATCCTTTAAGTGTAATATAATACAAAACATGAAGATCACTTTCATTTGCATATTTTGTTTATAAATGCAAAACAAAAAGAAAGTGTATAGCATTAATTCTCTTCTGTAGATATTTACAGAATCGAAAAAGGTCATCATCATCATGTTAGTCGATTTCTATGTGTCTCATTGAAAATTCGAATAGGTTTTTTATTCAATAATTTTTTTAACACCTATTAAAATCTTCATCGATAGAATAATAATATATCATATGATGTTATTTATCATTATGAAATTAAACTGCGTAAAAACATTCCAAAAATATTTTCATTAAGAAAAGATCCCTACGAACGATAAATGAATTTCATACGTTGATGCGTTTCATCACGTTTCTTTTTCATAAATTTTGCATACCAATAGAATATACATATATATGTATAGAAAACATAAAAAGAGTCAGAATAAAGAACGTGAATAAACGATGGGAAATCATCAAACCTGCCCAAAACGTCAACATCGTCCTAGTGAATGTGTTGGTTTCAATAAACATGACACCGACAATGAACGTTTAGTAACCATTCTTCAACGAGAAAGACGCGTATGAATAATTTCGAAATTATCCATTTTGAGCTATAGTTTAATATTTTATCAGATTTCAACAAAAAGTGCACCACCACTTGATGAATTCAATACAGCAGCGTTCACAATTGATTCATCATTGATTACTTTCTCAATACCGATTTTACCTTTTGATGCATATGCAAGTGTTACAGGCACTTTTACGGATTGGATTGAACATAAAATGGCGAAGTTGTATGTTGAAGTTGCTTTTTGGGAGATATTTTTCTTTCATTAAAATTATAGAAATGGTGAATTTAGCATACGTATTCGAATCGAACATGGTTGCCATTATTATAGAATTTTAGTTAATGGACGATCGCGTTTTATCCCAAACGAAGTAAGTTTGAGTTCTGCTTAGTGAATTTGAATATGAAAAATTTATGATTTGATTCAAGACAATTGAATGCCATGCAAAATTTGGTCGTGTACATTTTCTTTATGTGACCGCGAATGATCAAAAAGTAAATAATTATTTAGAACGAACTTTTTTTTCTCATCGTAAATCCAATGTATGGACGCAAGAAGTAAACAATCAATTTATAAAAAGTGATCAACCACCACCCCCTCGTATTCCACCTCATCTACTTAATATTCTTCTCAATCAAAAATTGCCTGCTAATGTCTGATGACTACTCCGATCTACGTAAATAACATTCTATAAATTGATTCTTCATTTTTCTAGTGTGATCCTGATGTTCTTCCGGAACCCAATACTGTCATGCTTCGACATTTATATGCTTTATCAATTCAAGTAACGATTGGATTCTATAGAAAATTTTAATTTTTCTTTAACATCATTTAGAACGGCATTATGATATTAAGTACAACAATTCGATATAAACAAAAATTTGTTACAACCTGTTTCTATAAACCAAACTAAAGTTTATTTTTTATATAATATATTAAACTGAATCGAAATAATAGCAATGCACGTGTGTACTATTTTGTAAAGACATTGCTTAATAAATATAGATATGTAGTAAAATGTTTTGATTTTTATCTATTCTATTTGTGTATTGACGTCACAGGACCATCCCAACACGAAAAATTGTTCCTTTCATTTTACGTTGATGTCAGTAACATAGTTGAAATACCTACAGCATATATGCAACTATTTCCTTTGGCAACAATGCAATACTTCTGTATTTTTCATTATTAGAGTCGATGGATACATGTCAGTTCAGCCTGAATAATGATTAAATTTTCAATAGAAAGGATAAACCAAAAAAAAAGTAATACAGTACTATATGTACACTTGTCTATAGAATTAATAACCTTTGAAAGTAGTGATGCTACAGAAAAAAAAGACGGCTACGCCATGTAATTGCACAACACGAACATGTATACAGCGCTAATAATGGATTTTAAATAGAATTCAGACAGAGAAGGCTATGTTGTGTCGATTACTTCGCTTTGTAAATCAATGGTAGATTATTTTGATGAGGACAAAAACGTTGCGGGTTCAATCCCCGCCGGAGAGCCACCCTATTGAACGCGCAATCCTTCTCTTCATTTTTCGATACTGAGATCCATAGTTGTATGAATCTAAAATGTTCAGCAAGAGAAACATCGACAACAGATGGATGATTGAAAACATGTCAACAGATATTTTAATGTAAAGTTCTGCATCGAGTGTTTGGCCGACTTGAATTACATGATCTAAAAATATTATTTATAGAATATAAAGACTTTTGGCAATGTGAAAACTGATATCTTCGAGTTTCAAAATAAGGTAATTTCATAATGGTAACCTTGAAATTTACAAACCCCAAATGATATCAAATCAGATTTGGCATCTAACTATACAAAGTGAAGTGTTTAATTTATAAACGGAAAAGGTAGATATTGGTGTTTAATAAAAAATTTCGATATCTGAAAATATGAGAAAGAACGATGCACAATTTTTTGGTCTTCAACAATTCAACTAGATTTCATTCAAACTTTTGAAATAAAAATTCATTTGGCTTGAGTAGACAATCTTCTCGGTTTTGCTTACAACTCAATTTACACATATCAGATATTTGAATGTTAGTCATCTGATTGCCAGAGATTTCGTAAGTTAACTCAACAGTTTCGACTTGATTTGATTGATCGAAAATTATATTGTTAACATAATTCTGAATAGTAATGATTTCGTTCTTGTAAACTGCTGTTGTCTTCTATTAAATTGGTAGATGATTTTTTTTCTATCAAAGATGCGAAGAATGAATATGAATTTTAATCTTTTTCAAACAGCTTGCAACTCACACGGTTGACTTTTTTAAGTCTATTTGTATTCTTCGTTTCTCTGTCTGATATTGTCCAAGTAAACGAATTACTACCCTTCGATCTCATATTTCGATTCAAAAATATTGTCAATTTCTTCTCTTCGATTCAGAATCTATACCCGCATGTAAAAAGACAAACCAAAAGTACATTTTTCTTCAAATGCACAATGACATCAATAGTGATAAAGGTCAAAACAGTCTCTTGGATATGAAAGGAAGAATGCTATTGTTCTTGCCTATTCAGCATGGTGTACAAGCTTTGAAAGAAATCAATGGCAAAAGTAATAGATTTTTTCAAGAGGATTTTTTGTAGTACTTACTATAAGCACAGATTCAGTTGTACTTTTCTTCTATGTTTACTCACGATTGCATCTTCTAGTATTGAATCCGACTTTATAACCATACGGGAAATCACTAGCATTTTGAATTCTATCAGTAGATCAAAAACCTATACTGTCTCTGGCTTGAGTATAAAAATCTATAAAATCTCAAAGGTGGGACTGTGATGATATTTTTTTGTTGTACGAAAACTAGAGCAAATAATTAGTTTCGTTTGTGCATATATGAATCATGCATATTTTTTATTACAATTCTAATTCATTTAATAAAAGATAGTATCGATAAAAAGAAGGTCTGTACAAAGCAATGGAATATTAGTACTACATCTCAACGATGATTTGTCATCGTATTCGCAGACTACTCACTTGTCATGTTAATACTCACGAAAACATGTTTTCGTTCAATTTCATCATGAGTCACTAATTAACTGGTGCTTTTGTTTTGTCTACGAGAGACATCGTGCTCATAGGCCCCTTGCTTTATTCAACTGCTGTATTTTCATCTTAACTGCATTTAACCATTCGTTTTCATTGCTGTTCGGAATTTCCTGTTGTACTAATTCTCTGAAATGTCGTACTAGTTCGTTGTCATTCGTAGTTAATTTCAATTGTATTTGCCACAGTCCATCGCCAATGTGATCAATACTTTGAATCCTAAATACATTTTGTATTGAGAATAGTATTTGTTGTTCTGATTCAGGATAATAACTAATTTTATCTAATGGTGTAAATAATGATTTTGACTGATCGATTTCTATCACAAATAGAACTCCTACTAATTCATGATTATCTCGAGCAAATTTGGCATGCATTATTGATAGATCTCTATCAGTCGTTGTGATGAAAAAATTATTAAATGAAAGAAATCCATTGTTATTTTCAAGAAATTGATGAAAAATTTTCTCTGTTATGCCTTGTCCTCGATAAACCGTTGTACTGTTTTGTTTATCGAATTTTGAATGTAATTGTATAATTTCTCGATGGATATCGCGAATAAAAAAATCCATTTGTATCATCATATTGATATCTTGAATACGCAATGCTTTGCTCAACATTAAAGAAATAAAACATTCTCTTGTATACCAACAAATAGATGACGATGGTTTATAATCGTTTCGAAATTCTGTTATTAAATTTAATTGATGACTATTATTTAGATATTGACAACGACAAAAATCAGCAAATTCTTTTTTTGTGTTACGTTTATCATCCATTTCGATAAGCATGTCTTTGAGCAATTGTGTATAAATAAATAATTGGTCAGCTGGATTGTTTTTCCAATTTCTATGATAGTTAGGTGATAAAATGTGAAGTGGAACTAAATCATCTTCACATTGGCGAATATCACGTCTGAATGCATCAAAAATAGGTTCTAAATCTTGAAATACACCTTTAATCTTTTTTATTTTATTTGCCCATTTTTCATGTTTATTTTTATTATCACAGTAAATATAAATTGAATCAATTTGTTCGTAATTATGTATCATGGGTACGAGTGCTTCACCGAGACTACCAGAAACAATTAAGAAGATTTTTTCATTTTTTGTTTCCAATATAAAATCTATACATTGATTGACATCAAAGAATGGTAATATTAAATGTACAAGTTCTTGAAAACGAGCGATAAAATAATTAAATTCCTCACTAACTATATCTAAATAAGTATCCAACCATATAAGAATAGAATTTTCTACTGTTGATATTTGACGATTATCAAGACGTAATAAGAAATTCTCACTTGTTGCTGGTATGCTCATAGTTCTTGATAGAGAAACTGGTGGCTTACGTTGTGACGATTGATTGCCTTTATTGATAGCTTGTGCCATTTTATTCAATTTTCAGCGTCAATATATTTCAATGAATGAAGTCAATTGAATTTACCTACAAGCTTTGGTTGTCTATAGAGATTTACAGAAAAAAGTCTCTAGATTTTTTTATACATAAAGAACCAATTGGAAGAATAATGTAAATTTCAGATTTCAGAATTGAGAATCGAGTAGATGGCAGTAAGAACAAAGATTTTCAAATTATTGACTTAAAAAAATACCATATGTCGATAATAGATATTCTCGAAATAGTCTGTGTATTAAAGTGACAACTATAGGAAAAGAAAAATGAAAGACTTGGAGTAGTACCACGCCGTTCATTATTTTCGGACAATGGTCCAATCAGATGTCATTACCGATTCTTACTATGATTCATCAACTTCGTAATCTCAATGTTTTGTGAACATTTGGTTCCATTATCAACATAGAATAAAAACTAAACTAATGTTCGACTCGGACCTTTTTTCAAAAACGTCAAAGTCTCGCCCACTGAGTGATGTTTTACATATATTGGTTTTACTTATAATAACTAAATTAATAAAAACATTTGGTTTATTTTTAACCTACGACTTGTTGAAATCTTATCATCTTGTTTTAATTCTTTTTCTTACAACTTTATTTGCTTCGCTTTGTTTATTATTTATTCAAAAGCCATTTTCATCATTTCGACCAACGAAACAATTACTTTATCGTCTAATTAAATATACAATATGTCTTACAATAATTCGTCTTCTATGGCTATTTGGTTTGACATTATGTGGTCCATTAAGAACGATTCTATTATTTGAGCATAGCGATATTGTTATCATCGGAAGTTGCCAAGTCCTTTTTTCATCAGCATTCAGTGGTCAACAAGGACAAACAGCACGCATTCGTGGTGTTGTCTTTTTTATTCTAGCTGTTTTAGCTATATTTGCATTTGATAATGATGATTCACGACAACATGTTGATCATCCCGAAGGTTATTCACATCATCGGTTTTTTGCACATATTTTTTATCAATTAACATCATTAATTGGTGTTGCTGATCATAAAGGCGGAGTTATTTTATTACTAATTGCTTTATTTTTTCGTTGTGCAATTAATTCGTGGAGTAAAAAATTAGTATTAGATATAGGTGGACCAAAAAATTTTTATGCTATAACAACATGTTTATCAACTGTATGTCTTATTCCAATGTCATTTATTATTTTATTAGTTAATAATCTTTTTGTAAGAAAAAAAAATAATATTTTTTGAATTCAAATTCAAATTTTTCTTTCAATCTTTAGCCGGATTCAATTGATCCAATACGTTCAACATATCCAACAACAGAGTCAACATCAACGACATTTCTTGACAATATTTCATCGTTGATCATTCCAATTATTATTATAACAATATTTTTATTTATCTTGGATTTTTATGTCGAACAATTATCAATCGTTAAACTTGATCGAACACATACATACCGCTATGGAACATTAACAATCATATTTAGTGCACTACTTGTTTCATTTATTTGGGTTAAAACAGCCAGTGTTACTAGTAGTAATGTATGGTTTGGACGAATGATTCAAGTTGAAGAACATGAATTATCAGGGGGTGTTGTTTTTGCTGTTGTTATGTTTGCATTTGCAACTGATCTTTTATTAAGTCCAATGCGACAACGATCAGGCGCTTTTATTGGTTACAATCAAGAAGGTGTACCATTATTTAATCTAACTCATCAAAAATCACAATCATTATTACTTATTATTAAATCAAGTTTAAGAGATATCCTTTCAGAATCGGATTCAAGAAATATTTTCTATTTTCTCTGTATTAATCTAGTACGTATGAAATATAGAAAAATGAAATATCATGTTTTTCTAAGCATTTTATATTTGTAGATGTTTACATTTGTTGAACTTCTCTACGGAGCTTGGACAAATTCATTGGGTTTACTTAGCGATGGTTTTCATATGTTGTTTGATTGTACAGCACTTGTTGTTGGTCTTTATGCGGCACTTATGTCCCGTTGGAAACCAACACGAGTTTTTTCATATGGTTATGGCCGAGTAGAAGTTCTTTCGGGCTTTGTTAATGGTTTATTTCTTGTTGTTGTGGCCTTTTTTGTTTTTTATGAAGCCGTTGGTCGACTTTTTGAACCTCCGGAAATTGATACAAATCGTTTATTAGTCGTATCGGTTGCTGGATTTGCAGTTAATATGATTGGTATATTCTCATTTAGTCATGCGCATGCACATGCTCATGGTGGCGGTGGTGGAAGTTGTGCTATGAGCCAACCAGCTCCTGTAAAAGAGACACAACATCATGGCCATTCTCATGAGGGAAATGATCATTCACATTCACACGGACATTCACACAGTGGTGGTCACGATCATGGACATTCACATGGATCAAGTGAAAAATCAAGTCATCAAGGACATAATCATTCGTTGACGGATAATGCTAATATGAGAGGTAGATTTTGAAGATCGATGTTAAAGTTATGATTTTATTTATATCTTATTTTTTGTTTAGGTGTTTTTCTTCATGTATTAGCTGATACACTGGGGAGTGTAAGTATTTTCATCTGATATGTAAAAATGAATATTTGTTAAATTCCTTATTGAAAAAAGAAATTTTCTGTCTGTATGGTTTAATAATGAAAGCAGTACTCTATTAAATCGTACTTTCACTGAATATGATAGTAATTTGATGGTTACAGGACTTTTTCGATGGACAACTGAGTATGAAAAGTCGAGAGTAAAGGCATACATCGAAAAAGATGTGTAATCAAATAAACTTTTTCGTCATGCCATAAAAAAATCGAAATTTGATCGGTTGAAGTATGATAAAATAGAAAGAAAGTTGATTCCATTCGGAATCACAATAACTCCACCACTGTTTTTGATATATTTCAATTATTTTAACTTTTTAGGTGGGTGTAATTATTTCATCATTACTTATTCAATATTTTGGTTGGAATATATCGGATCCAATATGCTCATTATTTATTTCAATAATGATCTTCCTTTCTGTAATTCCACTTTTAAAAGAAAGTGCTATGACACTTCTACTGCAAACTCCATCACATATTCAATATGAAATACTCGATCGAATATTGAAACTTGATCAAGTACAATCATATTCGGATGAACATTTTTGGAATCTTTCATCATCTACTACTGTCGGAACTATTCATGTGCAAATTACAAATGATGGTGATGAACAACGTGTTACAGCTCAAGTTAATTTAATCTTCATTTTTGTTGAATACTAAATTTTTCTATTAATTTAGGTTCAAACCATTCTTAAAGAGGCTCAAATTCATAATGTAGCAGTTCAAGTTGAAAAGCAAATTTTCTTTAATCATTTGAATGGACTTAATTCTGCTCTTGGTCAATTAGCATCATCACAAAGAACGTTTTCACATAGATAAAAGTCACGTATTGTATGTTTCCCACCGCTATGATATTTTTATTGTTATTGTTGTCAAACTATATAATAAGACTATAGAAGATTATTTGTTTGTCAATCTATTTCTGGTGTTATTCTTTATTTAATTTATTTCATCTTTACATAGAATATAGAAGTCAAAAATATAGAAAAAGATGTCTCTATATTGATGTGATGTTTTATGCGTGACATAGTTCATAATTGCTTTTCAATTATCTCATTAAAAGAAAATTATACAAGACGTTGAGAGCGTGGATATGGGTCTAAGGTTTAATGCATGTGTGAATTGGTGTAGATGATGCAACTGCAATTGTGTGCTGTAGGCATACGTGTACAACGACTCTAAAAATGGGACAGGGGATATAGCTGTTGGATAAGTGAAAATTTAGGACTTTTTGACTATGAAAAATAGGTGATTGTGTTTTAAAAATACCAGAACACTTCATGTTGATTACAAGTTCGATCCTAATGGATTGAATCGAAAGATTATCTTATCCGGCCACTGTGTATGTAGATAGAAATGTGTTTACGCATGTTGATCTTACTCTCTCTTTCTATACTAATATCAAGAATTACAGCTTCTGTTCGCCTAACACCACACTGTGTGAGTTTGTAAATGTTGAAATTTCCTCGGGTTTCGATGCTATTCTATCGAACTACCTTTGAGCGTACGTTTTTTCCTGTATATAGTAAAAAATACTCTCAGAACATGCTTCTACACTCATCCATACCCAGGTATCATTTATAACTTAAGCTACATGAAAAATTCATTTTCAACATCACTTACAACAGTGTCTGCAACTACAGTCAAGTATGATATGATGCTTTTTTTTTGAAACCACAGTGTAGTTTAACGATAAGAAAAACTTATAGTCGAAATGATGACATGATCATTGTTCTTGGATCATGGTCTTCATAAACATGAATAGAAAAATCTTTTTATGATAGTTGAAATAGTTTTGAAAAAAAATGATGTTCTAATGATGATAAGAAAAAATAATTGAAAGCTTTAAAGTCAATTGAGATCCAGAATATTTTTTGCACTATCGATGGCTTTAGTATTATTGGTTTCTGGTCCACCTAGTTGATTCACAAAATCATCTAGTTCTTGACGCCGCTTATTGATAGCTGCAGTATATATAGCCTTTCGCTGATTGACCAATTCAATGACTTTTTCCTGAGCACCCTGAGACTGTTGATTCAATTCTTGTAATAGTCGCGATCGTTCCCGGTCATTTTCTGCCGTGAGCATTTTGCCAAGTCCTGCAAACCTTCGCATTATACGAATGTACTGCTCATGTCAACATAAGAACGCGACATAATAAACAGCGAATACGATTGTTTGTGAATCTCTACAGCTTGAGTTTTGAGCAGATCAACATAAAAAAGGTGATCTTCTTTCGACGAGCCAGCATTGCCTGCTAGTGCAGCTTTTTCAATGAAGGGCTCTAAAGTTCCTGATAAGGCAACCTCGACTCTAGCTGCAATTTCTGCGAAAAACAGTACCATTCGGTTCCACTGTTCGCCGAGTCAAATCAAGTCCTGCGATTTTCGCCATCAATTTGCCCATTTCTTGTTGCTGTTGTTTAAGGTGAACAAAAATAGAATCATAACGCTTTTCGGCAGCTTGCAGCCGCTCACTTGCCAGGTGTGCCGCGAACCGTTCACTGCCTGACGAATCTGTTGAAGACGAGGCTGTAGTTGCAGTATTATCTACAGGAGGTACATTCGCTCCGTTTAATGCTTCTGCCACCACTAAAGGTTTTACTTCGTTAATCAGAGAAGAGATACGATTTGTGATGGGTGTGGCAACGAAGGATTCGATGGATTTTCCACTGCCGAATGAATTTTTTACGAGATCTACAATGCCATTGCAGACTTTAATGCTTTGCTGAATCAGATTGGAAACTTGTGTTTTCAAGTCATTTTGTCCACCAGCTGCTAACGAATTCTGATATGCTCCAAAAGTGATTTTAAAAGCTTCAAAACTCTTTAATAGGATTAGTTGATGATGAAGCATTTGTTTGATTATTCGAAGTTGATAGAAACCTGCTGAATGCGCCGGACAAGTGCCCTAATGTATCCGATAATAGACGTGCAAATGCTAGGGATTGACTATTGGCAAGTGCAGATGGAGCAGAAGCAGCAGATCCTCCATTTTGTCCTTTGGCGGTGCCTTTTCCAAATGATGCTACAATGCCGATGATAGCACGTCCCAAATCAAGCAAAAGTGCCTTGAGACCCGCAGGAATGGCTTTTAATGCTCTGGAATACTCGGACTGGGCGGTTAGAACGGCGTTTCGTGCTTCATTCTAATGAGATTTGATAGTTTCGCATAAATTATTTAGTTCTACTTGCATGATGCGTGAGACATTTAGCTCAATCTCTGTTTGGCGCAATTTAGTATAATGAAGACCACGAGCGACTTCTGTCATCGAAATTACTTCTCCTAACAGTCCCATGACGCCGATGAATGTTTGATGAGTTCTGTTGGAGAATTGCACGCAGTCTCTACCAATCTTGTGAATCCAACCGAGTTCAAAAGGTAGTAAATTAGCTATGACACCTGTTGATCCTTGTACAAGCACTTTCAAAGTTGTCTAATATTTCCTGGGATAAGTTCCATAGACATTTGAATCCTGTTCATATTTGTATGTGCCGCCAGAAATGCACGCCATCCATCTATAATAATGAAATTACAACATTGATCCTTTGTGTTTATGAATGGATTATAGTTCATAACTGAATTGCTATTGAGTTGTTGTCTTCTACATGAAAGTTTTTCTGTCTTTCTCGATTCATGGATACTAACGTTTTATATTTTGATGTTTCTCAAAAAACATATTCAATTCTTCGTAATTGAATAATTCATTGATGAAAATCTTACTACGCTGCTTACAATCTAAGAGTTACAACGCATAGAAGTTTTCGTTTTGTACATATTGCATACAACAGCGAAGCATTGTAGTATGATTAACATTAAAGAGTTTTTTTTCTAGATCGATAGCTATAAAAGAAACTCACACTGTCTGTCACTTAACTATTAGTAAGATAGCAGTGATCAATTTTCTCATATGAATTCGGATTTGCAGAAAGAAAACAATAAGTGTTGCAATTGAGTTTCCGAAAAAATCCATCCTCATACTGTATCTTTAAGAGATGAAGCGTTAAATTTGCCTTTATCAAATATGTACGTTTCGTAAGCTTTAAGATGTGCTACTTTGACAGATAAGAGAAAAAACTACCATTATAACTGCTATGAAAACGTGCACATTACCGTTCGCGATCTGCATAAGAGTAGCTCGGAATGATTGTGAATATTGCATGTAGGTATATTATTGATCAGGAGAAATATCAACAAAGGAAAAATCCAATACACTTGATACAACCATAACTTGCCCGAGAAGATTTACAGTTGCCAGTCCAGCGATGATAAACTACTGCCAGGGTTCATCCATACTACTTTGTTCTATCAGCGCTGAATCATTTGGATTTTACAATATTGATAGAGAGTAATCTATTTAATCAATATTGGTTAAAAGTATCAACACTCAGAAAGGAGATCCTACCCGAGACTTTTGAAATCATGCGACCAGTTTTACACATAGGAGTAATGCATACAGTGAGAAGTCTAGTAAGTTCAGGATCATCGTAGGAAACCACTTTCTTTAGTAGACTATTCGTCTGTTTATTAGATGCGCTGCTTGAACGCCAAACCAATGGAAAAACTAGGATAGTGATTGATGAGTTTAATTCAAGGATATATAATTTACTTACCAAGTATATGTCTCAAACAGGTTTGCATTATCAATATCTGAAATTAGCACATGTTAGGAAATACGTAGATTAATATGACTGCTTTCATGCATATTAACCTCTGAGTCAAAAAACAATGACATATTTTTTCTTATCCAATTCAGCCAAAAGAAATGACTCTTTATTGACCCTCGTGGTCTTAAACCACCCAATGACTCGACTGAGAGGCAAACAGACGAATTTCAGAAACTGTGAAAGAGCAATTATAAATAACTACTGAGAGCATTAAGCTAAACTGCCGACCTTTCAACTTTAGAAAGAGAGTAATATCCTCTATTGCATGCTAGAACTGTGATGTCGTATTGACAGTAAATTTGTCCTCTAGATTTTCCAGAATATGCCTAGGAAAAGGATCTCCTAATAATTTCATCGCTTGTACTTTTATGTCAATATGAATGTTCTGCCAGAAGCATTACTTCAAAAGAAAAAAAATAATCTAAAGTATTAATAATACTTTTTAAAGTCGAGACATGGAAAAGTCACGTAGTTGACATTGCGAAAATATAACAGTGTAGAAAAAGAAGTTATCTCAACAAGCATTGTTATATATATCCATAATTCGACTCATTTTATACTAATGTTGGTAACAAAGATCGGCTTTAGCTGTTCCACGAAAAAAAGACTTCTGTTTTCGATATTTTGTTGTGGTACTTACAAAGTTCATTAGGCATTCAAATTTTCTTCAGCATTTTAATGCATCCGATCAATTACGCTTATAAGTACGTAAGATTGAAATCTACATTCCGTGTCAAGTGCTGAGTTCATTCATTATTCAATAATGAAAGTACACTTATTAAAGCAATCTAGTCGTACTTATGAATTTATTCTATTTTTCTTTAAATAATAAGTTTGAATAAAAATGAAATATGATGTATTTCGAACTCGAATAAAAATCTTCACCGCCATTATTATAATGGCCATGATGATTTCAACGCTGATATCAAAATGCATAAGAATTGTTAAGGCTGATTGGGACTATTATCTAGCGATAATTTGAAAACGTTTTCAAGGTCATTAGACTAATGAAAATAGAAGAATACACTAAAATTTACTAGCTTTGTGCTCAACTAGCGAACCATCTTTGGTTCGGAATATATAGCACTGAAATTCTTTAGCGGTGTATATTTCAGTAAATAAGTGATAGAGAGGAGAGAATGCTTTCTAGGGAGAAGCTGGTTGTGACGAAAACAAAAGGTCATATTAAGTGATATCCATTAAATGTATCCTAGATTAGATTTGCATATTGTAAACAGATGCGGCATCTAATTCTATCGAAAAGTTTATTAAAATAGCCTCTTTTACATGGCAATGATAATGCTCAACATTCTTATGGCTAAGCTTGCACGAACAGTCTAAAGTGACATGGATTTTATCTACAAAATGGCAAGATCATCATTGATTTATGCTTGTTTCGATTTGCAATATCTTCAATTTCAGTACTTTTGTTAAAAGAAATATGTATTGATCATGTTTTTTTGGTTTGGAACTTTAAATTATCAATTAGACCTTTAAGGCCAATATTGAATCATTTTTTCGCCGTCATGAATTTGTCCTTGATGAACAGCTATTAATTAGACTATTGAAAATAACAGTTACATCCCTAATCACAGTCACCTACTGATTCAGTTCATAACAGATCATGACATCGCCATGATCAAATCTATCCAACCAGAAATTTCTTCACTGTCAGATGGGGTGCTCGATATATTGAAGATTATCTATAGACGAAATTACCGTACTAGTTATTCAAAGATAGAAAATTTTATCATTCGTACTGTTATTTCACTAGAATGGTGTCAGATCGCATACGGTTCTCTATTATCTAGAGAATTAACAATCTCCAAATAGGTCTGTGACATTCATGATCGAAGAACTAAACTGGTGTTAGTTACCAATTAATTTTGAAGAAGACCGAAACTGAGTTTCAAAATCAGCTGTTTTATAAAACTAGGTAGCAGAATCGGTACTTTTTATGACAACGAAAATAAGAACTGATGATTATCGCTAAATCAATATTGTGGATAGAAGGAGTCTATATGAAATCAACAGGTCTTTCATTCCACTTCTCGAACGATAACAATTAATCATTATAATTATCTCTCTATCAAAGCACTAGTACATAGAATTGCAGTCTGTCAAATAACGAATACACACTATGAAGCAACTACTGAAGACGAGTACACAGTTGAAGATTATTTTCTGCTATATGTATCAGATATGGGATCGGTTAGCCTTTTTCGTCCACCGAACCGACCGTAACCGCAAAAATATCTAACCTAACCGACCATAACCGATCGAATTTTCATACATTTTCAACCCAACCGATCGTAACCGACCGAATTTCGAAAAATTGCCAATCCAACAAAAGTGAAATGAATGAAAGACAAACGATGTTTAGGTTCTGTTAATTAAGGTAGTGGTACTTCATAAGTCAAGATTCTATTATACGCATATCTTTATATTTTATTTTCATTAAGTAAAAAAATAATATTTGTACAATCCTTTGAAAAAAATAAAAATAACAACACATTAACGTAATTCAATCGTATCTGAATCTGTATTATCAAGTCCTTGTTGATGCACCTTGAATGAATGATTAAATACCATATCGTTGACGACATCAGGTAATAATTTTGCACGTTTTTGTGTAATTAAATCGCCAGCAAGACTAAATTCTCTTTCAACAGCCGCACTTGAGGCTGGTACAGAAAAAAATACGAGCAGCGACTTTCGAAAGAAGAGGATAAGTATCATACATTTTTTTCCAGAAAGATCAAGGATTATATTCTTTATGAAGAGATTCGTCTGAATTTGTTGATTTATCCGATCCTTGTTTAGTATATAATTCGATTTCCAATGCATGTGCAGATTCTAATCAACCTAACCGACCGTAACTGACCGAGTTTTTGAAAAGTCTCCAACCGAACCGATTTCGATTTCGGTTTCGGTCGGTCGGTTCGGTTCGGTTAAACAGTCAACCGATCCCATCTCTGATATGTATCCCTCAAAATAGACATGAGTTAAAACTTTATAATTGATCAACTTCGCTTTTCAAAGCCACAATATTGTACAATTTTGACATATTTTTATGTATAGCATTCAAAGGAGTGATAAGTAGCTCAAAATCAAGCACCCGTCTAATAACATCGTTTAATACTAAAAAAAGATGATCGTCATTATATTCCTATTAGAAAAATTGAATTGAAAGATGGCATAAGCTCCTTAAAAATGCATAGTTATATAAATGCTCTTTATAGCTAATATGAAATGCAAATCAAAATTTATTCTTCTATCCAGCCAAATGAAGCCTACTTCTTTGCAAATTCAGTGATGCCCAAGCAGAATTATCCTGACAGTGAAATTCGACCCGATCCGATAGAAATTCGATGGAATTTTATGTGGATTTCTATAAAACCGACGAATTCCTATCGTATTTCAGAGTGATGAACGACACTAGGATTCTTGGTATTGGAACTCGTTCCCATCACACGGTCGAATTCAATGAAACTTAACACAGAGTTCTAGCTAACCTCTAAAATTGGCATTCGATACAAAGTAATGTCCAATTAATTAAATGGGATTTAACTATCGGATCGTTCAGCAGTTCCTCAACTCCAAGTCCCATTGTATTCTGTTGGGTGGTAGAATTTTACAAAACTCTATCGGATTCGGTATCAGATTCATTGATCTAGAGTTTTTAACCAGCATTTAGCTTACAACCAGCAAACAAAATAGTTAGTTCTTCGATTTTGATGTGCATATTTGCTCTGCGAAGCACTTTTACGGTACTGATGTCGACAAAACAGTGAGACTTGGTACAAATTGCAACTAATCTCAAAGTGAACCGAGTGAAAATTATCTAGTATGGTTCATCAGAGTGTTGGCGATTGTTATAAAAATAAGTAAGTTAACAGATTATTACCTGCAAAATTCAAATGGATTGGTTCATTTTTATTTGTGCTTCTACATTGTCATCGTTGCATTAGAATAGTGATCAGAGCTCGGACGAAAGAATTTCCATTTGTACTTTTGCACTTTTTCAAGTAAAAGTACAAGTACCAAGTACCTTTTTGAAAGTGCAAGTACAAGTACCGAGTGCGCCTGATGAGTACTTGTATTCGTCCTAGTTCTGATAGTGATTCGAAGAACTATTTAGTCTCTTCTAAATAATAGGCACAAAAATACCAAAATTGAGTAAAATTAATGTGAAAGCAATCACAATGAGCGATTGGCTTACATTTATATTTTATGAATAAATGGTTGTCCTGGTGAATTAGCTTATTTAAAAACCTACGAGACCAAGAGCGCTGATTCGAAATGAGATACAATTACATATGGTCGACGAGTGTTGTAGCCCATAGCAATTTGCGATGAGTTTAAGGAAGAAAATAATCTAATATTTCTTATGCAAATCTAATTCAGCTGATTATGAAAAATATTTCGTCGAAAAATCTTTACAAGGGGCTCGAAAATAGTATGCTTCGATAAAGAATCAGAAAGGAAGCGCGGTTCGTTACAAGAAAATATAGTTTCCTATATATCCATGATTTAATGGTGAGTATCGTAGGATAATTTCACATAATAAATGTTGGTGACTAAAGTCATTTTAGTTCCTTTTATCCGTGCCTCTAACCGTAACATATTTCGTAATAGTCATGCGTAGGAGGAGAAGACGAGATTATTTTGTTAGCTTTTTCTAAAGGTTTTTCTATTTCCCCCATAGTAGAAAAAATCTAAAATAGACTGATACTATCCTGAATGAGTTTCTATAAACACCTATTGCTATTACGGTCAATTCATATTCCATATATGTTAGCGCTACAGCTAGAATCCACTATATACTTCAAACTATTTATTATCTAGTGCGTTTCTTAGTTTGTAGTATACGTCAGCAGTGGAACTGATAAATTAGATGGGCAACATAATAAAATATCTGTTGATTAAATTTTATTTCCGCCATTAATATGTGAAATTTTTATTCTTCTACGGTTAAGGAATAATACAGTACGATTATTTTCAATAATTTTTTCTTCCGATGTGTTGGATAAACTTTGTATAAGAACATGGCTACGTTGATAATAGACATACTCCTTGGAGAATGACTTGAGCCCCTCCTCTATTCTTGGAATGATTTACAGTTTCCTGCGAAGTCAATCTGGTATTCAATGATTTTCTCACATTTGATATGGTATCAATCTACGAGAATCACCCGTTCTCACTGATACGCTTCTTCCACTAAGTACAGTCTCAGGTTACCTATGTTATATCGATGATTTATGACTGTGACTAGATCTCAGCTAAATGCTTGTTGGTGTGAGAAACTGCTCGAAAAGCCGTATTTCTTGTACAAAACTATCATGTACTATCATAGTTTTTCGGTAAGTAAAAATTAGAAAAGGGTATTACTTGTTAAAATTCTTCAATGATTCAATCTGGGGCACTGACCATAGGGTAGTTCCAAAGAACATTGTTGTTCTTGAATGATATTGAAGGATATATTCGTGTTTCGATCACTAAGAAGTCATATGTATTGATTGGCCAAGTGCTAACATCATACTCATGCCATAAGTTCACTCATCTGAACTGCTCATCAAATGTTTTGATATTTTGTTCGAAATAACTTGAGTTACCCGTTTGACCGAGGGAAGCATTCTTGGTGTGCTTCTAGATTGAAATTTGGATAATGAGTATTACCATTTCTGAATAGTGTTTATCAAATCAGACATAATGATGTGGTACTCTATAAGTTTCTGTTTAATGAACTACAGATCAAGGCTTAGTATGAGTGGAAATGAGTCTGTAAGTCTGTGTCAGCGTCATTCTCATATTCAGTTCCTCTACTTGAATGAATGATCAATTTAAGTTCAACAGATGAGTAGATCGCTATCATAATGTGGCCTTATAAGCGATCATACTCTCTCTTAGAAACAATGAAAAAAAAACTTTACTTAGAAGTCAGGAAAATATAAAACAAACAGAATTGTTGAGCAATTAGATGCAGCCATGAGAATTCAAGGTAGTGCGAGTCAAGCCCTAAAATATTTCTTCCCTCAAGTGAAACTATAAAGATGAAATCACTGTTAACTTGACATTCAAAGTACTCATCTTGTTTTAGATTTAATATGATTTTCTCTCTCGTAATCCTTGCCATCATTATAACAATGATGGATGGGCAATCGACATCCTTGATCAGTTCCGATCATCTACCTGGTCTCGACGAGATTGAGTCAGGATTCGACATGATGAATATGGTCTCGCGAGCAGAATCTCAATCCCGATTTCGAATATTTGATATGAGCAACACTAGAAATCGATTCAAAGTTTCTGTGCTCGGACGAGAACGTGTTTTCAATACTCCACAAAGTGTACAAGTGAACATTGTCAATACGCGTCGTGATATCAATTGTGAGGATTTGTCATATGACTATAAACACTTCTATTCAAAGTATATATTATCTCTTCTTGGAGTATCCTAATAATCAAAATCTTGTCTTTGTTTGTTACGCAGTTATTTCCGATCGACAAGAAGCACCTCGACGTGGTCTGCTTTCATAGTTGGCGGAAGTACTAGCCGTCATGATACCTTACGAAAAATAGAGGAGGCCATTAATAAACAGTCCAAAGCGGTTGCTACATCAACTTCTTGGTGGGGCCTTTATTCTATTCAATTGGGGCCACCTTTCTTTCTCAAGTAAGTTATGTTTGGTTTTTAACGTTTGGATGAACTAATTGGGTGGGCTCTAATCGTGCACTAGGTTAACTCTGAATTTAATTTTCTAAAATAATTTGTATGGTTTACAAAAGTATTATTCCAATCAGAGACAAAAAAATCTCAAATGATGATACTCCTCTAGCAAATATCATTACTATTCGTTGATATGAATTCGTGTTAAAATCATGATTCGAATCAATTATAACTTCGAAAACGTTGCAAAACATTAATATATATATTATCGCTAGAGCAAAAATATACAATCAACAAGTACTATTCAGAGTTTTAAGAATTCGTGAATATCTGTACCACGTAAGATTGTTATAATAAATGAGTTAACTGTCGAGAATTCAACGCATTCACGCTGTTCCTAAATAAAAAGAATTGAAATTTCTTAACAATGAAACTTTTGCTTGAGGCATTCTTTCGCTCGATTGATAGTTCTAGAAGTTACAAACGTAGCAAAAGTTTTCCGACACATATCTTTGAGAAATAAGAATATTTCGTGTTGTGTGGCAATGAGAACAGCGAAAAAAGCGAATATGTTTGGCTCATCACGAAACGATCGACTTTTTGGAAGCGAATAGAAATCTTGCAATCAGAAAGAGCATCTAAACACAATCAACACAGAAAGACATACGCTGAAAGCGTCTGTGGAAGGTTTTAATTAGGGGAAACAACACTTTCCAGTATTCTCGAAGTTACACTCTACATATCTTTTAAAATAGCGCCAACCTATGGTTGAACTTCGTTGCAATATATTGAATCAGAGTTTCATAAGAAAATTTGAATGTACCTACGGACCAAAAAGACCATAAATATACGATATGCGTCTACATTTATCTACACAATATACATTAAAACCGTGACATCAGCCCCTATTATAAGTTAGCACACCTTCGACTACACAAAGAGGTCTATGCTGCTTATATAATGCAGAAGTGTTGCAAATCATAGAACTATTTTCTGACTAGTATCCGTGTAAATCGGTTGGGCTGTATCACGGATCGGCATGATTCATATCACCCATGCATTATTACAGAAATTACTCGAACATCTATTTCAACTGCATCATGGATTTGGTAAAGCCTGCTAGTTGATGACAGTGAAAATCTACGTCGAGAACATTCATCTTAGTTTTGTCAGTTTGGTACAAAAAATGTCAATAATTTTCATGTTTCATAGGCAGAATATTTCTGACATGGCAGTTTTTTTCTCATTATGAGCTTTAATGCATAGGATGAGATGTCTCGAAGAGGTAAAATGTGAAAACTCCTTGCTTCAACGTACTTCAAGGTGTATAGAAAATTTAGCAATTATAACTGTTCAGTTTTCCGTCATCTACAGAGCGGTCAGTTTATTTTGAAACGATTTTCGTGAACTAATTCTTCCTCAGTAACTGATTCGGCTCTTGTGAATCTCATATCAATGTATCCTATAAAGACTGTACATGTTCCCCTAATAGGCAGATTTTGCATAGAAGGATGTTTTCTGATAAAGCACTGGATAGTTTTAAAAAGATATATTTTAATATTTTTGAGAACAAGCATATTTGCTGGTACCACCAGAAATGAACTTTTCGATTATTTCTCCATATTATCGTCTTTTGACCTGAGACATATGTCACAGGTACATCCACTATTACCGCATCTATGCTAAAAATTTCAGCAATAAAGAGCGACAATTCGTAGAGAAATCAGCAAGTGTTTCAAATATATAGTTGAAGTGAAACACATTGCAAGGCTTATCCTGCTACTATTTCTGGTTTAATTCAACGCTTTACATGATGGTCATTGATACCTGAGATATTCTCACGTGTAAGTAGTTCTAAAATACAATTAACTACTGTTTCAGACTTTAAATTAAATCAGAAATGGTAATAGGATAACCCTTGCAATATGTTTAGCTTCAGCTATATATTTGAAACACTTGCTGGTTTCTCTATGAATTCTCGTTCTTTATTGCTGAAACTTTTACCATAGATGCAGCAATAGTGGATGTGCCTGTGATATATGTCTGCGGTCAAAAGACGATAGTATGGAGGAAAAATAGGAAATGCTTATTTTAAAAAATTTGAAAATAACCTCTTCAAAGTTAGTCCAGTATTTTATCAGAAAACATCCTTCTATACAAAATCTGCCTATTAGGGCAACATGTACAGTCTTTATAGGATACATTGATATGAGATTCATGAGAGCCGAATCAGTTACTGAGGAAGAATAAGTCCACGAAAATTGTTTCAAAATAAACTGAACACCCTGTAATATTAAGTACAGAGTTTTCTCATATTTTCCTTGAATTTCCAAAATCCGTACAAGACCTTCACTATGTTTAACATATACTGTGATTGCTTAAATATTACATTGAAAAAATTCTCTTCGCTGTCGAATTCTATAAATTGCTTGTCACTTTGGTTCTACCGGTAGAAATTTCATCCTAATTATAGCTGGATTCTCCGTCTCGCAATAAGCCAACTTCATTGCATTTTTTGCTACTACGATAGATGTTATATAAGTGATAAGAAACGACAAAAGAAATATAACAAATTATCATGACTCAATGTTTGCATCTTTTTTCGATAGTAACACTTGGCACGGCAGAGATTTAGTACAAGATATTAGCTGTCTACTCATACATATCCGCTTAATAGAATAATTCTACTGTATTTTAATGAACAGAAACAGTTATGAACATAAGTAAAAATGTTTCTATAGTTAAAAAGTACCCCTGTGCTTAGGTTTTTGCAAAAATTCAATCGCTCGGTTGTTATTATGGGCTGTAAGATGAATACTTGTGCAAAGGGTTTTCAGATAATCTATTTAAAAAGTCACACTGTTTTTATTTCTTTAGTCTAATGCACATATAAATAAAAAATATCTTTGAGCTATTCATATTTATCTCTCTAAGTTGAAGATAGAATTATTATGTATGTTTCTTACATTCGTTATTGAAGAAGTCAGCTAAGTAAATCGACAGCAATTTATTCTGTCAATTTTTAGGGAACTTCTCGGCATTGATGCTTTGCTGTTCTAACTTGTAAAACTTTTTATGCGCATAGTTATCCACAAAAAAAACTATTGCATACTCATGATTGAGCGCGATAGTGAGCTAGAACGATGACATCATTGTCCTAATCAACGCACTTATGCTAGATAGAATGCGAATATGTTGCAACTTTCACTCATCGAAAACTGGCAATTTTTCGGATTTATTATTTTCTACATTTGCAGATTCGATTCTATGTTCAATGAAAGTATGATGGCTATTATTAATGAACCGCATACTCCGCGAACTGAAGCAGAGCAAACCCTTTACAATATGTTCTTAGATACATTTGGTACTCATTATGTGACACATGTGATCGTTGGTGCCACTGCTCACATCTTCACTGTAATAAGCGATGCTTATGCAACGTCATCGTTATATCAAGAAACTATGTCTCAAGTCTCAAAAATGGGTCATTATTTCTTCGCCTCTTCATATTCAACTGACTACAGTCGTCAACTTGAGCAAAGTATCACTGAATCATTCCGAAAAACATCGGAAAGTTTTGTCGAATATCGCCCACCCGTACCACAGGTGCCTGGTAAAACCGAATGGCAGTAAGTAGATAAATTTCCCTACTGATGTATAGTATGTAATTACTAAAATTATCACGAAGTTATAAAAGTCACTCAGGTGTAGCTGTTTCTGCCATATTTGATCTAAATAAGACATGAATCTTACAAACTAATTAGCTTCAATCAAATAGGTGAAAACAGATAATATATAAATCTTAAATTTTCATCAAATTACATTCTAAAAGTAAACATTTGACGAACTGGCTTGGTACAAGTGTTTTAAGTTTTAGTTATCATTTTGTGCACCTATTTGATCGAAATAAATGAATCAATGCTATTACTTTTTTCAAATCTATGCACGTAATCGTTAGATGCTGAAACGTAAACAATTTAAAATCGATTTTATGTGAGAGATTCAGTAGAAATTTACTCATCGGGCGTAGCCTGATCATGAATTCTTTTTGTGAAAAAAGAATCAATGCGACAGAGACGAATTCTATGTAAAAATACATAGAGTAAAAAGAACAAGCTGAGCTACGTAACGATCTTGATGTTTCTTAGTTTTAAGGAATGACCATTCCGACGTTCATTTGGAAGAGGTTGGATAATTTAACGAAAATAAACTGGTAAAATCATTATGCATGAAAGTATCTATTATCCATGAGCAACATATCTACATTGTACAGATCATTGTTATAGAAGTTGACATAAACAATGAAACCGCGTGCCGCTCAGCACCAGAATAAATGCATCCGTGCTAGTCTTAATTGACTGAAACATATATGCAACACGTCGTAAAAAGTATCGATGGCTACGACAGAAAAGATGCAATTTTTTGATTATTGGGTAATGAGATAATTTATTCTCTTGTTTGTTCTAGATCTTGGTTGGGCAATGCTCTTTTATCTCCAGTAGTTGTCAATCGAACAATTGCTCCTTTGTCCAATCTATTTTATCGCTATCCGCTCGTTCAAGCTCATTTGCGACGCACAATAAACTACTTATTGGATCATGGGAAACATCCCATGCTTGCTGAACTCAATGGATAGTATATAATTGATCATGTATTATTCATCACTTTTCCTCTAACGATTTACATTTTGCTTAGATCGCCTTCCGATCTCATTTAGGTGCTTGCCAGTAACTTTTGATATCTATCTGAATATTTGTTTCTTGCTACTAATCTCTTGATATTTTTGTTTAATAAACTTTTAGCTAACTTTCAGTTCTTGTCACCTTCGATAATTCTACTTTTAATATTCATTTCTATATGCATACATATATTTAATTATGTATCGATTTGCCACGATTTAACCGTGGTACAATAACATTACAGAAGCCGCACTGCAGTTACGAATCACCTATTTAAAAGTAATGATATTTTCTTGTAATTCTACATACTGTAACAATCCATGAGATCACTTATTGTGTCCTTATATAGGTTTTTATTGTTATTATGCCCCTGAATTCTTTGCTCAACCATATCATCCATTCTATTCTTACTTCATATTTTGTGGAACTTACATAATTATATTTTCGAAGAAAATGGTGGGTGTAAGTTTAAAAGCGAGATTTTTGCGGCTCCCCCCTCCATTACAGACATTAGCGAGCTTAAAATTGTGCTAATTAGGAGCTTGAATAATTAGGCTCCTATTTCATCCTTTTTTAATTACAGACTACACGAAAAAAGCAACGCTTGTCCATTACAGACCACAGTAACTAGCTTAGGGTGCCATTACAGACCATAGTAACTAGCTTAGGGTGCCATTACAGACCATAGAAACTAGTATCTGTCATTGCTAAAGATATCAGCTAACAATTAATACTCCATTACAGGTATGAGCAAATAAGTAATGACCTAATTACAGGTTTTGGAAATCAGGGTAGATCTTTTACATGTACTCTTTTAAACTATTTTAGTAAGTCTAAGAGATATATGTGAGTTCCACATTTTAGCCCCAAAGGGGCTGCGCTAACATGCTTTTGTCCTTGGACTGTAGCGCTGTACTTAGTTTAATCCTGACTTTTCCTCTTATTGCTCTCCTATTTCTCCATATAGCGATGCCCAAGTCGAGCATTATGCCTAACCGATAGGGTCGTAAATGATCGTTTACGATGACGTAATCGGTGGCATACGTCGAATTTACGATTTATACGGGCCGGAAAGCGCCGTACCGTATATAGCGTGCCACTATGATCGTTTACAAATGAAACTCCGCCACGACGCGGCAGTAAAACATAAAAGATACGACCAGCCACTGTGCCTTATACCGCCGTAAACATATCGTAGCCCACTGTTATCGACCATATCCAACCCAGCAACGCAATCGTATTTCCACAATATTACACTGAATCATAATCGACATCAAATACATAGTTTACTATACCGAACGAACAAAAGTCACTACAAGTGAAAGCCTCCAGAAATCAGCCTGGCATCAAACAAAATCCCTGCAAAATCACCTTTGTACGAAAGCTTCGAAAAGCATTTTTGATGCATACGATCGATGGAGGGTATCAATAATAACCTATTCGTTGATTTCTGCTGCACCATATAACAGGGATCAATAGAAATCGGAGAAAGAACAAATGGATCCAAGAGTTATTGTAAAAATCAGTTTCTGAGGAAACCATTAGAATTATTGTTTGGTGCCTACGACCGGCGGTGAGCACAATCAAATAACTAAACCCTATTTTTTGCGCTTGTACACATAAAACGAATCGGGAAAAATATAAAAAAATGAAATACATGAATAGAATTGTGGAGAAAACTAACTAAATAGAAGTCAATCAAGACAATAGATTATGTGGAGCAGCGATGGAGGGGATTACAAAATACACATTGTTCGATATGCAGTAGATTTAGTAGCAGTAGGATGCTTAAAAAATAGCAAAAAAGAAACGGAAACATCAGTAAAATGCTGCTTCTATATATTTCGAAGTAATGTTCTCGTGATCAGTAACCACCATAGCTGAAGGAGTAGCAGCTCGACTGTGTTTTTTGCTAAGTATCCATGTAGCTGGCAGTGCGATTTGTAATGTACTACTTTTAGTAGATTTTATTGTAATGAAAAATAAAAATGCGTGTTTTAGTGCAAAAATTATTTTCTGATCAACTCCAGCTTTTCATGGAAAACAGGTTTTGAAAGACATAAGATTAGGACTGACCTTCGCGTAGGGAACAAATAATGAGCAACACATTGCGTAGGAAATGGGATACGCTGAAAAGGAATCTCGCGAAATTATGATTCATTTCATGGAAATAGTGGGACACAACATGTCTTCGGTTCTCACACAAATGAGGTGAATTTAAAGAAAATCCTGCTTTCGGATTTTCCAACGAAAATATACTGCGTGGATGTTTTCTCAATGATTGTATCTGAGGATACCTGCTACACCTTTTCGATAGAGGATAAAAAATCACAAAAATCCTTGAGATCTACCATAAATGTCTCGAAAAAATCATAGAAATAATAATGGATCTAGCAGATATTTATTGGGTATTGAGTCTTTGCTTTTGAATAAGTATCAATGTTGTTGTGTTGGCATGGACCAATCTTAACCCTTGTTTGCATTAAACAAATGCTGCAATACTCCAAGAAAACAGCTAATTGCCGTGAGTCCTCGCTTATGAACGCGTAAGATTGAAAAACCGAAATCATTTTTTTTACCGATTGCTGCCATTGAATCCGATCGTTTACTGTGATATACGACGACGGTAATTCATCGCAAGACTTTGTTTATGGCAACAGTAAACGTCAAGTAATGTTCATCAATATCAAGTGAGTTTCAATATCAGCGGTATTCAGAAATCAGGTAGTGGAATCAGTACTTTTTGGCAACGAAAATAAGAACTGATTACTATCGCTAAATTAATATTATGGATAGAAGGCGTCTATGTGAAATAAAAAGGTCTTTCATTCCACTTCTCGAACAATAACAATTAATCACTACAATTAGCTCTTTATCAAGGTGCTAGTACATAGAATTTTAGCCTGTCAAATATCCAATACAGATTATGAAACAACTACTGAAGACGAGTATACAGATGAAGATAATTTTCTGCTATATCTATCCCTCAAAATAGACATGAGTTAAAACTTAACAATTGGTGAACTTCGCTTTTGAAAGTCACAGTATTCTACAATTTAGAGCATGAAAAGCAAATATATACTAAAGCATGATAGAATATTTATTGAATGAATTAAATAAGCATATAGTATTTATGAATATCAAGAGAGCTAGCAAGATTTTGTTCCATTCACGTTGAACGGCATGTTCGGCAATTTGATAACTAGTTTATCAATATTTATTCGAATTTGAGTGATTACCGCAGCAGAAATGGTAGTTGTGGTGGCGACATTTGAGACGATTTCATTATCCAACATATTTTTATGTATAGCATTCAAAGGAGTGATGAGTAGTTCAAAATCAAGCAGCCGTTCAATAACATCGTTTAATACTAAAAAAAGATGATCGTCATTATATTCCTATTAGAAAAGTTGAATCAAAAGATCGTAAGTTCCTCATAAATTCATAGTTGTATAAATGTTCTTTATAGCTAATATGAAATGCAATTCAAAACTTATTCTACTATCCAGAAGAATGAAACAAACTTCGTCGCGAATTCAATGATGTTTACAACCAACATTTAGTGTACAGTCAGCAAAGGAATTAGTCAGTGTTCAGTTTTAATTTACATATTACCGCATGAAAAATACGTGTATGACACTATCATGTCCAGAACAGTGAGGATTGGTATAAATTTGAATTGCTATCAAACTGAACCGACTGGAAATTACTGTTGAAATAAGATTGGGACTAGTTACTGATTAGTAACATGAAGTATTAGTCATAAAATTCTCTTGGATAGTATTAGCATATCAACAAATCTACGTATATTTGAGATAGGCTACGTGCTTCACTACTAAAACGCAGCCATATCAAAACAAAAAGTCGATAAATGCTTTCGACTTAAGTCTCTCACTTGTTGAAGTGCTGAAAATCGTTGCAATATGAAACGTAACTTTCTTGAGTTGTTCACTAATATGCACAATCGTCTTTTGCTGAGTTTTAAATTCAGATAAGGTGGAATTGAGTGTGGTAAGTTCGGCAGTGCCATCGGTCACTTGTGATTTCAATTCTTCTTGTTGAGCTCGCAAATCGTGCAGTGTATTTTCGTAAGTATCAAGCTGATTTTTGGCACTTTCTAGTTGTTTGTCAGCATCCAACTGTCGTTTCATTGCATTTTCGATTCCCTTCTGCCCAAACACCGAACAGAATGGCTGTAAAAAACCCTATTTAAAGAATAGATCTGAGATATTTTAGTCATTTGAGAAAATCGGTATACTTGCCGATGGATTAAAAAATAATCGTTTTCGACGCCGGCGTCGTCGTTGACAATTCACTGCGTCTTCCATGGCTCGTTCCGCATCTCGTACAGCGTCGTTTGCCGAGTTGACACCAGCTTGTTTATCTTTCACACCTTGTTCTGCGATAGCTACTTGCTTTTGAACAGATGTTACCTGCGCATACAGATCACTGAGATCTTTCTGACTCTGTTTAATCTTTTTTTCCCATTCGGCTATGACAACAACCAACTGCATTACGGTTTCGTCGACGACTCCACGTATCGTATTACTTTTGTCAAGAGCAAGACTCAAATTACCTCTCAATGCAAGAACTCCACAGTTGAGAGTTCGTATTAATTTTTCTGGGATACTTGTATTAGGTGCTTTCAACAGAGTATCAATAATTTCTGTTTGAAGCAATGAGTAGGCTAGATTATAAGGAGGAATCACATGATAGTTCATTTCTGATTTGTACCAGTTCACATCTTGCCCTTTTACCACTTGATCAATAACTATCAAAGCAAAAACAATCAAGAAATTCATTTTGGCATTAGCTGACGAATGATTCTATAGGTATTTATGCAGAATTGACGATGTCGATACATGACGAGAACATTCTAGGTATTCAGTGATTAATTCCTGTTTTTCGTGTGTAAATAACCGTCTCTATTCAGTTGTGATGAATTCAGAATGTATAAATTATGATTATATGCATACTGAATTTCAATAAAAAAAAGGTAACGAATGTCTGTTTCGGCGACTTTGAACGTGAAGAAAGCGAGTTTTATGCAAGCTATAGCATTCATCTTAGTGTAGTACTTAGGTAAATTGAATTGGCTTCATTTTGGGGCACTGATGAATGAGTATGCTTTTTTTAATTGACACAATCCATGAAGGAAGCTGTTGAATACGCATGAATGTGCAATAATTGGCAAGACGGTAGTATTGATAAATTCGATAGAGCATGAAACATTTTGTCGTCATCAACGGCGCTCATACAGCGGACTAAAAACGTTGAGTCTGACTGAGCCATATACACTCACATATCTTCACAGCAAAGTATTGAAATCATTTTGAGTGATTCTTGTGTTAACCCTGATCTACACGCATACATCTAGTACGAACTTATTTTTTATGAATGTATATGAATCAATTATTACATAGTGTGAGTGATGCAGCATTTCTCCTGGTTGTGGCATTTAATAATGATTGACATTTTCCGTTTTAAATAATTGTCATATCTACTATGGCTAGCACATAATCTATCGATTATACAGTATGCTCATCAGTATACAGTTCTCGTAGTGCACAACATACCAGAAGCAAGCGACGTGTGTGCAAATGTTTTGCATAATTAAATTCAGCTATCGAAAAAGATTTAAATTACTGTGATTTTATCGCATTTTAAGTTCCCTCAGTTTTCGTTGCATTATGCACGTAATGATTGTAATTTTCATGAGCGCTTGTTTCGTAATGACGATATCGGCTGACGATTTCTGGGAGATAATTGGTTTTTCAAAACATACAGTTCCTGTTCCACCGAGACGGTCTCTACCACCTATGCCGGGGTATAGTCCTAGACCATCATTTAGACTTCAAACATTACCTCGAGGGGTTCGTACATCTGAACTGACGTCAAGATTTTGAGTAGTTTTTTTTATTTAAAGCTGTTGTTCAGAAATATAAAAGAGCTATCGTGAATACCATATGTTCATATCTTCATTTTTTTACACACTTCAAAAGTATTTCAGTGTGAGTGTATTTGCTGGCTTTGCGTGAAATATTGGGTACACGCTGGCGTGTTTGAAGTGGACACGCGATGTGCTAGGACCAAGGATGATATCACTCATGGCAGTAACTCAATAACTTTAGATTAATATATGATATAGCTGACCATTCGCGCTGCACATCTATATGGCTAGTATGGTTAATCAGATATTGACTGCGATTGATATTATTTGCAAAATTCAAATAGATTGATCATTTTTGTTTCTACGCGATCGGGAAAATGTTTATTCCAAGAGGGTAGCATCATCATTTTAAATAGAGTAAACGATGTATTCTGTACCAAATGAAAGCTCTTGAAAAACGGGATTTATTGAAAATAAATCGTAAAGGTTTTGAAGACCTTAGTGTATTAAACTGTCGAAGTTTATATAATTCTATGGAAACATATGCTGTTTTTATTTCAAACACTTTTGCGGTGGTATCTATCACGCTTTCGTGCAATGAATAATGCTAACAGTCATCACACTTATTATTGATTCTATTCATTAAATGATAAAAAAATTAACTATTTCGGAACATATTTAGTTCAAATTTTGCGTCGGAGATAGTTTTCTCTAGCTTCATGTAAATGAAATATCATAGATTTTGAGAGTTTAATACACTAAGGCCTTCGAAATGCTTAGTATCAAGTATTAATAAACCCAGTTTTCCAAGAGCTTGCAATTCATATGAAAATCATCATTGACTGTACCTAAATTGACGGTGTTACTTCCGCCCCTGGTTAAATACTTTTCCCAAGCATGTACATGTCATTGTTGCATTAGAATAGTGAGTAGAAGAACTTTTTAGTCTCTTGTAAATATCAGACATCAAGACTATATAAAGTTAATGTGAAAGCAATCTCAATGAGTGATTGGCTGACGTAGCTATATATTTTATGAATAAATAGTTGTCCTGGCGAATTAGCTTATTTAAAACATATGATACGAAGAGCGCTGATTCGAAATGAGATACAATTACACATGGCCGACGAGTGTTGTAGCCCATAGCAATTTACGATGGGTGCAAACAAGAAAATAATCTGACTATTCCTAATGCAAATCTAATGCAGGTGATTATGAAAAATATTTCATCGAAAAATCTTCACAAGGCGCTCGAAAATAGTATACTTCGATAAGGAATCAGAAAGGAAGTGCGGTTCGTCACAAGAAAGTATAGTTCCCTATATATACATGATTTGATGGTGAGTATTGAATGATAATTTCAGATAATAAATGTTGGTGTCTGAAATTATTTTTCTTCCTTGCATCCTTGACTCTGACACTAACAGATTTTGAATTAGATATTCCGAATAGGAGACGAGTAGAATTGCTAGCATTTCCTAAACGTTTTTCTATTTTTCAATAGTAGAAAGCATTTCAAATAAATTGATAGTATCTTGAATAAGTTGCTAAACACCTATTATTATTACGGCCAGTCCACATCCCATATATGTTAGAATTACAGCTAGACTCCACTATATGCTTGAAGCTACTTATTCTCTAGTGCGTTTCTTAGTTTGTACTCTGTAAAAAAGAAGATGTCATATTGAACCTTTTCTCAGGACCATTTTCAGAACCTTTTTAAAGTTTTAGTCAAAAAGTCTTGAACATAAAATGGTTTTCGATAGAAATGCGGAACCTTAAGAGGTTCGAGCTTTTTGACTAGAACCTTGAAAAAAGGTTCTGAAAATGGTACCCAAATCTAGCACCTTAAAAGGTTTTAGACCTTCGCTTGAACCATAAACGGTTCAGTGCGACACCTTTTCTTTATAGAGAGTAGTATATGTCAGTAACGGAACTGATAAGTTGGATGGAAAATATAATAAAACATCTTCAGTTAACTTTTATTTGCGCCATTTATATCGGAATTCTTCATTTTATTTCCTGAATTGTACGGAATTGTACGGAATTTGAGAAATCGGACAAAATTCAAGTTCGGCCTGGCCTCGGAATGTTCAACATTGTGGAATGGGATGACTGCTCGTAATTAGATGAATAGATCGTAATAATAATATGCTCTTTCAGGCGATCATGCTTTCATTTAGAAATATTAAGAATTCAGAAAAATATTCAACAAGCACATTGATGTAAAATTGGATGTGGTCATGGGAATTCAGGAGAGTGCCAATCAAATCCTTAAGACGTTTTTCCCTAAAGCGAAAATAAAAAGATCGAACAGTGCTCATTCGGCATGGAAAATATTCATCGTATTTTAGATTTAGTATGTTTGTCTCTGTCCTAGTGCTTGTCATAACTATAACGATGACAGATGGGCAAGCGACATCGTTATTTAGTTCCGATCGTTTGATTGGTCTCGAAGAGATTGAGTCAGGATTCGATGTGATAAATATGGTCTCTTTAGCAGAGTCGGAATCCCGATTTCGAATATTTGATTTGAGCGAGACTGGTTCCAATCAATTCCAAGTTTCTGTGCTCGGACAACAACGTATGTTCAATACTCCACTTAATGTACAGGTGACCAATATCAATACACGTCGTGTGATCAATTGTGAAGATTTGTCGAATGACTATAAACACTTCTATTCAAAGTATATATTATCTTTTCTTGGAGTATCCTAATAATCAAAATCTTGTCTTTGTTTGTTACGCAGTTATTTCCGATCGACAAGAAGCACCTCGACGTGGTCTGCTGTCATAGTTGGCGGAAGTACTAGCCGTCATGATACCTTACGAAAAATAGAGGAGGCCATTAATAAACAGTCCAAAGCGGTTGCTACATCAACTTCTTGGTGGGGCCTTTATTCTATTCAATTGGGACCACCTTTCTTTATCCAGTAAGTGCTGTTTGATTTTTAACGTTTGGGTGAACTAATTTGATGGGCTTTAATCGTGCACTAGGTTAATGCTAAACTTAATTTACTAAAATAATTTACACGCTTCACAAAGGTACTGTTCTAATCAGTAGCGAAAAAATCTCGGATGATCATACTCTTCTAGCAAGTATCATTACTATTCGTTGATATCAATTTGTATTAACACCATGACTGACATAATCTCTAGAGTTGTCATAATTAAAGGCGACTTTTAAAATTCTTGATATTCGGTGCGAAGAACTATTTTAATCAATTTTGTTCTCTCTCGTTCTGTAATTCATTGAAATAGCAATGATGATAGCTAGCGTGATCCAGGAATCGTGAGCTTTACGTTATTTTATTTAAAAAGCGTATTTTCTATTCGACTGATAATCGACTAAAAGCTCATCAGTTTCATCAGTTTCTCTTGAATACTTCGAAAAGAAACGATCAAATACTGTACTTCTAATATAAACTCAATACAAAGTTTGATTTTCATCCGCTTACTTAGATAAAGAATGTTTAATATTTACCGGGATCGACGATGGCTTAATATTGCTCAGTCTTATCCACAAGTCTGTTCAATTCCTTGAGCCACATTTGAGATTTGTTTTGAATTGTGACGATCTGACATTATTTGCGAAGAAATATTGCTGATGCATAAAAAATCTAGAAGGTCGATCAATAATTTTATAAGTCTGACTGTCAAGATCACTCAATCCTTGCTCCCGGATTTCAGTTCAGATTTCATGCGAAGCCGATAATTTCCATGAGTTGTTATCCGAGAGCAAGGATGCCTGCAACTATCGTCAGGAACTGACCAGCATTTTATGAATCCGATTGGATGCTGACGAGCCTAAGTGAATTTGATTTTCCGTCTATTTAATTAGAGCAGCTACTTTACAACACAATAAATAAGAATTCCCCGCATGAAGTCTAAAACAGTGATCAAGGTTGATTTGAAAGAAAAATGAATCAAAGCATAATGAATGATTTTTGGTTTTGCTCAGGCCGAAAAGTACCGACTGGTTCCCGTAAGAATACACCGAAAGTCGATGGAACATGGAAGCAGTATTCCGACCGATTCCAGTCAATTCTTGTTCTTTGTGGCGGATATCGACCGGATATCACCGGAAAAAGTCGACAAATTTTCCGATCGTAATAGTGCTTCCATGTTCTAGTGACATCCAGTGCTCTCCTGCAGGATAAGACGATTTCCCCGCTTCTTTCTTGCTGGTTCCTACAATATCCGGTGACCGAAACGATCGATATGGGTAAATATAAGAATATAAAAGAGCGTGAAATATTTGCGTAAGACTGAGAAATTTCACTTGCAATTTGAACCATGTAGTTCAAATCGATTTCCATCTAATTCACCATGACTGAATTTCGAATTAGAATACTCTATTCAATAAAAACATTATGCTTATGAATGTCAAAGCTAAAGTTGGTTGTACATTCGTATCAAATTAATTGAGAAATATTTATATTAACTAGATATTTGCTCGAGCTGCACTCTGTAAAAACCAAGTGATCGCAATTATGAAGATCACAAGGATGACATTTGAATTATATACTATTAGATCTACTCTTATTTCAACATATGACTACATTAGTGGTGGAGTCAGGCGGTAACTCAGGATGCTTAGTTTCCTCTTCATGAACTTTCAGCCCTCTGACGAGAGTTTCCAAAGGTGTATTTTATTCTGACGACGGGAGAAGGGGCACTCAAACCCACATTAAGGATTTGAAGTCCTCCTAGTCCGAAGTTCTCCCTCCGTCGCTGCACTGAATCAAAATGGGTTTTATACACTAAACTGATTTTAATCTGTTTTAACTCATTTGAATCACGTTTAATCAATTCGTAAATTTTTTTCAATTAATCTACTTGATTTAATCAATTACAATCGATTACTAATGTGATTGTACAATCACCACTTGAAAAAATTTATATAGAACTTATAACTGTACTATATTTGGATGACTTTGATTCAGTGGCAAATTAATAGTTTATACACGCAAGAAATCCAAATCATCATGAGAAAATAAGGGTTTCCTGTTTGAATGCCGGGGAAAACGCTGATTTACAATAAAAATTATAAAAATTGATCAAAAGTTAAGAATAAATTAAAATCCATTAAAGATAACAATATATTACAGTCGACTTACAGCTGATATATGGTTTGAATCGACAAAAACGTAAAGCTAGGATGAACTGATTACAATGCAAGAATAGATTACAAACCATGAACGGCAGCAAGATATTACAATAAATTTTCTGGAAGTTACAAATCTATTTTAATGACTACTATTATAACCGTAGTTTAATCTTTTTGAACATAAAAAAATAATTATCATGATTTATCAAATAGTCGATTATATTTGTTTTTTGATGTGATAATAAATCTATTTTAATCATTATTTGCATGAAGATAATTCAGTATAATGAATTTTGTAAATTTAAATAATTATTAAACTACGGTTAAAATTGTGTTATTATTATAGATTTTTAATCACTAAAAAGTCGATTATTAACAAAATTTTCGCGATTCTTTTTCTACATGTGAGATAAGGAACGAAAATACAACAAATTGCCATGACTCAAGATTTGCATATTTTTTGGATAGTAAAACTCGATACGAAAGTGATTTAGTAAAAGACGTCAGGTGCCTGTTAAAGCGTATCCACTTAATAAGTACATTCTACTGCATTTTAATGAATATAAGTCATGAACATCAGTAAAAATGGGTTGATAGGTAAAAAGCACCTTATAATGCTCAGCTTTGTTCAGAAAACGTCAACCAACGTTTTCTATTATAGGTTCCAAGATTAATACTTGTTGTAATGGTTTTAACATCATATGTTGAAAAAAATCGGGACGTGTTTTTCTTTTGCTGAATATATGTATATATACAAAAAAGCTTGTCTTCAAATATTTACATTTATTTCTCTTGTCTGAAAACATACTTATTATATATGTTTCTCATATTCGTTTGATAGCAATATATTCTGACAATTTTTTTACCGCTTCTTATCGTCAAAGTTTTTCCATCCAAACTTCCAACAATTTTCATATGCACAGATATTCAAAAATTACTGTTGCGTACAAATTGACGGGCTTTGTGGAAAGTTAAAAATTGTCAACATTATCCTAATCAATTAAGCGCCATTGATCGTTAAAATGTTAAATATACTTTTAAAATAGTGAATCGTGAGAAATTACTTATATGAATACGCTAAAACATTTAGTCTAGATAGAATGTGAAAAATTTGCAATTTTTCGGATTCATTATTTTCTGCATTTACAGACTCGATCCTATGTTCAATGCAAGTATGTCGGCTATTATAAATAAACAACATGTTCCGCGAACTGAATCAGAGCAAACGCTGTACAATATTCTCTTACAAACATTTGGTACTCATTATGTGATGCATGTGGTCGTTGGTGCCACCGCTCACATGTACACTTTAATAAACAGTGCTTTCACAAAATCAGCGACATTTGAAGAAACTGCGACGGAAGTCTCCAAGATGAGCAATTCATTTTTCTTACCTAAGATTGTACCGAAATCAATGCACAGCATTAAGGAGAGTCTCTCTGAATCATTTCGAAAAAACTCTCGATTTTTTGTTGAATATCAACCACCTGTTGCACTGGTGCCTGGTAAAACCGAATGGCAGTAAGTAGATGTTTTTGTCTTACTGATACATACTCAATTTTTATGCTTATTATAAAGTTATGAAAAATCATTTGTAAACAGTTGTTTCTCACATATTTCATCTAAACAAAATATGAATCCTACAAATTAATTAGCTTCAATAAAATAGACGAAAACATGAGATACCCAAACGTTAAATTTTATTAATTTTCATCCTAAAACTCAAAATTTGACGAGATGAATCGATGAAAGTATCGTGAGTTTTTTTTGGGATTCTATGTATCTATTTGATCGAATTGAATGGATCAATGCTGCTAATTGTTTCCAAATCTATGTAAGTAATCGACTAGACATGAGAGATTCAGTGGAAATTTACTCTCTGGATGAAAACGAACCTAGGCAGAATATCTACACACTGTTTCATCAAGAATGTTTTGCGTGTAATAGAAACCAATGCCACAGAGGAAACCCCTATGAAACAGTGCGAAGAGTCTTCGCCAAAGACTGGCAAGACTAGCTTGAGCTAGGTAACGATCTGGATTTCATTCACAAAGAGTTAAATCAGTTGATAAATACTATTTCATGATGTTTCTCAGTTTCAAAAAATCAACGAATCGAAGTTCATTTGGAAGAGATTGGATAGTTTAATAAAAACAAACTGATAAGATCATTATCCATGAACAACAATATCTACATAGTACAGATCATTGTTATAGAAGTTGGGGTAAGCTCTGAAACCGCGCGCCTCTCAGTACTTCAATAAACGCATCCATGTCAATCTCAATTTACTCATGAGTAATCTGAATATGAAAAAAGTGACTAAAACATACGCAAGACTTTCTAAAAAAGTATCGATCGGTACGACATCATGTACTTTTTTGCTTATTGGGTAATCCGATAATTTATTCTCTCGTTTGTTCTAGATCTTGGCTAGACAATGCTATTTTAACTCCAGTGGTTGTCAATCGTACACTTACCCCATTGTCCAATATATTCAATCGTTATCCACTCATTCGAGCTCATTTACGGCATACAATAGACCACTACTTGAGACATGGGAAATATCCCAAACTTGCTGAACTCAATCGATAGAATAGCACTGATCATGTGTTATTAATGTTTTTCATCTGACAACTTAAATATTGCTTTCATCTCTTTTCGATTTTATTAGAATGCTCATGCTTCCTGGTAACTATTGATCTCTGTTGGAGTGTTTCGTTCTGGCTGCTAATCTCTTGATATTTTTGTTCAATAAACGATTAACACCCATATAAAACAAGGGCAAATGGTTAGATGAGAATCAATTAGAATCATACACCTTTTCATCGACTGTTAATCGATTTAAAGCAATCACACTATGTATACCGATTCTTAACCACGAAAATCTATCTGTCTTGATTTTATATCGTTAGCTAACTCCCTGTCTATTTCTAATCGTCGAAACATCGAAAAAAGGTACCATATGGAACTTAAAAACGGTTTCGAGATTTTCATCGAAAGCGACACAATTTTTGAGTTGCGTAAAATTATGGCTAAAGATAAAGCCATCTTGAATCTACACTCAAAATGATTTTGTTGTTGAAATTCTGTCACGATTCTAATCCGATATACGTATCTACGTATGCAGAGTTGGTAACGACAAACTTATGCCTTTCACTATCCTTTTATTCTATTTCATACAGCGCTTTATATGTAATCTCAAGCAGATTGATACAATCGAAATCTAACTTAAACCATCTACATTAATGTACCAAATTATCTGTCTATCCCCTAATTGACTATTTCGATCGTATCGATAAGAACCTAAAACAAAAGACAATGAATAAATCAGGTTTTTATTATTATTGAATTCTTAATTATTATTTTGATCATATCGAACTGTATTCGAAGTCGAGAACAGTTCAAGAACGAATAGATGAAATGAGGATTTTTCAATAGTATTAAAATGGTTTCAGATTTGGAAAGTAAAGTGATTCATACACGGAATGATTCTTGATCCAATAGGTTATTGTTGATATTGTGTGCAATTTTAGTTCACCAAACACATCTCAAACTGAACAATCATGAAGATGGAAAACGAATATTGGAATACTACGAAAAATTCTTTGAGAGGTTTAAAGACTGTACTTTCTTTCAAATAGGACAAAATTCTAAAAGAATCCAAAAATCTAGAAGGCTTTAGTAGTATCAGATAAAAACTCCAGATCTGATTTTGGTTCGTTATTATGTATTTTGATGTGGAGTATACTCGGAAACTCTATGGTTTGTTGGGAAACACTTCGAAAACTGAAAGGATATTTCCTCTTACTTTGTAAGATTTCGACTGAAATTTTTGACAGTACAAATTTCCGACAACACTATAAAAGTTTCTCAAAATGCGATTAGGTGTCGAATATCACGAAAAAGATATTGCAAGACACTTTAAGAGTACTAACATTGGCATTTCAGGGAGTCTAATGGTTTCCGAACTGTCAACAACCAATCAGATATTTACAGACTCGATGCCACTCTAATGATTTGTGAATGGTTATCCGAGTACGTTTTGATTTTCTACGAAATAGATTGCTACTAGATAGCACTTAATTTACACCCTTAATCTTAACTTAACTTCCCAGCTGATTTCTTCATTCTTAATCTGACCTCTAAACTAATTCTCTTGTGCATATATATATATATCTCATAATTCATCATTTTAGTCTCAAACTAACCTCAAAGTTATTTCAATACCTTTATTTAACAGCTTCACTTAGGCGAATCTACTTGAGGTTTTCAACAGAGAACGTGTGCCATTATTTTTTTTGCGATCAGAAATTTAAATGGAATCCCCCTTTTTATAATCCTCAGCAATTCAGTCGCTTTGATTTGTTTTTATTACTGCATATTGAAAATATTTCATTCAATGCATAACATGATTAGTTTAGGAACAGTTAGTGTTTGATTTCCACTCAACTCGATGAGAAAAAAATTTGGACGTGTACATCTACTTTAATGCTCATGTTTTGAAATGAAATTAGGTGAGTATTTTACGAAATCTTTTCAATTTTCAATACTGAAAAGTGTTTATCACGAAACTTTCTTGAATATTAAACACTGACAAGGTTTCTTTATGCAATTCTACGTGATAGTAAATCCTTTTGAAGTTTCGTGTCTGCCAACGAAACTTTTTTAAGCATAGTTAAGTACCAAGGAACCCTTCAAGTTCCGTATCGTATATTTTCTTCACTATGTACTTAACGTTAACCCCTTATACATATGCTGCATGTTCTTATCCAGCTCTTTTCTTGTTCCCTCAATATCTAACTTCTGAATAGCTGTCTAACCCCTACACATATATGTTTATGACCCTTTGTCTATTTGTTTTTGTTATACCTACACTTACACTCATTTATCGAAACATATATGCTCTTATGTCTGTTTGGGTTACCTGTGTTAAAGTAAAAATGAAGAAATATTCTATCGTTTTCAACTAACTAAAGAACAACGCGAACATAAAAATGGAACCCAGAATGAATACATGAAGGCTACAGATGGATATGGAACGTTCATAATATATAATACGAATGATGGTCAGCAATTTGCGATGGCAAATATTTTCAACTGATATGCATTGCAAAAAGCTATAAGAAAACCCAGTCATACAATACTATTTAAAATACAAATATAGAAAAAAATTAATTAAGCAGATACTATGTTTCTGTCGACAATATGTTAACGGTTTAACAAATTTAGCGAGGAAACTTTGATTGCTCTATAAGTGAAGTGTGTTCCCTATTGTCCAAAGAATTGGCTCCGTATAGAAAATAGACAGTTTAGAAACGGTAATGTTATATCTAAGCTCGATTGCAAACTGAAACGTAGATAAGTCAATGGAGAAAAAATTAAGACTAGGCGACTTTCTGATGACTGGGTATTTATACAAAAATTCAAAGAATTCGTTCCATATACATTGCTCTGTCAGTGTAATATAATACTCATCCAGCGATTATGATTTGCCAGATGGCTACTCACATTCATGAAGGAATATTGGTGGAATTTTGTGTGTATGTATGCTTTCCGATCTGTTTGACCGGTACTCATTGGTATTTTTCTTTGGAGATTCACTTACTAGCGAAAGTATGAGTACTCATTGTGGTATTGATAATCATTTCTTCACAAGACATTCAACAAATTGCTTATGGATTCGAATATAAAAAGCAATAATATAATCGAATCGAGCATAGAAAGAATGTGTTTTAATGACTTATACCTTTATTCGTCTATTCTTTTTTAATGAGCTATTCACCCTATTTTAATAAGCGATGACTTTAAGAAAGAAAAAAAGACTTTCATTTAGGTAATTTTTCCTTATGTTGAGATCAAATGTTTGTTTAAACATATGAATGAAAACACTGTCTAATTCCATTTTCTAAAATTTAGATAAAATTTCTTTCTACATTAAATTACAGGATTCAATTTGATTGTGAAAAGCAACGAAAAACATTTTCTCTAATAAGTTTTGTTATTGATTGCTTGTGATTTTTAATTATGAAGACACGTGCATTTTGTTTGATAGAAGACTAATTAATCGTTTTTACTCGTTTTTCTTTATAAAAAATACATAAAAGATAGCCACTAATGTAAAAAACACTTTCCGTAATAATCACTACTGAATTTGTTCATTAACACATTTCTCCATCCCACTGAATAATTTATTATTCATTTCTCTTCACTTATGTTTTACTGCTCTTATAACATATCTAAATTTACTTGCTCATGTACACAACGATAAATAAAAGCTACACTCTCATATAATAAAGAATGTAATCGATTGTAGTAGATTATATAATCAGATTTGGCTGGTTTATACGATTCTTACTCTAATATTTATAATCGACTCCAAAATATAACAGATTCTATTAGATTATAAGGAGGGATCACATGATAGTTCATTTCTGATTTGTACCAGTTCACATCTTGCCCTTTTACCACTTGATCAATAACTATCAAAGCAAAAACAATCAAGAAATTCATTTTGGCATTAGCTGACGAATGATTCTATAGGTATTTATGCAGAATTGACGATGTCGATACATGACGAGAACATTCTAGGTATTCAGTGATTAATTCCTGTTTTTCGTGTGTAAATAACCGTCTCTATTCAGTTGTGATGAATTCAGAATGTATAAATTATGATTATATGCATACTGAATTTCAATAAAAAAAAGGTAACGAATGTCTGTTTCGGCGACTTTGAACGTGAAGAAAGCGAGTTTTATGCAAGCTATAGCATTCATCTTAGTGTAGTACTTAGGTAAATTGAATTGGCTTCATTTTGGGGCACTGATGAATGAGTATGCTTTTTTTAATTGACACAATCCATGAAGGAAGCTGTTGAATACGCATGAATGTGCAATAATTGGCAAGACGGTAGTATTGATAAATTCGATAGAGCATGAAACATTTTGTCGTCATCAACGGCGCTCATACAGCGGACTAAAAACGTTGAGTCTGACTGAGCCATATACACTCACATATCTTCACAGCAAAGTATTGAAATCATTTTGAGTGATTCTTGTGTTAACCCTGATCTACACGCATACATCTAGTACGAACTTATTTTTTATGAATGTATATGAATCAATTATTACATAGTGTGAGTGATGCAGCATTTCTCCTGGTTGTGGCATTTAATAATGATTGACATTTTCCGTTTTAAATAATTGTCATATCTACTATGGCTAGCACATAATCTATCGATTATACAGTATGCTCATCAGTATACAGTTCTCGTAGTGCACAACATACCAGAAGCAAGCGACGTGTGTGCAAATGTTTTGCATAATTAAATTCAGCTATCGAAAAAGATTTAAATTACTGTGATTTTATCGCATTTTAAGTTCCCTCAGTTTTCGTTGCATTATGCACGCAATGATTGTAATTTTCATGAGCGTGTGTTTGGTAATGGCGACGTCGGCTAATGACTTTTGGGAAATAAATGGTTTCTCAAAGCTTACAGTTCCTGTTCCACCAAGGCCGCCTCTACCACCTATGCCGGGGTATAGTCGTAGGCCATCGTTTAAGCTTCCAACATTACCTCGATGGGTTCCTACACCCCACCGAATATCGCTACCTACACCTCCTTCTCTGTCTTCTACAACTATTCAAAGTTCAACATCTGTCGATTCGTCAACACCATGAGTGCTTCGAATTCTGTATCGACGAGTTCAACATCAGCGAAGAACAAATAATGAATATGTTGATGTTCAAAGTCTGAACTGACGTCAAGATTTTGAGTAGTTTTTTCAATTTAAAGCTCTTGTTCAGAAATATAAAAAAGTTATCACGAATACCATATGTTCATATCTTCATTTTTTACACACTTCAAAAGTATTTCAGTGTGAGTGTATTTGCTGGCTTTGCGTGACATATTGGGTACACGCTGTCGTGTTTGAAGCGGATACGCGATGTGCTATAACCAAGGATGATATCAGCCATGGCAGTAGCTCAATAACTTCAGATTAATATATGATATAGCTGATGATTCGCGCTACTCATCTATATAGCCAGTATGATAGATCAGATTGACTGCGATTGATATAAAAATAAGCAAGCTCATTGAATATTATTTGCAAACTTCATATAGATCAGTATATTTGTACTTTGCTTCTATATTTTCTATCTTACATAGAATACGGGCTAGAAGAATTTTTTTAGTCTCTCGTAAATATCAGACACAAAAATACCAAGCCCAAAGAAAATTGATGTGAAAGCAATCACATTGATTATTTGGTTACCATTCATGTGCGATGAATTAATGCTTGTTTTTGTGCATTTGCTTATTTAAAACACTACGAGACCAGGAGCACTGATTCGAAATGAGATACAATTACACATGGTCGGCGAGCGTCATAATCCACAGCAATTTCCGATGGATGCTAGGAGGAAAATAGTCTAACTATTCTTTATGCAAATCTAATTCAGTTATTTATGAAAAATATTTCATCGAAAAGTCTTTACAAGGCGCTTGAAAATAGTATACTTCGAAAAGCAGGCAGAAAAAGGAAGTGCAATGCGTCACAAGAAAATGTATAGTTGTCATACAAATACATGATCTAATGGTGAGTATCGAATGATAATTTCAGATAATAAATGTTATTGACTGATGTTATTTTGGTTCATTTGATCCGTGCCTCTAACAGTAACAGATTTCATATTAGTCATCTGTGGTAGGAGAAGGGGAGATTATTTGGTAGCATTTTCTAAAGGTTTTTCTATTTTCCCATAGTAGAAAGCATTTTAAATAAATTGATAGTATCTCGAATGAGTTCCTAAACACCTATTATTATTACGACCAGTCCGCAGTCCATATATGTTAGAACTACAGTTAGACTCCATTATATGCTTCAAGCTACTTATTATCCAGTGCGTTTCTTAGTTTGTAGTATGCGTCAGCAGTGGAGCTGATAAGTTAGATGAATGACATAATAAAAACAGTGTTTCCCAACTTCCATTTGCAGCATTATTATCGAAATTCTTCATTCGATTTCTGGAATTACAGTGAACTCCTAGGGATTCCGGGAATCGGACAGAATTCAAATTCGGTCTGCTTTCGGAATGTTCAACATTGTGGAATAGGATGACTGCTCGTAATTAGATGAATAGATCGTAATAATAATACGCTATTTCAGGCGATCATGCTTTCAGTTGGAAATATTAAGAATTCAGAAAAACATTTAACAAACACCCATGTAACTTTTTTTCGAGTCGTAACGCGTCTCTGAGCGATTGTGAACGATGGCACTTAACGCACCAGGACGCATCTAGAATGCAACATTTTCGGGGGTGCAGACGCATCCAGGGTAACCTGATGCGTCTACACTCGTTCGGTATCTAAACGCATCATAAGTCGTTTGCATTGGAAGACGCGTTAGGGCTCGTCCAAAATGCAACATTTTCAAGCGTGGGAACGCATCCAAAAGTAAACGCGTGTAAATGCGTCTGGATGCAAGATGCGTTAGAACGCGTTTACTTTTTTCCCCCAAAAAAATTAAAAATTATCATCACTCTGTGTCGGAATTGAGCCGACGCATCATATTAAGCTATGATATAACACCCACATACCACGAGCAACAGAGTGGTAATTTTTCCAACGATAGCGTGAACCAAGATTTGAACCCAT